AAAATATTTTTGCTGCTTGTTCAAACTACTTATTTAAAATGAACTGAATCAACACAATTCTTGAGTATTTTTTTTTTTTGGCTTAATTTGTTCATGTTTAAACTGTATACATTTATAAAAAACAATTAGGTTAACTAAACTGATGTGTGTTGAGACAACATGAAAAAATTGTGTGGAACCCAGCATTTTTAATGGTGTACTAAAGTAGTCAACTAGTTGCTTTTATGACAAAGGTTTCACTCACTTTAAGTAAAATAGCTAATGGTTATTTACAAGGTAACAACTAAACCTACTTTGATGTTAATGAATCAAGCTTTACTGTGTCAAAAGTAAAATTAAAAAATGTTAAAATGTTAAGATATTTCATATAATAATGTTGCAATAATTGATTTTTGTTATTAGTATTTTACTTTATCAAAATTGTATAAATTATTGTGTAAATCTTTAGTTCATTTCACTGTAAAAAGTGGCTCATTGACATAAAAAGGTGAGCAAACCTCTTGCCCTTGAGTAATTGAAAATGTGCATAATTATAAAAAATAAGTCAACTCACCAGTTACAAGTTACAAAGGATTTACTTACTTTTTAAAATAGTCAACTTGTCATTTTTAAGGTAATGGTTCACTCACCTTTAAGTAAAATAGCTAACCACTTTTTCTTGTGTACTTAAAAAGTAAACGCTTTGAAACTTGAAACTGGTATACGCTGACTTCATTTGACTTATTCTGACATTTTGAAAAGGCTGATGTACAATGAACTAACATGAACAATGTGATTGTTGCTATTTTTAACAAAAATCTTATTGTATAATCTTTAAGTGAGCATTTGTTGACAGCAGATGCCATCTAAATATAAAAACCCAAGAAACAAACATACACCATTAAATATATAACATCAGCTTATTTTATTAAATCTTAATGTCTAACGATATATAATGTTGTGATATAACAACTGTAGGTACTGTAATATTACCGAATGAAACAATAAAATAATAAAAAAAAGTTTAAAATCTTTAAAAGAATTTCCATTTTTATACTGTAGATACAAATGTTGCAATGATTGATGTGTTATTAGTATTTTGCTTTATAAAAAATTGCATAAACCTTTATTAATAGCCAGTTGTCAGATATCACCACATGAATTATCTAAACAACACCCATTATCATATAGAAGATCTTTTGAAAATACAGACATTGTTAAAAAATAACTACTTCACTGTATTAAGCAATGTAAAACACTATAAATTGCAACAATAATCTGTTTCAGTTTGCTAGGAAGAGTTTAATAAAGCTCCATGTGCGTGGTTTGCTGACGTCTCAAACTAAATTTGCCTGATAAACTGGATTTCTATTCCAGTAGTTGTTCGTAACATATACACATTCCAATCACTGACTTTCTGCTTCACGTGAATTCACCTTGGCCAGACAGACAAATATTCAAGATTGATTGCGGGTATGATGGCTGAAGTGTGGCCTTTCCACACCTTTCTTTTTTATCTCTTTCTCTATCTTGCTCTCCCGTTCACACATATTTAGTTTTAACATGCAAACAATACGTCATTTTAGGGAATTATTTCCACTAAACTTTATCAGCTCACAGGTGGAACACAAGAGGAGTGTTAGTTTTAACATGCTGCACTGAACGAGAAAGGGATTACAGCACTCAGATTGAAGTATTGATCCAAAGCAGCTGCTTGTGAATGAAGGATAGAGAGAGAGAGAGAGAGAGAGAGAGAGAGAGAGAGAGAGATAGCGATGCTTTATTTTATCAGATTTCTTGAGGAGTGTTTTCCACTTTACTTAAAATAACCGCAATGGGGTTTTCTTGAACTTGGTAGAACTGTTGATCATGTGGACTAAGAAATGAAACACTTTTTAAATTCCAACAATGTTCATTTGAATCATAAATTACAGAGAAATTGTCAAATTTTTTGCAGCAGCATCATCTGATATATGCAATTATATTTTATGGAAAAACATCTTAATATAGTGGCTAACTTCTTTGTCTTTCTAAGACTGGCTATTAACTATTAATACCAAAAACTTTGGGATTTGGCTTTAAAAGATGCTTTGTCAAAAAATCCTCCATTGTTTGTTGTCATTTTCATTATTCTACATATTCCCTTTGACTCACAGACTCCCGATCTCAAATAACAATTATTAAACAATTATTAGGAATTGTGGTCAAGCTACTTCTGAGGGGATACACAGTATGCAAGCAAGCAAGCAAACCTAAACAAATGGATAATGTATTTTTTTTATACCTCATTTATTCATTTATTTTTTTTACTTAATTTATCCAGCATATGTTTACCACAGTGGATACCCTTCCAGCTGCATCCCATCACTGGGAAACACCCATACACACTCATTCACACACATACACTACGGCCAATTTAGCCTATCCAATTCACCTATAGCACGTCTTTGGACTTGTGGGGGAAAAAAACTGAGCACCCGGAGGAAACCCACACTAACACAGAGAGAACATGCAAACTTAATACTGAAATGCCAACTGACCCAGCCGAGGCTCGAACCAGCGAGCTTCTTGCTGTGGCACGATCGTGCTACCCACTGCGCCACCATGTCGCCCTACTTTGTTTATAGGAATTTTTAATACATTTGCACAAAACAGAAAAACAAGCAGCAACAACAACAACAAAAATAAAACACAAAAATACAAACAAACATCCCCAACACTAATTTCCCTATTGTGGCTTTAACAGAAGAGACACGTAGCTAACATCGAAGTCTTCAAGCGTTACACAAATGCACAGCAAGTTTAAGTGTGGGGTGCATACACAACTCCAATACAGTACAAACAAATAATAAATAAACATTCATTCATCCATTCATTTTCTTGTGGGCTTAGTCCCTTTATTAATCCGGGGTTGCCACAGCGGAATGAACCGCCAACTTATCCAGCAAGTTCTTACGCAGCGGAGGCCATTCCAGCCCCAACCCATCTCTGGAAAACATCCTCACACACATTCACACACACACACACACACACACTACAGACAATTTAGCCCACCCGATTCACCTGTACCACATGTCTTTGGACTGTGGGAGAAACCGGAGTACCCAGAGGAAACCCACGCAAACACAGGGAGAACTTGCAATCTCCACACAGAAATGCCAACTGAGCCGAGGCTCGAACCAGCAACCCAGCGACCTTCTTGCTGTGAGGCGACAGCACTACCTACTGCGCCACTGCTTCGGCCTAATAAATAAACAAATAATAAATAAATAAATAGATGTAAAAAAGAAAAATGCAAAACGATATACAATACACAAAATAAGCCAACCATTCAGAGTGTAATAGAAGTGAGGTTCTGTATAAAAAACATCTTTGGTTTCTTTCTTTGGACTTGTCTCTAGACAATTAAGTAGATGAAAAGCCAGAGAGCTCTATGATTTTATCTAAAATATCTGAATTTGTATTTTGAATTTGAAGATGAACAAAGATCAAAGGGAATTGAAATGAAACAAAATATATATATTTTTGGGTGCGCTAACCTTTTAACCCCAAGTTTAACCCTAAGTTGGCTTAGATCTTATTAAGTTATAAGCATGGCCAGACAGAATCTGTGGACATGTTTTGCTATTTCTGTGGAAGAAATTGTGAGAATTTTGTAAAAAAATAAAAATTAAAAAAAATAAAGTATCATAACTAAAACCTTAATATAAATAAAAAATAATACATTTTAAACTCTTATTTAATGTTACACTGCAAATCTAATTACATCCACTTATCTGGTAAACAAAGAAAGTCTCTCAAATATCTACTAAAAGACAGAAAATAAAAAAAATAATTTACAAACAGTATTGTAGATAAATCATATGAACATTGTCAAATCAAATCCCTTTTATTGTCACATCATCAGCAGCACGAGTGCTATGATGAGTGAAAAGCTTAGAGCATATAACTATTATTATATCATAATAATATTAGTGAAATCAATGTAAAATCTGAATAAATATAAATGTACACACATTTACACAAGTAAATACATAGACTCAATAATGGGCCAAAAATCTAAGAATTTCTGCTCGTGCAGATTCCATGTGGGCCAAGTTCTAAGTAAATGCTTAAGGGCAGTTTTATGTGGACTTCACAAGAAAATATTGTTCATTGTAAAAAAAAAAAAAAAAAAGGCATATATAAATGCCTAAAATTGAAGAGAAGCCCCCTTATCGAAATGAGGTTTATTTCATCTGGACACACAGAAGTTTTAATCGTTTGTGTTTGTGCGAATTTCAGAAAACCGTGAATGAATATCTCCAGTCGGATCTGTATCATCAGTCACACGAGTGTGGCCCACACAGATAGAAATACTCACCAAACACCAACACCACATTCTCCAGATATATATGAAAGAACGACATGAATGGGCTGCTTATCAGACTCAACCAAACAACACACATCAAAGAGCTCCGATAATAAACACACAATCAAAATCTCATGCAAGCCCATGAAGAAGCTCTCAGTATATGGAATACATAAGTAGATCCACTTCGCTTTTGACATATTTTCTTAAGCCCTTTCACACACACATACGCAGTTCTCCCAGACCCTGATGGGCAGGGCAAAGAAAACACACGCTCGGTATGATGTTTCCACACAGACATGCAGATTAGATCGTAATGATGGTAGATTGAGGTCAGACAGGTAGATAAGAAGCAAACCACACGCATGCACACAGGCTTTATGGCTTGAGTATTCACTGCTCCGGAAACACACACACACACACACACACACACACACATGAACAGCACTGTAGAGGAGACCTCCCACAAAGCAGACAGAGCCAAAACCACACAACAGACCCAACAAACAAACCAGAGCACAGCGTCAACACTGTGCCTAAGCAACACACTGCCTACCATTTCAATACCTTTAAACTACTTGTTGACTTCTCTACTAATCCACAAAATACTTTCATCCAACATGGGTTAAAAAGAAAATGATGCAAAAGAAAGTGACAATGGTGGTGGAGATTTAAGCCATCAGAAACATTTTATTACAGACAAAATGTGCAGTTTAAAGGATCATAGCTTTTTTGTATGAGACAAACATTCACAAACTCTTTTTAAAGAGTGCAAATGCATATACTGCAGTGTGGATCCAAAATAATACAGAACAAATAGTCATGATTAGATAGAAAATAATACTAAACTTGTAATAACTAGATACAGAACTCAAAAATATGTAAATTAAAGTAGAAAACAACTCTCCTGCCACACAGTGGTGCAGTTTTGCAATGCTCACACGCTGAATTGAGCTCATTACTACTGCCACACTGAGGATCACTTGTGATATGACCATTTAATCTTTCCCTTTTTAATTCCAAGGCATCTTTATAGATTACTGATTTTGTTAAAGGGCTTTTTGTGTGTGGACATTATTTTTAATATTCCAACAGAGATTGATCAGACAACACAATGGGTTCTCTTTTACTGAACCATGACATTCATTCCCTGCACTGACAACAGCATTTATGTCAGCATATATGCAAGCTAATAAATATTATTTAGTTAGTATGTTCCATGTAAGTTAAATAATCAAATTATGCAGGATAAAAACAATATGAATTTGTTATCAATACTGAGATGAAACTATGTAGCTACAACTTAATATAAAATGGGCATTGCTTAAGCAAACAATTATAATTATGAAAATAATCAAGCTATTTCTGAACAGCATTGATTTGATTAGCAACACAAAATCAAACCCTGTGTGTTTTCATTCATATATAATCATTATTAAGCTATTTGTGTTTACAGCATTTAAATTTGGCCATAAAAGTTTGAGCTTTGTATGCTTGATGCACAACCAACGTCTATCCTCGCATGTCAAGCAGAACGATCATCTTCCTCAACAACCAATGATGTTTTTTATCATGTGTCAAACTGTTATAGTTGAGCTTCTGTTTGCTGGTTGGCATTTATGTGTGACTAACAAAAAACAAAAATCAATTCTGCTCATAATAAAGTGATTATTTTTTCAGAGATGTGTAATAAACCACTTGGTTTATATGGATTTCATATGGATACCTTTTGATCTCTTTCTAAATGTTTTAAATTAGCAGAACTTTGGTTAAATATACTTAAAATGAAAGGAATTTTATTCAATGTTATCTTTAAATCTTGATAAAAATCAGCAAAAGTCTTATGTTATGGCAGTATTTTCAGTTAGGAGTGAAATGTGATCTCTTTGGTAGCTGTGCATCACAATGCACTAGCTGATCTTGACAAATACATATAATATTTTTGCACAGCAAGAGGTCTAACTAATGCTTATGTGTCAATCTATGCATCTGGATTGAAAGATCAGACATGAGCTTAGACTAAATAATGATTTTTGAAGCAGTTTTCAATTTAGTACTCAAACACAGTACTATAGCAGGCTATCCGCTCGTTAAGTCGTGATGTATTGGTGACATATTGAAAACTGTATCTGAGTCGAAGCCGCAACTCATTTGAATGGAGAAAATACTTGTTTATTACCCCTTTTTAGTCATATCACACATTAAAGTCTCTGGACTTAAAGCATCTCAGACACCAATATTTTAACTATTTAAAAAAAATCAATTTCAAAAAACAAAAAAATCACTTTCTGGCCATCTGATATTAGGCATGGATTTATACTGTATATATTAGTTTGTCGAAAGTATTACATTGCTTTGTAAACGTTTATTATTACCATTTGTTTAGTCTCCCTATTCATTTTGAGTGCTTGGACCCGGAAGCCGCTTCGTGTGACATTACACTTGACAAGCCGATATGACAGTCTGCATACAGGCAGTTTCTTTTACCTCTTTCATTCAGCCTTGTCTTTCTTCATTTGAGCTTCTTTCTTACTGTTTGTTGTGCATTTATTCCAGTACATCAGGATCTGTGCAAGAATCAACCAACTGCAACAGCAGGCCAATGTTTGCATCTGAGCTGAGAAAGAAAAACCTGTGTCCTTCAGAAAAAAAGAGGCACATTGTAAATTACAGATCAATTGTAACAGGTCATATAAACATAAACTAACATCTGTTCATGAAGACCAGAACAAGCTGGCACATATCCTTCAGGTTTGCCAAAAAAGAAAATAGATATAAACAATTCTAGTATTATTACCACTTAGAAAAAGATTGCAATAGTGTGCTTAATAATATTACCGGCCACTTTTTTAGGCACACTGCTTATCCAACTGCTTGTTAATGTAAATATCTAATCAGCCAATCACATGGCAACAAGTGTTTCAGTGTTAAAAAAAGCTGATCTACTGGTATTTTCACGCACAACCATCTCTAGGGTTTACAGAGAATGGTCTGAAAAAGAGAAAATATCCAGTGAGCGGCAATTCTGTGGGCACAAATGCCTTGTTGATGGCAGAGGTCAGAGGAGAATGGCCAGACTGGTTCGAGCTGATAGAAAGGCAACAGTAACTCAAACAACCACTCGTTACAACCAAGATATGCAGAAGAGCATCTCTGAACGCACAACACGTCCAACCTTGAGGCGCATGGGCTACATCAGCAGAAGACCACACCGGGTGCCTCTCTTGTCAGTTAAGAACAGAAAAACTGGGGCTACAATTTACAAAGGCTCACCAAAATTGGACAATAGGGTATATGCCGAGCTGGTGTTTTTTCCATACTGATAAACTTCTGGTGACCTGTTTTTGTGATTTTCTTTCCAATTTATACGGTTCCTTTTACAGCATCAATGTTGTAATGTAACTAAAATACATTCAGTTAAATAAACTTTGGCATTCGTTTAGTTGCTCAAACGTAAAACAAGACAAAAAGCCTTTTACTGGCAAGCACCCATCAGAATCGACAGGCTAGCGCAGAAGCTCTATTAAATATACTATGAGAAAATAAATGCTCATATTATAATGACATGGTGGGGAAATTGTAATTTAATGCAGTGCTTCTTGTACAATCTAAGACCCACTTTATACTGGATATCACTCAGCCAGTGGAGCTCGATGATGTTTGAAGAAAACTGACCTTAAATGTGCAGATTTTTGCATTGGCATACAGTTGATCGAAAGAAATTAACCCAGGTTACTGGCAAATTCAAAGTCCTATTAGCATGCTTCGGCATATACCCTTTAAAAGATTGGAAAAACGTTGGTTGTCTGATGAGTCTTGATTTCTGTGGCAACTTTTGGATGGTAGGGTCAGAATTTGGTGTCAGCAACATGAAAGCATGGCTCCATCCTGCCTTGTATTAATGCTCTAGACTGGTGGTTGGTGGTGTAATGGTGTAGGGGGTATTTTCTTGGCACACTTTGGGCCCATTAGTACCAACTGAGCATCGTGTCAATGCCACAGCCTAGCTGAGTATTGTTGCTGACCGTGTCCATCCCTTTATGACTTCCAGCAGTATAACGTGCAATCTCATAAAGCACAAACTATCTCAGACTGATTTCTTGAACTTGACAATGAGTTCACTGTGCTTAAAGGGCCTCAGTCCAATAGAGCACCTTTGTGATGTGGTGGACCAGGAGATTCGCATCATGGATGTGCAGCCGACAAATCTGCAGCAACTGCGTGATGCTATCATGTCAATATTAACCAAATTCTCTAAGGAATATTTACAGTCCTTGTTGAATCTATGTCACGAAGGACGAGGGCAGTACTGAAGGCAAAAGCGGGTCCAGACTTTTACTATTAAGATGTACCTAATAAAGTGGCCGGTGAGTGTAGTTCCTAAAAAAAACAAACTGCCTTGAAAATAGCAACTTTTCATTTTTCTTCTGTCTTAGTACATGAGGTCTCTACAGAAGGGTCTAGCTTTAAATAGGAACATTATTGAAATTCTTTGGTAATTTTTGAGCGAGATGCTAATGGTCTAATCTGATTCAATGATCTATGCTAAGCTAAGCTAAAAGTGCTGCCACCAGAACTCGGGAACGGCTAAATGAATTAAAAAATGATAAAACTTAACTGTTTAACTCTAGGAAAGTAGAAGAGAGAAGAGAGGAAAGTGTTCCTTTGATGACAGGGTAAATCTAACTATGAAAACCAGAATAAAGTCTGTAATTTAATAAATGATTTCTAATTAAATATCATCAGATGTGAGAGCGTGCATGGGTGTATGTGTTGTGCACCTGCAAGGAACTGAAGACTCGTCCTAGAGAGCCGAGAAACACCAGGAAAACAGAAAGTATAGATAACTGTCCCGTATGTCCACATCTGAAGTTACTGACTACCTGGAAAAACTGAACACACAACATTAAATAAGTAGTTTGTATTAATAAAAGATGTACCAATACACATCCTCTATACAGATTTTTGGGGGGCACAAAGTCCTGTCTCACCCTGCTAGCAACGACAAACAGCACATTCCATTCATACAGAGTCCAAACCACTGCCACAGGGGTCAAAGGTGAAGCCAAGAGGAACATAACGCCACAGAACAGAGCAAGCAAAAATATACCTGAAAAATAAACAAACATTTAATTATGGTCAGTAAAATTATGAAACGGGTATTCTATTCACATGAAACAAGCCTTTTCTCTTTTATCTTTTTCTAACCTTTTATGGTTTTGCCTTCATGGTGGTGGATAAGCAAAGCCAGGAGAGCAATCTGGATCACTGCAAACAAACTTTCCCCCCAGGCTCTACACACAAACACATTCATGTCTTAGCATGACTGCATACACATGCAGAGTACATTCCTCTTCGGTATCTACAATTAGTTGTAAAGCAAATGTTTTATCATTGTTTAATCCATTCAGCTGATCTATGTGTCTGATGTGAGCACTTTTAGCTTAGCTTAACTTAGCATAGATCATTAAACTGCATTAGACCATGATAATCTCGCTCAAAAGGTTTTAATAATTGTCCTATTTAAAGCTTGACTAATTTGTTGCTATATTCAGGGGTGGATTTAGTGATTTTGGGGCCCTAAGCAATTTCAGCCATAGGGCCCAAGTCCTGAAATGCACACTTTCTACTTTTATTTACTTTGTTTTTATATAGCAGCTTTTTTATATCACTCAGTCTTCTTTTCAACATTTTAAATGAATGCAATCTCTACATTTTAAATGAAACTGAGATCAACTAAAAATAATATATATATATATATATATATATATATATATATATAATTTACTGCTGGGCGGCTCCATGATGTATATTACATTTTCTAATATGATTATTATTACATAACATTACATTATTATAATAATATTATATTTGATATTTAATTACGTTAAATTAGTATTTTTAACTCTCACTATACAAAATATGGTACAAAGCGAAGTTATATATAGTTTATAGGTATAATTTAAACCTCTAGATATTTATAAGGGGCCCCTAGATTTCCTGGGGCACCAAGTGGCCGCTTACTGGTTAAATCTGCCCCTGGCTATATCGTGTAATAAGGCTGTTAGAAAATGAAATGTTGCTATTTTCTTCCATACATTCCTCTTCAGTATGTACCATCAACTGTCAGTAAAGCAAAAGCTGTTTTACCCAATGGGAAAGTTTTGAGTGTAGCAGAAAGCTGCATGGGTGGAGATGGCCATCAGGTCCAGAAAAACCGAGGTCAGACACAGTCCGTATGAACTTCCACACCAAAGTATTTTGCAGATCTGGGGAAGTGGAGCTGTGGAAACAAGTGATATTTAATTATCTTTAAGATACATTTAAAGATATTACATTTTCGTTTCTCATTTAAGTTTTCGCGTATGTTCACTTGCTGTGATTTTAACATTTTTGTAGTTTTGTGAGATTAGGATTCTTTCAGTTTACCTAAATAGTTTATTACATTTTTATTTATTGTATTACATAAAATTAAACCAATCTAAATGAGAAATGCTGCCTTGATGACCAACATGTTAATGTATCTCTGGTAGACTTCATTCATTTTAAGTGACAGAAGTGTTTTTAATAGCTTTAGTTTTAGGTAATAGCTGTGGAAAGAAATGCATGCTCACATTCTTAAGCAACCTCATAATACAGACCTTGGAAAAATAATGCTTTGAATAATATATGAAACATGCAGGAATGATGCCAAAGAGTCTACTTACCAATTACAATTCCCATCAAAATAAATATTCCCATAGTCTTACTCAGGACAATCTTTAGGCAGGGTACTAAAGGAAAATACAGTCAGTAAATAACGATGAAGCACAAAAATGTTTTAGTTCAGAACTGACTAAAAGCTGAATGTAGATGCCTCAGATTACAACTGGAAAGTTACAACATGTAATTTGTGTGGTAAAGAAAGTATTAGTAAAACATTAGACACTATAATATGCAGAGGACATCTATTGACAAGTCAGTATTTTGATACTCATTGACATTGTCATGCGTTAAAAGCCATGAGATTAAAACCGTGTCTCACCGTGCATGAAGTTGAAGTAAAAGAAGAACTGGTCATAACATTTTTCTGGCATAAAAAATGTCAACAAAAATTCCTTTAGCGGAGGCATCATCGTCTCCTGGTCAGACGCGTCCATAGTTCAGGCACTTCTGTTGGTGGTCCTGTAGCAAAATAAACAAGTGACTTTTGTTCCTTTTTAACATTTAGTCAAAAATATTTATGCTTGCTATTCATAACAAGTGTCTTATTTAGTAAAATCCCTCTAAAACTGCCTCTGGTATGACGGAAAAGCAAGCTTCTCCAATGATAAGTGCGTTTTAAAGGGGCGTGTATGTTTTTTGGGGTTACAAACTCGTGTTGTCCTGTTTTTAGCGCTGTCAAATGAAAAGTTCTCCTGTGTCTGGAAGTGCAAATCTACGTAAAATTATCCGAAAACAGCACTTACATTTACAGTTTTGGGCACCATTTTTGAAAATTAATGTTTTTATAACGTGGCCTCGCCACGTTAGGCAAAGTGTTATCCTGCAGGGGGCGCTCGCTGCTCACACAGCACAGTCCCCTATTTTCTATCTATTAAATTGCGACCTTAAAAAAGCGTACTTTATAATAAATTGAGGTTTATGGTATACATCATATGAATGCTAAATAAATAAACTTTCCATTAATGTGTAGTTTGTTAGAACAGGATAATGGTTGACCAAGATACAACTACTGAAATATCTGGAATCTGGGGGCTCAAAAATATATAGTGTGTTGTCAAAATGAAGTTATTAATGCAAAATATTTTTTAGAACCAAAATTAGAACACGTTTTTATATATTTAGAATGGGGAATTTACATAACATCTTCATGGAGCATGATCTTTAATTATAATGAGTTTTTTTGTCAAAAAATAACAACCATATACATTGTATTTGTGGGTTTTGCCAAAAATCTACACATGCAACATAAGAAATTTTTTTTTTCTAGTCCAGGGTTAAGGGTTTTTATTATTTTAGATTTTTTTGTCAGGCCTATTTCAAAGTCAACCCATACTGTCTCTTAATTGGAAAAATCTCGGAAATTTCCAAATCTTGGAAAGAATCAGATGAGAGAGCTGTCAGTCATACAAACACTAATATGTTTTTGTGACAGAATATTTTTTAAAATAGTAAAGCATGGAAATAATAGAGCAATTGAATTTAAACTGTATTTCACTGTTAATACTGTAAAGGCCCATTACTTACGTTTTTTTTTTTTTACAGTTTGCCTCATGCAACAAACTACCTTTTGGACACCATCCCTTTGAATGTAAAATATATTATATTAACATATCAAAGGCATAATTTGTTTTATTTATATACTAAAACTGTGTGTTGTTTTACTTTTGTTTAGGCAGTAGCATTTTATTGGGGTAGTTCACCCAAAAATGAAAGTTGACCATTTACTCATCTCCTTGATATGGGTTTCATTTTCTGGGTTTCCTTTCCTTTTTTTTGAACACAAAAGTTAGAAAAATGTTAGAAACCTGTAACTATTGACTTTCATGGTAGGAAAACATGTACAAAATAACTTATTTTGTGTTCAACAGAAAAAAGAAACTCAAACTGGTTTTGTGACAATTGAAGGTGGAGCAAAATGTTTTTCAGTTTTAGGTAAACTATATACCTTTAATACCATCAACATCAATATCATCAAAAATTGGACATGTGCTGGGATGGATAAAGTGGACCATTTACTTTTAAACATCAATTAAATTCAATTCAATTAAATTCAATTCAGCTTTACTTGTATAGCGCTTTTACAATGTAGATTGTGTCAAAGCAGCTTCACATAAAAGATCATAGAAAATTGGAACAGGGTAGTTCAGTTTTTAGTGTTTAAGTTTAGTTCAGTTTAGCTCAGTTCAGTGTGGTTTAATAATCACTACTGAGGATCCAAACACTGAAGAGCAAATTCATCGATGCGCAGCTCTACTGATTCCAAACCATGCAAGCTAGAGGCGACAGCAGAGAGGGGAATAAACTTCACCAATTGGCGAAAGTGAAGAAAAAAAAACCTTGAGAGAAACCAGACTCAGTTGGGCACGACCATTTTAATTTCTCTGCTGGTCAAACGTCTTGTGCAGAGCTGCAGTCTCAGCGGTGGAGGTTGGAAGCTGGCCTCAACGAAGATTCGTCTGTCCCTGGAGCGTCACAGGAATCAGTCTCATGCTCTCCACTCCTCCATGACCAGCACAGCAGCTGCTCAGGATATGGAAACCTTGTGATCATCTCATCGCTGGTCTTGGATTGAATCAGTGACTGCATAGTCTGAGGGCCTCGGGAAGAGTATCCCCAGGTGGAAATGTAGAATAAAGAAAATAATTAACGTAACGGCTGTTCATAGTGTATGTAATCAAAAGAGTTTCTAACCAATCACAAACATCAAACAATAAAATAAACAAACTATTGCAATTAATACGTCATATACATTTCTGCTGGAGATATAGTAAACCCCATGTTGTCTTGAGACAATTAAGCAATATCTGCTTCAGGGGTTAACAAATCTGAAATATAAATAGGATCCCCAAGCTCCCAAAAATGCATGAAATATTAAAAATAAATGTTAATTTCAAAAAGGAATAAAGATTTAATATTTGTCATGTTTGCCTTTATTATATTTGATTCAATTTCAGGTTATTGGTTTATTTATGCAATTAAGAAATGAGGTCATGTGACACTTCTTTATGTTACTATATAGATTGTTGATAATGGTTTAAATAAGTAACTAAATATGCAAATTGTAATAAAACAGTTCCTTGTTTTTATTTTTGATACAAAGTTAAGAGTGAGAGAAGCTTAAGATGGCATAATTATCATGCATAATGTGATTGTTCAAATTTTTCTGTTGAAGCATTTCATTTGACAAACAATTTGTTCGTTTGAAGGAATACCGAGATAAGAGAGCAAGATAAGAGGGCTTTTATAATCTATAATGGGTCCATATACATTTAAGAGAAGTGTTATTGTTATTATTCATACTTTATATAAACCACCAATTAATCATATCTAAAAGCATCTGTTTTGAATGTTTTCTACATAAATATTATTTAAGTTCATTTTATAATGCTTTTATGAAAGTTTTTTTTTTTCAATCCTTTGAGTGCCTGTAAGGGTGTGTCAGTCTATGTTTTAGTATACTATGTGGTTATTAAAATCATAAAAACCTGAACACCATTAACTAACACCATAGGAAAATCTGTTTTCTAAAATCTACACTGTAATAAATGCTGGGTTTCATGCAATTCCTTCATGTTGTCCCAACACAAATCGATTAAGTTTGCTTAATAGTTTTTACAAATTTAAGTGGATTGAACATTAAACTATTAAGTTGTCCCCCCAAAAAAACTCAATTTAGCTCATTTGAAATATGTAGTTTGAACAAGCGGCAAAAAATATTTTTTAAATGTACTAAATGTTTGCTTCTAACAAAAACCTACTGAAATATTAGTAGCAAAAAAAATATTTGTCGTTTCAAAAAACTCAACTATTAATAAAAGGAATAAAACAACAGCAGTATGCAGAGAGGTCAGGGGTTTACGCAACAGGAAAGCCTTTAAAGGAGAAATGTGTTCTGTCAATGTTTCCATGAGCCTTGGCTGCTCCACTTCTGAAACGTAAACTCTGGCGAACATCAAAAACTAACTCATACTGTGTGACAAACAAAATCTGTTCATTATCAGTCACTGCAAATTTGCTCAACTCCTTTAATGGAGATATTAACACAAAATGTTCAGAAGCGTAGGAGCTTAAAATACAACAGCTTCTTACAGGGCTATCAGCGTTAATATTTTTTACAACTAAACAAAGGCTGGACTGCAACTGTCATTTAACATTTAAGGAAATGACATGAATAGTTATATAGATAGCGTTATTTGTTTTACAGTGTCGCTGTCATGGTGTTTTTCTCTTTCTTCAGAATGAGTACAAAGTCCCACGGTGCATTTGCTTTATAGCACCCTGTGCAAACATAATTTGTTCGAGTGAATACAATCATCCCACACACACATTTTTTCACAGCTCAGAATTTCTTTCATGCCAGATTTGACTCCGGCTGCAGCTGGTTGATTAAAAATGTATTGTTTATGTGATTATTATGACAACCAGTTAACACTGATACATCTCAACACACACAATGTTAAATGCATTAATACAGTAATTGATATATCTGTCATACAGACCAAAGTTTTACATTTATTTTTGTTTTTTGAAAACAGTCTGTGTGAATTTCAGAGAGTTCCCAAGCTTAGGTTTCTTATTGTGTGCAAACAGTTGTTATCGCAATACATCACAAGCTTCTTCAATAAACAAGATGAACTGAATCGATATCATTTTATGTCTTGTGGTTATGTATAAAGTCATATGTATTTTAGACAAGGTGTGGTTGTAGAAACTGGAATCCAAGGGCTGGTCTTATCTTGACTCAATAACTGACCAGCAGTGCCTATAAAAACCTCCCCACTCCCCACACAGACATGAATTCAGGGTGTGTGTGTGTGAGACTCAGAGATCAAACTTTCTGCCAGGGTCTTTTATCAACACTGTAGAGATTACAGAGGTTATTCTCAGGCGTCAGGATTAAACCTATCTCACATCATGTGTACCGGAAAATGTGCATTTTGCGTCGGGACGAGCCTGTACCCGCTGGCGGTCATCTCCATAATCTGTAATATTATTCTGTTTTTTCCTGGCTGGGATGTTAAGTACTCGCAGAATGGACAACTTACTGAGGAGGTCAAGTACATGGGGGGACTGGTCGGAGGGGGAGTAATGGTGAGTCTGATTATGATTCATTCTAATGTTGAAATATACAGTGCACAGCATATACAAGTACACCCCTCACAAATTTCTCTTTTAAATTCATATTTTTACATTAGATTATTCAGTACTGAAGCCAAATCTGGAGCTTATCTAACAAAATAACATTCAATAATGGTCCAAAAAACTAGTAAATCCAATTTTTTTTGTTATAGAAAATTACTGAAAAAGAAATTTTAAAAAAAAGTGAAATCAAGAAGCAAAAAAATAATAATTAGTTGAAATTTAGAAGGTTGTATTTTTTGTTGCAATATTTTGCTTAAATTAAATTGTTTTTTCTTTCAATTTGTAAATATTTTTGGTGTCTAAAATATTGTTTAAATCTTTTTAATAAATCTTTTTTGTTTAAATTCACCAAAATACATAGCCTATATCCACTGAAAAATGGATACAAATATTCATTTTCAAAATGGGGTCTACTCAATTATGCTGAGCATTGTATATGTACAAATATGCATTTGATTTGAACATTATAGCATATTATAGTTTTCAGAATCTTTATTAGAATTCTAAACAACATACAGAATGTCAAATTTGTGTATAAAGTGTAGACTCAGAAATAAAGGTACCCAATTCCCCACAATTTTTCTCCTCAAGTGCAATTTAACAGAGATTAACACATTTTAAAAAATAGTTTAAATAAATAACTAAATAAATTAAATGACTAATTTCTATTAAATAACATCTTTTGTCTTTGTATTTAGCTTAAATTGCAACCAAAGGGCTTAATTAGGTTAATAATAGGTTAACTAGGGAAGGTTCATTAGTCAAGTCATTGAACATAATAATGAATATTATATTGAAAATAATATTGACTTTAAAAATTGTTTAGAATTTCTTACCTGATTTAATTCCAGCCAAATCAAAATAAATAGGCATTTCTCCAGAACAAAAATATTAATAATTTCGCCTTCAACTGAATGTAAGCATTTAAGCAGTTTGTCAATAGTTGCAAGTGTGACTGAACAAGGTGGAATGTTGCACAAAAAATTCATTAGGTGTTTCTTGTTATCGCAACAGCCCTAAGTGTGCTGATTTTCAGCATGTATGTTTTGGCTTGTATTGTCCTGCATGGTGGGAAGAGTCTTTCAGAGCGCTGCAAGCTGTTCTATGGCAGCAGGTCCTGTACAGCTATGAGGAGAGGAGCTTAGAAATTAGTTTGCTAAAACTATCATGTCTAAAAATGTGTTTTAAAATTCTCTTTGTTAAACAGCACTTCGGAAACAATTGAAAATAAATGACAATTTTATTGCGGGTCTAATAACTATTGCCTGTAACTGTATAGTCTAAAAATGACTGTAAGTTTAGTTTGGGGCTTTTTCGGTCACATGCTGTGAATAAGCTGGCCTTGTAAGAATACGCCAAGTTCTAATTTCATTTGGGAAAGGAATGTGCAAAATAATTTTGTCTTGTTTTGAAAGAGGAAATACTGATGCTTCAAGGGTATTTTCATGACTGGTTTTGCTTTGCTCTTGATAAGGTATTAGAGGTGTTGCACCAAATCCGAATCAACATGAACTGAGTGTGAACAGTGTGTAATCTTAAAATTAAATAAATGTACAAAATGCATTTATTGTGTGTGTAAGTCAACTCTAAATGTAACAAATCATAACATTAAATAAAAATCCAAATCAATTCTGTCAAATATAATTCCCTCTCTCTCCCCCAGGTGCTGATTCCAGCATTTCACATTCACCTGACTGGAAAACAAGGTTGCTGTGCTAATCGCTGTGGGGTGAGTGAGCCTTATTTTAGTCTTCAGTTTATAAATATCTACAATCCACTAGAAACGTAGTTATGAAAATGGACTTTTGCAAGCAGAGGATATGTTCTGTATTTGCCTTCTTTGAAATAGCATTAAACAAACACTTAAAATAAATCTGTTGAGGAGTAAAAATAGAAGAAATTTAGGAAAAAATAAGATTTTATTATTTGGAAACTCAGATTTAAACAAAATTTTAAACCCTTAGGAGCGGAGGACAGTTCTTGCAGTAAAAGGAAAACACAAGCAATTCTATGTTGTATGTGTATTGCAAAAAAAAATAAAAAATCATTTTTCAAATGTGGAAATCTGATGCTGTCCCTAGCTTTGAAATATGTTATACTTAGAATAACTGAGATTCAGGCTTGATCCTAGCTAAAAAAAAGTTATCCTTTGTTAACTTCTTTGTCCTTTGTTTTTGGAAGAAAAATGTTAGGCCTCTTTTTTCTGACTGGCTTCTCGGACTCCCCTCCACTTTACATTTGGAAAGAATAAGATATACCACCTCTAGGAACTCTGCGAAATTTGATAAAATGTGGGATACAGTCTTTTTTTTCTGAAACACCATAAAGACTAAGGGTGTCGTTTAATTTCTGAAGATTTGTAAGTTTTTTTTTCTCTCTACATCCATCGCTGTGTCTTTTTATAGTATGTTTTGTGTCGTCATTTTCGCTTGTTTCTTACTTTTTTTTACATTTTGCACAGATTATTGTTTATGATGGGTTTGTCTGTCTGTTTTTTGTTTTTCTGACTGCAAAAATTATAATAAAAAAAGAAGAACTGAGATTCACACCAAGTGACAAATTGTCCATTTGTAACATGATTTGGGAACCATTCATATTATTTTCGCATTTTTACAAGTCACTTTTTTTACATTCGATTTTTACAAGTCTATTGTATGTTAATTCATTTATTTTATTTCATTATTTATTTTATAATGTCTTTTTTGGTTTCATTGTTCTTGTACACCTTGCTTCAATCTTTAATTTTTGTCCCAGACAGTTCCATATTATGATTGCAAATGTTATTCATGTATGCCTTTTATTTTTTATCCACCTGCGACAAACATTTTGATCAATGTTAAAGTGGGAGATTTTGAGATCTTTTTGTAATAAGCTAAATTAACTGTGATGTACTCCCAAAAGAACTTTGATATACAGTTGAAATCAGAATTATTAAACCCCCTAAATAATTTTCCCCCCAATTTTTGTTTAATGAAGAGAAGATTTTTTTCAACATATTTCTAAACACAATAGTTTTACTAACTTAACTGATCTATTTTATCTTTGCCATGATGACAGTAAATAATATTTTACAGACATTTTTCAAGACACTTCTATTCAGCTTAAAGGGACATTTAAAGGCTTAACTAAGTTAATTAGGTTAACTAGGCAGGTTAGAGTAATAAGGCAAGTTATTGTATATCGATGGTTTGTTTTGCAGACATGGGAAAAATATATATTTTAAAGGGTCTAATAATTTTACCTTAAAATGGCTTTTAAAAAATTAAAAACTGCTTTTATTCTAGCCAAAATAAAACAAATAAGCCTTTCTCAAAAAAAAAATATTATCAGACATACTGTGAACATTGTATCCCATTATCATTTGGGAAATAAAAAAAAGTTTAAAAAAATTCAAAGAGGGGCTAATAATTCTGACTTCAACTGTATGCTTCATATATTTCTTGTAAAGATTTAGATGCTGCTGTATTTTTGAAGGTTTTTCATTGAAAATTAAACTAAAAAGAAATTTAAACCCAACATGCACGATGAAATATTTTGGAAATAAAATCTAGAGATGACAATTGACATCCGTGAACAATATGCATGCGCAAAATGACTGGCAAATGAAAATCAGATTTAGAACAAGATTTAGTATAAAAACTGAAATCTGAAAATACATAAATCTGTTTTATTTTTGTATCACCGCAATCATTGTTGTTTTAGTTAAATTGTAAAGTTTTAGTAATTTGGTTGTGCATTTTTTAAAAATCTGTCTGTTTATAATTATTATTCATTTTATTTTCTACTTCTGTTTAGTTGCTTTTGTTTTACTCAAAAAAAAGTGGAAAAAAAATCTTTAACAACAAGATTACATTTTTTTAAATTTTGTTTTGAGGATTTTCTAATGTTTATTTTGTTTAAAAATAGAAAATACAAAAAACAAATTTTAGTTTCATAGTTTTAGTTTTATACTTCTGTTTAAAAATATTATTATAGTTAAAATGAGAACCCAAATACCTGGGACAGTTCACCAAATGTTTTTTTTAACTTGTTTTCATTTACTCACCCTTTACTTTTTCCAAAACAGTTCTGTCGAACTAAAAAATATATTTAAAAAAAAGTTTCCAACATTCTTCAGATTATATTCTTTGTGTTCAACAGAACAAGAAGAAAGATGGAATAAGTAATGGGTGTATAAATGATAATAAATTTATTTTTGGTGACCTATCCCCATACTTCCCAACGTTTATCTCCAAAGTTTTAAGAGATAACAAAACGGGAGGGTGGTGGGAGATAGGTGTGAAATGTGGGAAACTCACAGGAAAAACGGGAGTGTTGGCAAGTATGACTGTCCTTTTAAACTTGGATAAATGAAAAGACACAATTAGAATGTGTTGTATGAACAGGGACGTACATCTCTCACAAAACCGTTATGATACAGAGACACAAAGAGCAGTTTCTAGATCTGTTGTAAATCAGTACCTTATCAGCACCTCCCCTTTACCGGGTTAAGGAAGTACTGTCATTAAACTGCTGTTGACAGAATCTCTCAAAACCCAACGACAAATAAATGCATTCAGAATGTAACTGAGTACATGTGATGTGACGAACACTTGTCATGTGCTGTTCAGACTATTGAACAGACCTGTTCAAAAACACACAGGCACTCCTCTGTTGTGAAAAATCTATAAAGATGTGACTCATGAGTCTGACGTGTCTTGAAAAATGTGTCCTCACCGCAACTCGCAAATATTTGCAGTTTGTGACTAATAAGAAAATCAACAGTTTTACAGGAATCACCAATGACAACCTCATTGAACAGTGACAGATTTGTATGAGTTCATTTTTTGGCCAAGTTGATGCATGTTTGGGAAATTGTTCTTCAAAGATAATTTATGTCAAACATTTGGGAACAATGATTTATGAAGTAAATGCTGTCTTCTACTTGTAAATGGTAAAACACTGAAGCATGCAAGGTAGATAACTGTTTTTGAAATATTAGTAAAATCTGGAATAATTAAAAATAATTTTAATTGCATTGAACTGCATTATGGGATATTGATTTCTGTATGGAAATCTTTTGATGTTGAATATTTATAAGTTTAACAATCATTTTATTAACATGTTTAGCAGTCTAGCTCCAGTTTCCCCCACAGTCCAATCACATGAGAAATATGTAAATTGGATAAACTAAATTGGCTGTAGTGTGTGATTGGGAGAGTGTGTGGGTGATTTTCAGCACTAGAGGTTGCCACTATAAGAGCATCCACCAGTCAAACAATTAACAAAGTAATTTGGTGGTTCATTCTGCTGTGGCGACCCTTGATAAAGCATGAAATAAGCTAAAGGAAAGAGAATGAGTGTGTGAGTAAAACAATATATTGTATACAAAATTATTTATAGATATAAATCTGTATTGGCAGTTCATTACCCATTTCTTTTACCATAATCTACATGACCAAGCTTGACATATCTTGTTTTAAACTTATAAAAATGTCTATAAATCTCCCTTTGTAAAACTTTTCAACACCAAAGGTTGTTGGAAACAAGATTAAGGTTGCATGTTTGAATTTTCAAAGCGGAAATAAACAGAAAACACCAATAAATCCCATAATGCATCTGTTTGTTAATATAGTATCTGTTAGTTAACAGATTGTAGTCGTCTTTCAAGTGTAACTGTAGAGTAATTGTATATCTCCTTTTTTATTAATTCGATGTATATGTTTGTGTTGCATTAATCAGATCATTCTAATTAAATATTTTCTTTTTCAGATGTTCCTGTCCATTTTATTTGCAGCAGTAGGCGTTGTTGGCGCTCTCTATAGTTTCATAGTAGCGCTGATGGGTCTAATTAATGGGCCATACTGTTTATCTAGCTTTAGTTGGACCACTCCCTTTAAAGACAGGTAAAGCCACGCACCTTAGTATTTGAATATATTTAAATATATACATTTCAAAAATTAAAAGAGAGCTAATAATTTTGATTTCAACTTTATATATATATATATATATATATATATATATATATATATATATATATATATTTTTTTTTTTTTTTTTTTTTAATTTGTATTATTATGAATTGTATGAATGTATGAATTGTATAAATACTGTATAATGAATATTTCCCAAATGATGTTTAACAGAGCAAGAAAATTTTCACAGCATGTCTGATAATATTTTTTTCTTTTGGAGAAATACTAATCTGTTTTATTTTGGCTAGAATAAAATCAGCTGTAAAAAAAAAAAAAAAACATTTTAAAGTGCATCTATGGTGAAAAATCTACTTTTCAAGCTGTTTGGACAGACATATGTGTAGGTATAGTGTATAGACCGTCATATTGGTGTGATATAAACACACCCAGTCCTTTTTTCAATTTAGCAACATAAAAATGGTATATATATTAAAAAACATTATTGTTTATATATATATATATATATATATATATATATATATATATATATATATATTGTTTGACTCTCTCAGGAACGAGAGTTACCTTAAGGACCGTGACTCATGGAAAGATTGCACCGAGCCGAAGAATGTGGTGGAGTTTAATGTGGGTCTGTTCTCCACACTACTGGTGACCAGTGCTGTGCAGCTCGTCCTTTGTGCAGTGCAGATGATCAACGGTCTTTTCGGCTGCCTCTGTGGAACCTGCAAAAAAGACAAGGGGGTGAGGAATTCAGATGAGAAACAAAAAGCATATTTAAAGTAATATATTACATTACTCAAACACTGTAAAATATACAGTGAAAGAGAACTGATTAGTATTTCGGTTTAGAGTTAGACACGGAGGAGATGATGTAAATGATTATGTTTTACCCCTCCCTATTGGTTTGAAGGGAGCTACGTTTTGTTTCTTATTCAAAACTTGTTGTAAAGTAGTGTGTTTACACACAAACAAAAAGACTTCCAATCTATTCCTGTTCAGTTTTAAAGGAGACAAATCCGACTTTTTTTTTGCACAATGCAATTTTAGTCCATTTAATAATCTTGCAAAAAATAAATTCTTTCTTTCCCTTATAATTTACTTTATTGCAGAAAAATATTTTAGATTTGAGTATGTTTGTAAACACTCAGCAGTAAGTAGGACACTATAGTGCAGTACAGTATATTGTAAACACTGTCAGCAGTACATTATCTGTATTAAAGTAAAATAATAATAATCAATAAAATTACCCCAGTGCATGTGATAATTATTTTTTATAGTCTAAAGCAGAGATGCCAAAACTAGGGCTGGTGGTAACCTGGTAGCTTTTAATTTGGCCCGCCTTCTCATCTGAGAAGAGAGGGAGAATAATGGGGATGGTTAAGAGACTGTCATTTCATATTTAATGTAACCTTTTCTTAGTTTGTTTTATTGTTAAGCTACACAAAAAAGCTAACTGAAAATAAACGTTTCAATTTAAATGGTTTAAATAAATCAGAATTAGTTTAAAATGTACATACTGTCACCTGACGGATAGAAGACAATGCAGAGACTTGTATTAAGCATTGAACTCTGCTGTTATACATGTGATTATGTTTTTATTGCATTTTATTGCAAATATATATATATTTTTTATTATTCTGCATTAGGTAATATAATTTAAAGTAATGTTTCTATTTATTTATAAATAAAATTGGCAACTTAAATGTAAAAATGTTTGGTATCTTTATCTTCGGCCCATGGCTCTCAATGATATTTGGCTTTTGGCTCTTCATACAAAAAAGTTTGGGCTAAAGTAATAATTAAGAAAATCTCAATTATGTCATTCATTTGTGTTCCAAACAAGGGCAACTTTTCTATTAAGGGACAAGAATTACATTCACAATGATTCTGCAAAACCTGTGCCTTAAGTTGTATATACAAGTAAAAACTTACAACATAAATTCACAGAGAAAGCATACGTTAGCATTATATTGAAACATCTGTTTATATTTTTATAAAACAACTCACCACAGAGTTAAGGGATCAGAAACTATCAATCTGTAAACATGCTTTGTACTTTAAATGAAGAAAATAAACATGCGTTATTGATGTGATGGAAAAAGTTAGCGAGTTTACAGTCTACAACATACTTTGTAGAAATTCTGTGTATTAAACTGCACAACCCAAAAGAAATAATGGTGATCAACAGGATGAGAGTCGGCTCTCTATAGAACAAAAATGACAAAAAAAAATGAATTATTTTATTTGACATTTTTTGCATTTATGAGGAAAAAGCTTCGTTATGGATGTGACAGATGTAAAATTGGCACTTGTGTGATTTTGGTAAATCAAATATAATAGCTTAAAGCCATCGACAGAGACATTTTGAATGGTTTTAAAGCACTGTAAAACACTTGCTCACACAAAAAGCGCAGAAACGTGAAAACTTAATTCTTTTCATAGCAAGGCATAAAATTGCTCATATTTCATTTAAATACATCGAACATATTCATTAAACTTATTTATGTTTTAGTGTTTAAATAGTAATATGAGCATATTCTGATCTACTGTAACCTCTGATTGGCTATTTCAGCAGATGAGTGATTTTAAGATGACCCATTTTTAAAAATTCTGACATTATTTTCCAATTTGTGTCCACTTTTCCAAACTTGTTTGAGTTTCTTTCTTCTGTTGAATACAAATAAACACTAACTAAAAACCAAAACGCCATCAACTTCCATATTTTTGCTATGGATGTTAATGGCTGCTTTTTCCCCAGCATTCTCTAGAATATTAGTTTAGAAGACAAAAGTGTGTAAGTAAATAGCGAGGACATTTTTATTTTTGTGTGAACTATCTCTTTAATATTTTATTGGAAATTTTAAAAATGCTAAGAAAATTGTGAATTTTGTGACAGGTAAAAAAACAACTTACAACTCTCCAATCCGATGACTGTGACTAACACAGAAATAGTTAATTTTAAACAAAGTGACTCAAAATCTAAATAAATTCGTTTTTATCTGTTGAAAACAAAAGATAATGGGAAGAATGAAGGTTACCTTAAATCAAAGTCAACGACTACCCTCAGCTGTTTAGTCCCTTCATCACCAGCGTCGTGCGAGTGCTGCAAATGTCCCTTCAGGAGTTCCGTAGTTTTACAATTGTTATCATTAAAAAAAATCATTGAAATTGCTGGTATTATACTCAGAAATTAGAGTAGGGTTAAGTGGTGAAAAAGCGGTAATTGTTTTCTTTGATTTATCTATCATGCTATTATTGTTGCTTTTTTTTAGCCGCTGTAACTCCTTACTGCTCCAAACGCCCGGGAGACCATATCCATCACACCTGCCACCCAGCCTCCCAATCAGCTACCGAGCGCCATCTTCTGGAAGATGTTGAAGAATTTAATGGAATGTGTTTGTACTTTGTGTGTGTACACGTAAATCTTTTCATATTTTGATGTTTATTGCTTACATTTTTTCTTACTACTGTTTTTTAAGTAAAGGCATATGCGTAATGACTTCTAGAGCCAATCATATTTTTTAAAGAAAGTTGCGTTAATTAATGGCATAACACTCGTTTTGTATGCATCTGTTTTTTATAGGTTAAAGATTAAATGAACATACTAAGAATAAAATCCAAACTGTTACACAATGTGTGGAATGTGTGACTTTTTAATATTACACAATATAATTCTTCCCAGAAATATGAGAATTTCTATCAAGTTAAATTAATATCTCTGTAAAACATTTAAAAGACAAAAATACACTGGTAAAAATACAATTTTTAAGATGAATCATGTAAAAGAATATGTACATTCAGTAACATTTCAAAAAAGTTCCGTCTGCCCACAGTGTGAGTGTTCTTTGGGACAACTATTATTTATTTGCGCAACACTCACATACAAGTATGATAGCCACATTGACAGCACTTAGAAACAGTTAAAACAATGCAGCATTTTACTAAAATATATTTCATCTACACTATTTGTAATAACAATTATTGAAAAAAAGCATTATGAAAAGGTTGCCTCTGGTTTTTGAAACCCACTGTATTTAACACTTTTACAGTCACATTTTAAGTTCACACTTGAAAATTATGTTACAGTGATCGGCATATATAACTAAACCTCTCATGAATCTATAAAATTCATGTTTTAAAAGGAAGCAGTACAATATTATATTTGTGCATATACATTAGTCAGTACTAAATCTGGAGCTACTCTAACAAGATAACTTACAATAACGGTCCAAAAACTATAGCTCTAAGTTATTCAGTATGTTATAGAAAAACATTAAATACAAATTTAAAAAAAAAAGAGAAGCAAAAAAGAGAATTTAGTTGAGATTTTGTAGGGTGTTTTTTTGTTTGTTTGTTTGTTTGTTTTATTTGCAATATTTTGCTTGAATTTAATTTTATTATCTCTCAATTTATAAATATGTTTGGTGACTAAAATATTATTTTAATAAATATATCTGTTTACTAAATCTGTTTTGTTTAAATTAACTAAATACATTGCCTATATTCACTGAGAAATGGGAAAAGACATTCGTTTTGAAAATGGGGTGCACTCAATTATGCTGAGCATTGTATATGCATTTTATTACTTATGGTTTATCAAGAGAAGATCAAGTTTAGACTAAATGCTAAATATGTACTGACAAATGTCCCACCTGTGCAATGGTTCCAGCTAGGGGGTTAAAAGCAAATTACAGAATTTTGTTTAATTAAGAATAAGCAAAAATACATTTCTGATTGAACAAAATTAATACAAGTTTCAAATGAACTGGGATTAGAAACAGATTAGAAACAGTTTTGATCCTATATGTTTATTTTACCTACTAGTGCTTTCAAGGCAACATCGGCTGCGTCCAAAAGTACGCAAATAGCTAGCACCAAAGCTCTCTGTATTTTGATGTACATACATTAAATAATCATTTTGTCTTAGAACCTTAAAAATCAATGGTGCAATACAAAAATATCCTTCATTGGAAATGTATTATACACACATCATCTTTTTGAAATCAACAGCATATATTGTTTGACTGCAGGTGAACTATGCATAAATACAATCCACAATGTACACAACTCTATAACTTTACTGATTTTGACTGTAATGCAATAGTGTGCAACATTTGTAGAGCTCAAATTAAAATTATTCATGAGATATACACTACCTGACAAAAGTCTTGTCGCCTATCCAAGTTTTAGAAACAACAAATAATAACTTGACTTCTAGTCGATCATTTGGTATTAGAAGTATCTTATATGAAAGGCAAAGGCCTCTAGATTACGCTTATCTTACCAAAATAAAATATGATCATGACAAAAGTCTTGTCACTAAACAGAAATAATATACAGTATAGAATATAAAGTCACGATGCAGTGGAAAAAGAATTAATATTGTGTTTGACTCCCATGAGCTTGGAGGACTGCATTCATACATCTCTGCACTGACTCAAATAACTTATTAATAAAGTCATCTGGAAGGGCAAAGAAGTATTCTTGCAGGACTCCCAGAGTTCATAAAGATTCTTTGGATTCATCTCCAATGCCTCCTCCTTCATCTTACCCCAGACATGCTCAATAATGTTCATTTCTGGTGACTGGGCTGGCCAATCCTGGAGAACCATGAATCCTGATGAATCTTCTGAAAACTTTACCCACTGTTCAGGCAAGTTATTATTTGTTGCTCTTACAACTGGAATCAACGACAAGACTTTTGTCAGGTAGTGTATACACTACAAATGAATGCGAGTTGAAATCAGTGGTGCCTTCATGTGCAATTGCTGCCAACAGAGTCACTGCCTGACAAGTCAGTAAAGCTTTCAATCGCAGTCATAATTTAAGCTGTTGGCACACAAGAGTACTGCACGTTACATGGAGTCATTAGTTACAGAAATCCAGGAATGCTAAGATGTTTTATATCTTTACTGCATAGCTACAATATATTTTACAAGACTTTGAGATTTTAATTATGAGCAAAAAATAAATAAGTAGACTAAAAATGTAGTATTTGTAAGATATAAGGTTACAAATAAAAATGATTGATATGAAGGAGTGATGAGACCAGTGTTAACAGTGCAATAAACAGATCACTTCTGCTGTGTCACAAAAAGTTCAGTCATCACTGAGAATACACTACGGTGCAATAAAGTTTTAAGACCCTCGGGCCAAGGTCTATCCAATTTAAAATGCTAATAAATGTGTATATATATATATATATATATATATATATATATATATAGTTCAGTATAATTATTTACTAATTTAGAATTTTTTTTTATATTTTGTGTTGTGTGGATTATGAACAAACACAAATTAGCAATGGCTAAAAACAGAATATTTATAAAGTAACAGTAACCTGGAGTATGTACTGCCTCAAAAAGTATTGTTCACTGATAGGTCATGATATATTTGATGTGTTAATTCAATTGAATCTTATTTTAAAGCGTTAAAATAAATAAAGCCTTGTTATAAAACTGACTGTTAGTGTGCGCACAAACCATGGCACAGTAAATACAAAACTGTTTAATGCTAATAAACGAGACTGGAAGGTCAGCTGTCAAACTGTGCCATCATGACTTTCCGACTGGCTTCATAACCTAAGAACAGTGCACCGTTTGCTGGAAATGTCCGAATCATAGTGGGAGTCAGACCAGAATATAGAGCTCTTACACCTGAAAATAAACAAGACATATTTAAATCTGGTTTCAGCAATTGTTATTGGGTAAATCATAATATCAATGCTCAGATCTTTGTCTTACCTTCGGTTCTGAAGATATGCATGAAAGTCTTGAAGAAGCCTGATTGTCTGCCTGTCATCGACATGACCTGTATCCTGGATTTAACACAGTCCATTGGGTAAACCACCAGCCAGAGACAAGCTCCACCAAAACCTCCACTGAACACGATGGGTGCGACACCTACAAAACACAAACACACGTCACAGCCGATAACACAGGACATCTTAGATCTAAGAGTATATACACCGACCGCAATCATGAGCAAAATGATGCAAAACAGAGAAACTGAAGTATTTCAAAACAACTAAAAACACTTTTTAAAATATTCTCTCTGCTCTCCAAGCCCACATTTATTTAGCAGAAATCATGAACATTTATTCAGTTTAAAGTGTAAATTAAATCAAATCAAATCAAACCATATAATTTTGTAAGCTCACATTGCTCATTTTGTGGTGATCAATTCATCTGTGTATGACATAAAAAAGTTTAATAACATAAAAGTTTAAATAAAAGTTTAAAATAAATAGTTTGCCCTCATTGTCTAAAATTTAAATCTTAAATTGCACTTCCTGTTAGTTTTTCGTTAAATTCTAAGATTTCGTCTGTCTGCAGTATTGGGGTGGCTAACATACTTAACCACTCCCCCAACAAATAGAAATGGTGAGGAGGAGGTGTCTGTTTGGTTATAAGAACTCTCCCTAAACCCTTTTCCCAATAGTTCCAAAACAAAACTTTACTACATCCAGTCAGCTCACAGCAGAAAAAACATGCCACACCCATTGTTTTCCCATTTAATACTCCATTTCTCTAGGACAGAGATGGCCAAACAAGGGCCTGTGGGCCAAAGTTGTAATCTTTGATTTGTTTGTTATATTGTTAAGCTACAAAAAAACTAAATGAAATTACATGTTTTAATTTAAATGCTGTAATTTACTTTAAAATGTACATACTGTCACCCAACAGAGAGAAGACAATGCAAAGACTGTGAGCAAATCAAGGCAAAGACAAACTGTGCTTGACTAGTGTATTCAGCGTTAAACTCCATTGTGCTTTGTCTATTTTTTAAAATATTATGAAATTACCTATGGCAGTTTTAATGTCAAATAGTTTGGTATATTTATCTTTGGCCCACAGCTATCAATGATATTTGCTTTTTGGCCTTTTATCCGAAAAAGTTTTTTTTCTTTTTTAATATAACAATCTATTAATTTAAATCAAATAAAATCTGTATCAAATTTCATTTGTGCCATTAAAATACTGGTTAAGGTATACAATGAGTGTTTATTTTTGTGATTGTAGTTAGGGATACATGTGATTTTGAATGTAATTGTGAGGTGAAACCAAGGACTAATTTTTACTTCTGGACAATATAGAAAGTCAAAATCTTTTGAAGTAATATAAAAGCTGTTTCAGGCAAAGCAGTGTCGCAGTAGGTAGTGCTGTCACTTCACAGCAAGAAGGTCGCTGGGTCGACCCTCGGCTGGGTCAGTTCAGTTGGCATTTCTGTGTGGAGTTTGCATGTTCTCCCTCCGTTTGCGTGGGTTTTCTTTGGTTTCCCCCACAGTCCAAAGACATGCGGTACAGGTGAATTGGGTAGGCTAAATTGTCCGAAGTGTATGAGTGTGTGTGTGTGTTTGTGTGTGTGTGTGTGTGTGTAAATGAGTGTGTGTGGATGTTTCCCAGAGTAAGGTTGCGGCTTGAAGGGCAATTCGCTGCGTAAAAACGTGCTGGAAAAGTTGGTGGTTCATTCCGCTGTGGCGATCCTGGATTAATAAGGGGACTAAGCCGAAAAGAAAATGAATGAATGAATAAAAGCTGTTTCTGTCACATTTACTGTAAATGCATCACCAGGAGCCACATGTATTTATTTTATTTTGTCTATATATATATATATATATATATATATATATATATATATATATATATATATATATATATATATATATATATATATATATGTGTGTGTTTCTTTGAGTCTGAAAGTGACAGTTATCCACTAATTAGCATTTTATGAATAAGCAAGCACTTTGGGTTCTGCTAAAATTGTTGATGCACTGCTGAGAAAAATTAAAATTGCATAATGGATGCTCAGAGGGTAAGAAAATTAACTGCAAATGTTTATTATCACCCTTGCTGTATTCATTTATTCATTCATTTATTCATTCATTCATTTTCTGCGGCTTTTGCGGGCCGGGTCGTGGGGGCAGCTTGGGTAATGGTAGAGTCCACCCCTGAATCCTCAGTATCGGCTTCCTCAATAGAAGATATGTCGGTGGAGTTAAATAATTAAATAAAAAATACAATTAAATAAATTTAAATTCATATGGATATAATTATCCTAGACAAGGGTGACACGATGGCTCAGTGCATAGCACTGTCATCTCACAGCAAGAAGGTTTTAAGGCCTCGGCTGGGTCAGTTGATATTTCAGTGTGGAGTTTGCATGTTCTCCCCGTGTAGGTGTGTTTCCTCCAGGTGCTCTGGTTTCCCCAACAAGTCCAAAGACGTGGTATAGGTGAATTGGATAAGCTAAATTAGCCGTAGTGTGTGAGTGTGTTCGAGTGTGTATGGGTGTTTCCCAGTAATTGGATGCAGCTGGAAGGGCATCAGCTGTGTAGAGCATTTTAAAACATTCCGCTGTGGCGACCCCTGATGAATAAAGGGACTAAGCCGAAACAAAATTAAAGAATAAATAAATTTTATAAATAAATTAAATAAATTCTGTAATAAATAAATATAATAATAATATAATAAATAAATTCTATAATAAATAAACAAAGTATACTGGCAATTTTACCATTCATTTAGTATTTAGATTTCTTATTTATGTGAGGTACATTTGAAATTTTAATTATTTTCCAAATATTTTTCAAGTGCTTTTAAATTTAATAAAACAATTTTAAACACATTTTTAATCATAATACTTTTGATAACTTCTAATTTGTCTTGGCCATGATGACAGTGCATTATATTTTATTAGTTTTTTTTCAAGGTACTAGAATTCAGCTTAAAGTGCAATTTAATAGCTTAACTGGGTTTAATAGGTTAACTAGGCAAGTTAGTTTGATTACGCTAATCATTGGACAACAATGGTTTGTTCTGTAGTCAATCGAAAACAAATTTATTATTTATTTAATCTACAAAAGGATTAATATAATAATGGCTGAAACTTGCCCTTGTTTTGTTAAAAATCACTTATAAACATTTAAAAAAGACTTTAAATTTCACAGGAGGGCTAATAATTCTGTCTTCACCTGCATGTGCCTGTTTATTATCTCTGTCGCTATCAACAGGGTTAACAAGGGTCAGCTCTTTTTAAAAAAAACAAAGACTTCCTTGTTTACTGATTGACAATAATAAATGACTCAGGTTTGTCATTTCATTAAACACACACAAAAAAAACAGACCAATCAATACATGAGAATCTAAGTATGCTGTTAGTCATCATGCTGTCAATATTTCAGATAAGGTCATTATAATGATAAACTGTAGAAACTGTCCTTCTGAATGTTTCCATACCTATGTCATCCTTGCCACAGTGCATGTAGTCGGCAAAGAGAGAGCGGCAAAGCTCGTACGCTCCAAAAAAACAGAAATACCCAGGCACCTCACGGGCAATGGTTGTGGTCAAACCCTGGAAGAAACCTGCAGGACCATCATTATGCATAATGGACTTCATCACCGACCAAACTGTGCTGGAAAATACAGACAGTCAGACAGAATGAATCGGTAGTAATGCAAGCTCTCAAAAATAAAAATAATTATGTATAAAGTGTCTGCAGAGAGGCTTAAATATTAGTTCAATACTTACTTCTGGCTTTGGGTGATCTTGCCGGAGGATGCCATCTCATGCATTGCCTGCAGTCGACACTTCACCAGCTCAGTGGGACACAAGACCAGAGAGGAGAACACAGAGGCCACAGAGCCCGCGCACGCTTTCTGCATATCACTGAACACAAATAAACATACAGAGCAAAAATTAGCTCAACTGATATAGATTTTGATCTACTTGATTGTTGATTTTAAACAGATTTTTTTTACTATTTTAATTCTGCAGGGATTATATAAATTAATCAAAAAACAATTATATTGTTACAGAAATGTATATATTAATATACACTCACCGGCCACTATATTAGGTACACCTGTTTAACTGCTCGTTAATGCAAATTTCTAATTAGCCAATCACATGGCAGCAACTCAATGCATTTAGGCATGTAGACATGGTCAAGACGATATTCAGCAGTTCAAACCGAGCATCAGAATGGGGAAGAAGGGTGATTTAAGTGACTTTGGTCTGAAGGCACAAGGGTCTAATCCAGTACAAGTAAGGTGTACCTAATAAAGTGACCGGTGAGTGTACACATATTAATTTTTGTGAAATGTTTTTGTATTTATCTTAAAAAGTTGTTGTATTTATTTAGAAATTAATTATTGTTTTATCTTTGTAAACATGATTGTGGTTTATCTGTGTTTCTAAAATTGCATCCATTTTTATCACACATAAATTACAATATATTTGAGAAAACATTGTAAATGAAACTAAATATTTCACATATTAGTTATAGTTCAAATCATCCAAAGAAATGTATAGTTTGCCTTTTGGAAGAATAGACTAAAATAGCTAAATTCACGGATGTCATTCTTAACATAATAAATGTCTTTGTCAATGTCAATTTTACATTCTTTCCATTCAGAAAATGTATAAGATACATAAACGCAACCTTTTGTTCAGTATTAGTAATAAGAGCACATCTTTTTTGAACACATGATTTCTCAAAGCCTTTTGAAAGACTCCAGCTTCCATCTTAAGAAAACATTACAGTCAAATAACATTAAATTCAATCAGCAGATGTGAATTGTTGAATACTGACACAAATAGAAACATCACTTAAACTGAACGTGCCTCAGCTCAGCCCCTTTCCCCTGTCCAGAGACAAAGCGAACCACCTCCTGGCAAAAGCCGTAGCACATGAAGAGCACAGAGTTCTCTGCGATGTTGGCCATGAGGGCCGGTGTGGTGCCTTGATACAAGCCTCGAAGGCCCACCTGTCTGTATGTGGACACGAAGCAGTCCACAAAACCTCTGTACAATGTGGGAAACGTCTGCATTTTCACCTTCGCCGTGTCCAAAGGTTGACCACTAAATACACAAGCTGCACCCCCTAAAGAGGAAAGAAGTGCGGGAGAAAGAGTTTTTGTTGTTGTTAATAAAATGTATCGTAGATTGTAGGATTGTAACATTTTTAATCATCAATATATATATAAATCTTTTAGCACATTGTTCTTTTCATGGTTAGAAACTTTAATAAATTTAGTAATTGATACCAAGCACAATACATTTAACCCCACCATTTAAAATGATGGAGAAATGTTTTATTATGTTAAAGAATACTTCATTTATTAGGATATCAGTATTATGAAGCAATGATCTACAACTATTCCACAAACAGTAGCATACGCTAGATACTAGATCACACTCTTATCAACATGAATCTAAACAAGACAGATCGGGTCAGTGAGTTTGTGTGTGTGTGTGTGTGTGTGTGTGTGTGTGTGTGTGTGTGTGTGTGTGTGTGTGTGTGTGTGTTGTGGGGACTACTGAGACAATAGATCCAGACTGTGAAACCACATTGGTAAGCAAAAGCACAGCTCAAAGGTCACACAAGGACTGACAAAAGAAACGTTGCAATGCAAACTGTGCTGAAATCTCTATCATCACAGTGGTCTAAATTATGTTACTAATTTTCCCCTTAAATGACCCAGACAAGAAGTGAAGTTACCTATAGCGCCAGCAGAGAGGTCTATAACTGCCTGAACCACCGGATGTGGCGCCATCGTTAAAAATGTCCAACCGATCCAAGAAGTCTTAATTCAAAGATCTGTGCAAAAGATCAGACAGAGATAAAAATATATGTTAATCTATTTAAAACACTGATTTCATCATTGCAGATGCACACAGCAAAATAACAGATCAATCACTGCATAACCTACATAAACAAATGTTTTGAAAACAAATAGCATTAGATTGGGAGCCTTGTCTTATGTGAAAATGTTCCCTTGATTCAAACAGAACATTTATTTTCATATAATCAATTTTCATACAAAAAAAATAGCTAAACAGTTAAAAATATGATTAAATCATAAATAATCTCATATCATACCGTTCAATTTCTAAAAACAAGACTAACTTATTTTTCAATTTTGTTTCATTCATTAATTAATTTTCCTTCGGCTTAGTCTCCTTATTCATCAAGGGTGGCCACAACGGAATGAACTGCCAACTTATCCAGCATATGTTTTACACAGCAGATGCCCTTCCAGCTGCAACCTAGTACTAGGAAACATCCACACACAGTCATTCACTAGGGCCAATTTAGTTTATTCAATTGACCTGTACCGCATGTCTTTGGACAGTGGGGGAAACCGGAGCAACCCAGGGCTCGAACCAGTAACCTGCTTGCGACAGTGCTAACCACTGAGCCACCATGACACCCTTGCTTCATAAATTTAAGTAAATATATCTTTATTTAAAAATAAATTATTTATTATTGTTGTTTGCTGTGTGTTCAACATTTTTGAATGTAAGCCCTTTTCTTTTGATACAAAAAGGGTTTAAAGGTTTGAAATGTGAAAGGGTGATTTAAGACCCTCAGTTAAGTGTACTTTCCCCTCAAGATTCCTAGCTGAATTAGTTACAGCATGTTTGAAGAACAGGCTATCCTGGAGAGAACTGAACAATGTTACATAAGCAGAGCACAGAGCTGAATCTCAAGTTTCATGTGGCAACAAAGTTGAGGGCGCCGACTAGAGAAAGTCGCAAGCACATGACACCATGTGGCACTGAGGGAAACTCACACAAACCCTGACACAAGCCCACGCTCTTCGTTTATCTTCACTGTACACAGTGTCCTGATGCGCTATCTTTGATATTGTGTAACTGTCTATTGTGAGAGGCTAAATAAAACACCACAAACGGCTGCTTACAGACAGACAGACGAGTTTTGCATCACTGTGGATAGAGATGAACATCTGTGAAGTAAAACTGACAACGTGAATTTGACAATAAAACCCACCAAGCACGCTTACCTTATTTGACGAAAGCGCTTACAAAGGAAATATGTATCGCGGTGGTTTGATTCATGTTGTTAGCCTGCTGAACTGACACATATTGCGATCGATTGATAAATGACCTCTCGCCACAGATCCGTGTGTAAATGACAGAGGGATGTAGCGATATCTCGCGAAAGAATTGTTCAACTGTGTCGAATCTTTTCAAGGAATCGCTTAAAACAGCGGCCACGAGTCGGTCAGAGCGGTTCGTGAAACGACTCGTCTAAGACATCGAGTTTTTGGAAAAGTAGCAACAGAATTATGTAACTCCTGCATATTAAAAACGGGAAACACTAAGTGCATATGCAAACGTGACGACGTTTTCAATTCAAATCATGTCTAGATTGTTTTAAGACAAAATAATTCAAAGTAAATTCTTAATTTGTGACCATGACAATGTTAATATAATTACACAACAATACGCAGACAGGATAACACTTTTATAATTATTTGAGATCATTGTAGTTTAAAATTTGATTTAAAATTATAGTTACTATTAAAATAAATACATAAGCAAATAATTTATTATACTACGTGAGGTCATGACTTAAAGAATCAATTGAGTTGCTTTTTAACCACTCTGTTCAAAAGAACCAACTCGCATAAATGACTCGCTCGGGCTTCCCATCACTGAAGGGATGGAGGTTGACAGCAGCAACAGCAGACCCCTCCCCTGGACCACTTTATGAGTTTGTCCCTGTTCCGATTACGATCCAGTTTAATCGCATTGTATCTGTATCTAAAACAGACCAATTAAAAAAAATAAAGTCGCAAAATTGAAATACTTTTAAAAATGATAAATTAGTAAATTCACATTAGTGGATTCAAGAAAAAGCCCGGAACTTGTATACGTCTCCGGCGCCGGTCGGACAGTTGTCAGCGCTGCACAGGGAAACGTGCATGGACGACATTGAGGTCTTGTAAGAGGGGCAAATATGTACAGAAGATTGTTAATAAATATACATCAGGTTCGAAATGGATTAATTCATGCACAGAAGACACGAACACCCTCCGTAAAATGTAAAGAAAATGAGGGTTTTGCTCACACGTTTTGGTAAGTTGCAGATTTACGAAACTGACTGATGACAGATTTGATGGTCAGACTAGTATTTTATTTTGGTTATTGGTATCTGCAAATCTTAAAGTGATCTTAAAACTAAATAACGCACATATCAGAATTAAAAAGTGCTTGATTGACATGTATATTTTCATTGTATTGAACATGTTTATGTCATGTCTAATACGTGTATAAATGTTCATTTCAGCACATGTATTTATTTATATAAATATAAACAAACTGTTTTCAGGACCACAGGTTCAACAAGCCACAGGCCATTAGGAACCAGTAGCATCTGTTTTAGTGACAATAAAGAGAGCTCCACATCCCTGTCAGATGACAAAGAAAAGAGACGAGAAGAGAATGAGGCTAAAGCTGAAGTTGGCACTGATGGCCAGAGGAACACAGAAATTAAAAAGGGCCCGGATATATCAAATACAGCTTTGACATCAGAACTAGAGACTGAAGTAGAGTTGAAACCTAAGGAAATCAAGAAACCTGAAAAAGAGAAAACTGGGAAGGAGAGTCTTCTGGAGCTGCTTGGGGCAATGAAGGTGGATGTCACTACTGTGCGTAAAGTGAGACCCCCAAGGTTTCCTCGAATCAGTGAAAAACCCAGCACAGACCAAATGGAAAGCACACAGAGCATGTTTCAGGATGCCATGGCTGAGGGTTCGAAACAGCGGTGAGTTATACAAATACACATACAGTTGAAGTCAGAATTATTACCCCCTTTGACTTATTAGCCCCCCTGTTTATTTCTTTTTTCCAAATTTCTGTTTAATGGAGGGAAGATTGTTTCAACACATTTCTAAACATAATAGTTTTATTAACTCATCTCTAATAACTGATTTATTTTATCTTTGCCATGATGACAGTAAATAATATTTTATTTGATATTTTTCAAGGCACTTCTATACAGCTTAAAGTGACATTTAAAGGCTTAACTAGGTTAATTAGGTTAACTAGGCAGGTTAGGGTAATTAGGCAAGTTATTCTATAACGATGGTTTGTTCTGCAGATTATAAAAAAAAATGCTTAAAGGGGCTAATAATTTTGTCCCAAAATTGTTTTTTTTTTTAAATTTAAAACTGCTTTTATTCTAGCCGAAATAAAAAATAAGACTTTCTCTTGAAGAAAAAATATTATCAGACATACTGTGAAAATTTCCTTGCTCTGTTAAACATAATTTGGGAAATAAGAAAAAAAAGGGAAAAAAATCCAAAGGGGGCTAATAATTCTGACTTGAACTGTATGTGACCCTGGACCACAAAATTAAGTTTTGATATATTTACAGTAGAAAAAGTACAAAATGTCAGATTTTTTTTTACAAAGAAAAAAATATATTATTTTGACTCGTAAAATGTATTTTTTACTATTGCAACATAAAGGTTTGTGGTCGAGGGTCACATGTTACGGTATCATTTTTTTTTTGTTAAGGTAATTAATGAAGCTTTCATTATGATATGTAGCATTATTACAACTACTGCATTAACTAACCTATTTTGAACTAAGAAATAGCTTGAGAAATAGCTACATTTGTTAGGTATGTTATGTTAATGTGAGTTTAACAAAATATAACTCAACTCTAATAGTTATTAGTTTCATTAAACAAGACAGTTTGTTTAGATTTCTTAAAAATTACTATTATCTAAGAGTAATAAGTGCTTTACAAGTAGATTTATTATAATCAGCATTTCAGTTTAAAAACAAAAACCTTTATAGACCTTTTAATTAAAACATAACACTCTATAATGTACAACATGTATATATGTTTTATTTCATCAGTTTAGTTGCATTGCTTTATTTCATGACCTTCATTGTAAAGTGTGCTATAGCGAATCAGAATATTTTTAGTCAATATCTGGGGCATGCCGTTGAGAAAATTAAACATTTATTCGAAAAAATGACCAATTAAAGGGATAGTACACCCCAAACTGAATACCCTGTCATCATTTTCTCACCCTTCACTTGGTTCAGACCTGGTGGAGTTTTTTTTCGACTGTTAAACTTAAGAGAAGAAGTTTTGAAGAATGCTGAAAACCTGTAACCATTGACTTCCATAGGAGGAAAACAAATACTATGGAAGTCAGTGTTTACAGGTTTTCAGCATTCTTCATAGCTTCTTCTTTTGTGTTCAACAGAAGAAAAAAATGAGCGAGAGGGAGTAATCTTTCATTTTTAGGTGGACTATCCCTTTAAGTCTTAAAGCATTTGGTGCTGTGATGAATGTCACTGCCAATAAAACAGTTTGAATATTTTCAATTAGTGTTCTAAAAACCAGAATAATAAATAAAAATTGTAAAAAAAATAATTTGATGTGCCTATGATAACAATGTCATGCATGCTTTTTTAACTTGTTTTTTTTATTAAACTGTTTATAAACATAGTATACACAAAACATTTACTTACAATGTTTACATTCACAAAAAAATAATCAAATAAATAAAATTAATAGATCAATTATAATAATAAATAAATAAGAAGAAGAACTTGAAAAATGATTTAAAAAGTAGATAAATAACTAAATAAATAAACTCCAATATAAAGACAATAACTAAAACAATGCCCCATGGTAACATTTCAAAGTACAAATAAGTATGTTTCAATTAATGGCCAGGTCTGTTAAAAAATGTCTGATTTCAACTGCAAATCTGCAGTCATTTATTTATATGATTCAGCCTCTGTGTCCATTTTGTCAAAGTAGATCAGCGGGTCTTCATATCCAGTTCACTGTAATTATGTAGTACAAATAGGTAAGACATACTGAACTGATCAGAGGAAGCCATCAAGCAAAAAATAAAATAAAATAAAAATAATGGGTGCATTTTGTATTCCAAAACTTTTCTAATCTCCCTTTTAACCTCCTGCCAATACACTTATATTTTGGGACATTCCCAAAATATGTGAACATAATCTACAATCTCTCTAGCATTGTGATAATTGTAAAGATCTATAGAATTTGGCGACCACTAATGGGACTCTGAAGAACCTCATCTTCATCTTCCAGTATCATACATGCTTTATTTAGCAAGATCTGTTATATTGGAGTGTAAGCACTCACATATTTCATACACAAACGCTGAAGCAAAACGTCTGATAACGACACTTCCATGTGTGTATTCATTTATTAAGAGGTAAATAACTAGAATAAGTTTAGATTAGCTTTCAGTTTAGACATTATAAACATTTGTGATGTCTGAATAGCTCATTACCTCTGAAATTAAAGAGAAGGCTTTCTCTTTTTTTGCATGTATTTCAGCGAGACCTTGAATCCAGCGCTGGTTGCTGCAGCTTCTGCAGCTGCGTCCACGTTGCCAAACAGCCAACAGGTGGAGTCAGAGCTCCTCCAGCAGCTGAGGAAACATGAAGCAGAACCGGACGCTCAGAGAGCCGACAGACAGAACATAGGGTGGGTTATGAAAAGTCAACCTATTTTCTGAATGAATACTTTTATTGATCTTGAAATAAATGATTGTTTCTGGTGAATTACACTTGACTTTTCAAACAGTTATTTTTGTTTGACGGGATAGTTCACACAAAATTGAAATGCTGAAAACCTGTAACCATTGAATTCTGTAGGATTTGTTTTCCTTACCGAGGATCAATGGTTACAGGTTTTCTGTTTTCTTCAAAATATCTTTTTTTGCGTTCAACAGGAGAAATAAACATTCATGACCACTTGAGGATGAGTAAATGAGTAAATAATGAGTGAAATTTCATTTTTGTGAATTTTCAAACAAACATATACAGGCAAAACAAAACTAACACCCCTGGCTTCTGACGATATATTGCGGTCTTTTGAAGCGATTGATTTGTACGAGAAATTGACTGTTATTTAATGCATTATTATCTATAATGCTCCTTAAGACTTCATCTTCAGGTGCTATAGGAAGTAGTTTTGTTTGTGTGTATATTTTTTGAAACTTAAAGTGATATTTCACCCTAAAAATGAAAAAGACCTCATCATTGATTGAAACTCAAGTGTTTTTATAAAATTCCTTCTTCTGTTGCACACAAAGAAAGGTTTTCTGAAGAGCATTGGGTAAAAGCAGCCGCCACTCACATTTATGGAAGGAACAAAAATACCATTGAAGTCAATGGCTGTTTTTCCCAGAATTTTTCAGTATATTTTCTAGAGGTGTGAACCTACACTGGTCTTACGGTTTGGTTCGGTTATGATTATCATGTCATCGATTTGGTGCAATTTGATATCTTGATGCCTTGACGATGCTTCGCATACACAATTTGATATTTAATTTATATATATATATATATATATATATATATATATATATATATATATATATATATATATATATATATATATATATATATATATATATATATATATATATATGTATATGTGTGTATATATATATATATGTATGTATATATGTATGTATGTATATATGTATGTATGTATATATGTATGTATGTATATATGTATGTATGTATGTATATATGTATGTATATATATATATGTATGTATATATATATGTATGTATATATGTATGTATATATATAATTTTGTCCTGTTTTGAACTGTACCTTTAAAAACTCAAGTACATGCACAGAACAACATGAGCATTTATAGTAAATAAACGAATGTAAATCTCCCGCTTGCTTTCTGAGCATTGTCGAGGGAGTTCTGACACCCCTATTATTGGTCACGTGCTTAACTTGCACTTGTATATTCAGAAGTATCACTGGAACAGCCAAGAGAAGAGGAAAAGTTACCTTACACCAGCAGGACAAAGGTCCACAGTGAGAGAGAGAGAGAACTAGAGTTTACTTTCATCTTCTCCTTAACAGTAAGCTGTATCTTTAGTGTCTGAGAAAGACTGTCCAGCAAACGCACACGCAGTGAATAGTTTCTGCGTTTTTAAGAAGTTGGAGTGTTTTAATTACTTGCGCTCGCCTCCCTCACCATAGTAAGCTACTGCAGTATAGCGTATATGTGATAAAGGACGTCAGTATGTAATAACTGGTTAGGATCTAATACTGAACCGATACCAAATTGTCTGCATCTGCATCGCGGTGCACTGAAGAAACAATTAATTTTGACACTCTCCTTTCTGTTCAGTAGAAGTAAGACAGTCGAACTGGTTTGGAACAAGTGGAGGATGAATAAAGGATGACAGAATTGTGTCATTTTTGAGTGAACTATCCCATTAAATCTGTGACAAAATATGGATAAAGAATTGCATTGGAAAAACATGAAGTAGGATTATATTTGTTGATAAAAATATATATATTCATATTTAAATGTATGAAATCTTTAAATAGGACAAAGTGAAATATTCATCCATTTGTTGAAGCTTTTATGTGATAATCTCAATCTTTACTTTCAGAGACATAATTGCTGATATGAAAGTTGGGAAAAGGCAGATGGGCAGATCAAACAGCAGGCCCAGCAATCAGATCCGCTTTGATGATGACGGACAGGGCTATACAGAAGACAGAAGCATTACCAGTGAACTGATGAATGGAATTCACAGAAGGTAATTAATAAAGTTATCTATACATGCACTCTGATGACAAAAACAGATTTTTGAAAAGAAATGGGGTAATGGCTGGCTTTCTCCACAACCACAATATAACTATTCATAATTTAACATTCATGTAATTATAGAGGTTATGGATCAGTAATTGAATTATATGCATTAATCTGAATAAGACAATACTATGATTAAGGTGTTTACATCATTACATCACCACGCTATCCACATTTCCTCTGGAGTTTCATGTAATTTAGGTGTTCGTTTTATTTGTTGACTTTAACTGCAGTTTGGCACTTTCACTTTCATTCCGCAACATTTCATGCCCTTCATTCGATTTCTATTTAGTTTTATTATGACCTTAATCTGATTTAGTTAATCAAAAATCACTGTTTACATGGTAGATTCTTAATTAGAGTATTGTCTTAATCATATTTAAATTAGATTATTGGTGTCCATATAAACATACTCATTGAGAGAATATGTTTGGCAACCTTGTATTTTATTAATTTTTTTGGTGAAGTTAATTTAAGATTTTTTATGTGTGTGTGTGTGTGTATATATTTGTATACATGTGTGTAGTGGAAAAAAAGCCACTTACTGTGTGTATTGCTTTGTTTCAAAGGAAGAACTCCTTCACTGGCAAGAGGTTAAACATCTTCTCTCCAGGTATGGAGCAAGAATCGTCAGAAATGGGTAAGACGTTCCGTTAATGGCATTAAACACATTAGTACTGACATATTTGTGTATGTATTTACTTATTTTGTCCTGCTCTGAACATTAGGCCCGACCCTTTGGGATATTGATTTAGCGAATCAAATTGTTCAGTCGACAAATCAGATGCCTCGTAATGGCTTTGAGGAGATGATGCAGTGGACCAAAGAGGGCAAACTCTGGCAATACCCAATCAACAATGAGGCTGGTGAGTTTCAGTTTAAGAACAGGCTCCAGCTCCCTGCACCCTAACTTTGGCTGCATCTTAGTCACCTCCCATGTTCAATGGTTAGGGCAATTATTGAGAAGTCAGCCGTTTTAAGGGCTGCCTCAAAAGCAACAATGTTTGAGTGCACTGAATGTTCATGGCTTAAAATGTCCCTCAATGTACCATGAAAATCAGGGCCCATTGATGCTCTGTATGGTCCCTTAGAAAAAGTTCAGACGCATGAAACATAAATTATGTAAACCACCCCATTCAACATAAACCGGAGAAGTTTTTCTAAAAAAAACCCTGCTATTTATTTATATTTAACCCGAACCAGCAGGTTAAGAACAATCTAGCAGAGATTGTGTAATTCTTGAAAAGGTTACTGGTGGATGAAGCAATCAAATAATTTTGATTTAATGTGCATACTCGTGTTGTTAATCATTTAACAGGTTTCTGCACACATCATATACACTAGAGATGTTCAAACATCAATGTTTCCCCATTAAGATTTATTTTTCAAAACATCCCTCTTTCCTGGGAGCTAGGCTAAACGAATAATCACTGTTATTGCACTCCTGACTGAAATCAGACCCTCAGTCACCCCACAGAGGTTCAAATCACAGAAATTGGCTGTTAATTTTACATTATTGTTGTGTCATACGCATAATACATTCTGCAAAACATTTCCTCAATCAGTTACAAATCACTAATACTCTAAATCATTAGTTAGGAACACGTTGTTGTTACTGTACTCTTAAACATACGCCACATTTACACTCTTCTCTCGATTTTCATGTAAATGATCACTCCTTTAACATCAATTACAGAACACATCAACTCATGCAGTTTTTGTTTGGACAGGCCGAAAATACATATGAGCAAGCAAATAGTCTTTTCATTCTCAAAAGGTCACCTAATTTTACTCTTAAATTGTTTACGGTTTTTCTATGTCCACATAGCTGTCGCTATCATCAAAGTCATAGTCTTTAGTCATAGTCTAAATCATCACCCATGTCAATGTTCATACCCCCTTCATACAGTCATTTTCACTATCTGATGTGATGTTGGCGCTGTAACTAGTCTATTTACTGATTATCATACAAATCGAAATATACACGGCCAACAGCATAATATCATTAGACTTATCCCCAGTACAGGTAACACTACAGTACAGGCCGAATAAATCCAATCTCCCCATTTGAATGACAAACCAGTCTAGCCATGAACTACTAGCTCGCTTAGGCACTTTTACGGCCATTCTCATCTAGGCTACAGTGTCAGAAATGGTTTACTGGAATCAGGTAAATTCTAGGTGACACTAGCAGCAATGCCAGTTTTGTTCTCCTCAGACCACATATTCCATGCACATGGAATGAATAGCAATGTAATTTCTCCTCCCTCTTCAGCTTTGATTTTCAAGCACAGCAATTCACCTCTCTTTTCTTGCTCCCTCTTTTGCCGGTCTGTGCTTCTGTTGGTGTTAAAAGTTGCAGCTTCACACACACACCTCTTGACTTTGTTGTTGTTTCTCCACAGCTGTGACCTTGTTCCACTCAGATAGCAGCCTGCTGTTTTCTTCATACAGTTTCAAAGCCTCCTTTTCTCTTCCACTCCTACGCTGTTTTCTCTTCAGGTGATGGAATTTTCCTGCCGTGTCCAGCATGAACCCACGTTGCCCGCTCTGTGACCTTCACCACTGTTTCAGTGGCCAGTAGCACTTGGAACAGACCCAACCAGCGCTTCGGTCTCCAGCTCCTCCTCCTTAGGTCTGGGATCACCATGAAATTGCCAGGCCTCAAACTGTGCAGCGGTCTCTCTGCAGCCTTTCCCTGTGCAGCCTTTAACTGTACACAAACATCGGACAACACATAAGACATTTTTTTACAATAATTCAACGTGTCATTCTCACACACATCTGCCGAGGGCAGCTACTGTTTTCCCCCATTCACACCTACATGCGGTGGTTTACCAAAGAGAATTTCAAACAGGCTCCAATTCATTTTTGTTCTTTTTCTCATTCTCATATACAGCAGGACAATGGGTAGAGCTTGAACCCATGTAAGTTCTGTGTCTTCACAACATTTTGCCAATTTGTTTTTCAGTGTACTATTTTCTCTTTCAACTGCTCCACCTGAAGCTGGATGGTAACTGCAATGTGTTCTCAAATCAATTCTCAAATACTGGCCCACTTGTTTGATTGCTTCATTAACAAAATGAGTACCATTATCTGAACTTATTTTTCGTGGAATTCCCCATCTTGGTAAAATTTCAGTCGGTAACGCTTTTGCTACCGCTGCTTAATCTTGTTTTGAGGTTGGAAAAACTTCAACCCATTTTGACCACGTCAACCATCACAAAACAATACCTCTTTCCATTAAATGGGGACAATTCAATGAAATCCATCATCAAATATTCATAGGGCCCTGTTGGAGGTGGGTGAGATGTCAGTGGAACTTTTATCGCTCTGGCCACATTATGTGTATTGCAAATTACACCTTGTCTACAAAAATTGCCTGCAAATGTGGTGAACCCCTTTGTGAACCACAGTTCTCTCATTTGCGTAACCATTCCTGTCTTTGACGCATGATCTTTACCTTGAGTCAATTTCGCAAAATGTTGGAAAAAATGTTTTGGTAAACAAGCCTTGCCCTCAGCACACTTCCACACATTATCTTTCATCACACAGCCAGACTGTCTCCATATGTTTTTCTCCAGTCCCTGTCGCAAATGTTTGCAAATCCTGTAAAAAAGAATAGACATCGTTGTTATTGTCAGCAGATAGCAAAGTAAATTCAGAACTCTCGTCACGGGACGCTGCCACTTTTGCTGCTTTCACTCTTTTTTCAGACAGAGATTTGCTTTGTGAGGTATGGACGTGCCCCAAAAATGTTACTTTTTATTTAACAAATTGTAGTTTTGCCAAACTGACCTTGTGGCCCTGCGCAGCTTAAGGATAGACACAGTGTCATTCACACATTTTCAGCACATATCAACAGGTCATCAACATACTGTAACAAAGCAGTTCCAGCTGTCAGGGCCAAAGGTTTCAAACTTTTTAACAACGCCTCATTGTACTGTCCTGGAGTTACTTACAGATAGAGAATCTTAGTTATTAGGATGCGATGCGTATTTACAAATAGCCACTTTATCAGTTAATAAAATTGAGTCCGGTAGTGCAGCCACTAAAGGAGCATGGAGTATTGATCGACTATCAGATTTTAGAAGTTTTCTGTTTCCACAGAGCCCCAAAATCATCAGCTACCCCAAACGCATATCTTGAATCAGTATAAATTGTGACTTCCTTTTCTGTCATCAGTTTACATGCTTCTGTCAACACCACAAGCTCTACGGCCTGTGCAAAATAATGCCCTGGTAATTTCCCAGAGGTCACCACAGCAAATTCAGTTGTCAAAGTGTAACCAACTTTATTCTGGCCTGTTTGTGGATTTTTAAATGCCGAACCATCCACAAAGAGGACATTGTCTCAATTTTCAAGTGATTCGTCCGAGAGGTCAGGTCGTGGTGTACACACCTGCTTGAGGGCTGTTAAACAACAATGATGCTCCTCCCCATCTTTCTCAGTAGGAAGAAGAGTAGCCGCATTAAACCCTGTACATTGTTTAACAGTCACATTTGGCATATCTAACAAGATAGTGTGATATCTCAGCCAGCGAGCTGTTGACAAAAGCGATATTTTTTGTACTTGGAGTGTCATGGACACTGCATGCGGCACCATCAGTATTTTTCCACAGCTGCCACTGCTCTTAAGCAACGTGGCAGGCCTACTAATACAGGGTCAAGTTTGCTTTAAAATTTAGGCCGCAGGTCGCAGCCTACCTCCATGGTCCTGTAAGAGTAATAACGTCATAAATCCACTCTTTTCATCTACCATCTGAACGAATGGTTTTGTTCAAACTGGTAAGACTAAAGTAGGCACCCCAGCCATTTGTATTTTCTTGTTTACAAATGCCTGTTCTGCCTCTGTTGTCCAGGTTAGCTTATCTGTAAATTTGATCCCCTTCCCTAAAGTTAGGGGCTCTCAGGGGCTGTTCAAAATTGCATAATTTGGAATAAATGTACGACAGTATGAGCACATTCCCAAAAAGGACAACATCTGTTTTTTTGTAAGTGGTTTTGGTACATTTTTTTTTATACCACTCACTCTTTTTTCAGACAGAGATTTGCTTTGTGAGGTATGGACGTGCCCCAAAAATGTTACTTTTTGTTTAACAAATTGTAGTTTTGCCAAACTGACCTTGTGGCCCTCCGCAGCTTAAGGATAGACACAGTGTCATTCACACATTTTCAGCACATATCAACAGGTCATCAACATACTGTAACAAAGCAGTTCCAGCTGTCAGGGCCAAAGGTTTCAAACTTTTTAACAACGCCTCATTGTACAAAGTTGGAAATGCTGTGAAACCCTGACACAAACGTGTAAAGGTGTAGCCTTTGCCATTGAAATTGATTGCAAACCAAAACTGGCTATCTTTGTCCGCTGGTACGCGGAAAAATGCATTTGCCAGATCAACCACTGAATAAAATTGGGATTTTTCGGGAATTTGTGACAAAATCGTGTACGGATTAGGAACTAATGGAGCATTTTGTTTGGCAGCTGCCATTCTGTCGGTATCCCTTATATTTTTTACAGGAAAAATAGGGGTGCGAACCTCAGAATTGTTACATGGCACGATAACACCCTGTTCCAGTAAAGCTTTAAATACTGGGGTAATGCCATCAATGGCTTCTTTTTCAAAGGATATTGTTGTTGGCAAGGTCTGTAATCAGATTTTGCAGTGATTGTCACTGGATCACAAGCTTTAATCAAACCAACATCATATTTGCTTTTACCCCCACAATTCATTTGGCATTTTTGCTAAAGCCGGTTGTATGTCTGCTGTGTTAAAGACTACCATGCAAGAATTCTTTACACAAAGTTTGTCAATAGCAGTCACAGTTCTTGAATTATCTATTTCATTTACACAGTCACACCTGAACGCTTTCAAGTGCTCGCTCCATTATACCCCACCCTCTCTGCTCTCACAGTCTCCGGCTTCAACGCATAATTTCACAAACTAGCCCGACTCCACACAGTGATACAGCCTGTTCTGACATAAGATAAAGTGGACGCTGCTTCTCAATCAGACACAGATATTACACACAAACTTTCTGTTCAGTACATCTTTTCTGAAGTTTTATTCACTTCTCTTAAACCAAGTTTTCTCAAATTCATCATCTGTAAATTACGACAATGACGTACAATGCAGTTCACCAGGAGACACTATATTAATGTCAAAAGTTTTTACTCGATCTTTAGCCAATTTGCAGATTAAATCAGCCCATTCATTGTTTTCAGTCAGCCATTCATAAGCCCACTGTTGTGTTTATGATTCAAATAGCAAACAACAAAACTCCTCTCCTTCTTCCACTCTCACAACTAAGGAGTCTGCTGTTAGAACTAAGTTTAATTTATACAAAATATCCCTTTCAAAAAGTGGTATGAGACATTTTGGCAAACAAACAAAATGCGTGGTTGAAAACGTTGCCCCCCTCTGTCTCACAAATCAGCGGAGCTGTAAATTGCTCAATCACTGTATGACCAGATGCAGACAGAGACTCGTGAAGTTTGTTTGTTAAAGGTATTTCACACTGTAGGTCACATGGTCGTATGCAAGATCTGCTAGCTCCACTATCAGCTAGAAACTCAACCAATGTACTTAATCATCATAGAGTATTTTGGCATATTTAAAAAGGCTTCGTTATTAAAGAACAATGCCATTTCATCAGAAAAATGATCAACTTTACTGTGATCAAAATTACAGTGGGAAATGCAAGCTTTGTCTTCATTGCAGAGAGCTAAAAGTATGTCAGTGTATGTGTATATGTGTGTATACAATGTGTCTGCATTTAAACTTGTTTGTAAAAAATGTTCACTTCCTTTTACCGCTTGGGCTGCTTGCCCAGACCCACTCCGTTCTGCTTTTCCCTCTCCACACATCAGCTCCTCGTTGTTGATTTGCGCCTTTCAGGTCAATTCTTGACCAAAAGTCCATCTAAGTGGCAAGTGCAGACATTTGGTACAGTTTTTCGTCACATGCACCACAGGCTCTGCAGGTTTCATCGCCATCCGTCACATTCCAGTTTCTCCATCTTCTGGTATCTTTCTCACCCTTGACACCTTTGTGGCCTTTGAACTTGCGATGTCTTAGGTTGTCAGGTCTTGGTTGGATCTTCGGCCACTTGTACCAGAGCCATGTGCAGCTCGCTGTCAGCTTGTCTTCAGCATGTTGAGCACACAACAGAATGTCTGTTAAACGTCCATTTCTCCAGTTCAAACAGATATCCTCCACTCGCTCGAGGTGGGAATTCGTTGGTGCGGTCGGAGGTCTTATGGGACAGTAGCAGTTGAGGTCTGGGTCAGTTCTCAGGCCTCGCAGCTCAGCCATGGGATAGTGATGGTACGGCGATACATGTATGGAAACAGATGTATAGAAAGGATTAGTAGCGCTAATTACTCTTTCATTCTCACTTTAACATTTTTCATTTGCTTTTTCCTTCACTTTATCTCCTTCATCCTTTTCCCAGCTGCCTCTGCAGCATTTTCCTCTTTGCCTCTTATCTGCCTTCCTGAGCCAACAATCAACAGTGTCTCCCCACGACGCACACACATGCCTTTCGCAACAACAATCTGCTTTTCCTTCTGCCTTCTGAATCAACTCTTTCATTATGTTTAACCTAATAACACTCAACATTTTCTTTCCCTCAGAAACTTGTGATACTTTAGTGGTTTTCCTATATCTTGCATGCCTTTTTTCCCTTCTTTTTCCATATAATTTTTTCCCATATTTCAAAATACGTGTATCATATTTTCTCACCTTAATTTTGGACTCCCCCATGCTGGCGATACCCCTCTCTTTTTACTTTTTTGGTACCTATTAATCTGTTGGACGTCTCCAACAGATTTCGACTTTTCACCTAAAATCAAAAGGTTAATCTATCCAGCTTTAATTGCGTGCCCCCCAATTTCAACCTCCTTTTAGAAGTAAATTGCACAGCCCCTGATTTCAACCCCCTTCTGGGAGTAAATTGCAGTTAGCTAGCCAAACATGTTAAAAAGGTCTTGATCTTAGTCAGGCGCCAGATCTCACTTACTTAAGGTCTTGATCTCAGCCAAACACCAGATCTCACTTTTAAAAAGGTCTTGATCCCTGCCTGATGTCAGATCTCAATTGCTTTAATCACGCTACTATCCCTCAGAGACAGAAGTACCAGCATAGTGATGGCCCAAATCACAGTGAAAATGTTTTGACTGCCCAAAAAAGGCCAAAAGCTACTCAAATCTCATTTATTAAACAAAGAATTTGTCTCTTACCAGAGAGTTCAGATGCCACTTGAGTTCTTTTTCCCAGATGTCAGTGGGGTTCCTCTCCGAGCCTGGTGGTCGGCCTCTCAACCGAGCGAGGCAGGGGTGTGACACGAAGTCCCAGGATGATCAGTCATCGTCCGCAGGGTCCGGAAAAGTTCCTCTAAGACATCCCGCTATTCTGACACCAAATTGTAGGGGCAATTTTCTTTAACGAGGCTCTCTCAGTGTTCAAGAAGACAAATTCTTACCCAAAGTGTCTTTTAAGCTTTTATTCTTTGCAAAGAAGGTCACAATCATACAGCAACGACAGTTTCTGCAGAATGGGACCCTGAAAACAGAGTGTGCTCTCCCTTATGTCTGGTTTCTCTCTTGTACTGCTTACGAGGTCACTTCTAATCAGGCCATACCATGTTTACGTTAGCTGTCTCTCCGCTCTGATCCATGCCACTTACAAACCATACCATGTTTACATCGGGTGTCTCAACCTTTCATGATACAAGCATAGGATGAAGGACAAAAACAGGGTAGTCACGCACAGTAAAGTTAAGCAATATAGAAAATGCATATAAATCTGAAAAATGAATATAAATGAATTTCCATTACACTAGTGAACCAAGCTCATCCCTACCAGTGCACAAATTCATGAAAACCAGGCATTGCCAAACTTTTCAGGCCGCGACCCCCAAAATAACAATTACCCCCAATTTCCTCTGAGGTGGTTATAAATACAGAAACCTTGCATGCAATGGCGCACACACACACACACACCAATGGACATCTATGTCAGTGCTGTAAATGGGCCATAAAGTTTAACTTGGTGTTATAAAATTAATCTGCTGCATCTGACGCTATTGCTGTGTCTTTAATATAATGTAATTACCCCAGGGGTCGCAATCCTATAGAACTAGTAACTATAAGCTACAATAGTAACTATATAGTATATGGCATAAACGACTAATTTCCTCTTCAGTAGGTTATGGATAAAAAATGGTTTAATAAAAATAAATAGATTTTTGGAAATCACCAGGCGACCCCTGATTGAGACGCACTTTTTGTCTTTTCACATATCATGCAATTTTCCTCAGGTCTGGATGAGGAGGCGAGCGTACCCTTCCATGAGCACGTGTTCCTGGAGAAGCACCTGGAATCGTTTCCCCGGCAGGGTCCAGTCAGGCACTTCATGGAGCTTGTAATCACAGGCCTCTCAAAGAATCATCACCTCACAGTTCAACAGAAACAGGAGCATATCGCCTGGTTTAGAGACTACTTCCAGCAGAAAGATGATGTAATGAAAGAGGCTCAAGCGTAACTTTACTGAAGATCAAAACCAGAGAGGAATAAAGTCCGTTAAGATGCTTACTGCAGTAATGACTAATAGAACTAAGCAACAATTGCATCCATAATCTGCTTAAGTCTCCATTGTTGTTGTTGTTGTTTCTTTTTGGTCAGATGGATTAAATATACAACCTGCTGCAGATTGTCTGAGTTTGTGTTATATTATTAAGACATATTAAATCTTTTTCATTAAATTGTATGCTGCTCGTTATTCAGTTCACTGGTATGTTTTATGTGTTGCTTTAAAGCAACATAAAGAATTTTACAAAATAATTGAGACAATTACTATTTTCCTTATTAACACCAACTTTCAAAGCTACAGGGCGTCTGTGGGCTCTTAAAAAGTATTAAAAGTTAAGTCAATGTAGAAAAAATTAAGACTCTTAAAAAGTATTAAAAAGTCTTAAATGCTATTTTGCAAGGTATTCAATTTTAGTTCAGTTTTGATCATGCAATCTGTGAATATCAGGATGCGGTGTAGTTTATGAAGTCTGACTAGACTTGACATCATGCTGCTTTGATCACGACATCAACCAAGGCAACCATCATTTCTGCAGTTCTAAAGGCGCCAACCTGCTGCATTAGCTACATTTAATAGATTTGTGTTCAGTATATAAATAATGTTTAGTTTTGGATTAGTGTCTTGCGTTAATATTTAGTAAATATACTGTAAATCATAGGTCTTAAACTCAATTCCTGGAGGGCCAAAGCTCTGTAGTTTTGTTCCAACCCTAATCAAACACAGCTGATCCAAATAAATGAGGTGTTCAAAAGTCATGAACACCTTCATAAGTTGGATCAGTTACATTTGATTAGGGTTGGAGCAAAACTGCAGAGCTGCAACCCTCCAGGAACTGAGTTTAAGACCTATGCTGTAAGTTCAAATATCACCAGTGTTTCCAGTTGAAACCTAAAGTAGTTAGAAGGTTTTAAAGTGTATGGAAAGAGCCTAAAAAGTATTGAATTTCACTCTCTGATTCCTGTATATACTCTGAGGTAGGGAATATAATTAAAAACCCTCATGTGCATTATTTAGCAACTGAAGCTGATGTATGCAAGTATTAAGCAAGTGTTAATGCATCTAATTTGTTGCGCAAAGCCTTACAGGGTTTTTAAATGACCACATAATTAATAATTTGCAACTAATATAAATTTAAGGAAATTTATGGAAAATCATGCTTGTCCAATTTAATATTAAACTTATTCTTAACATTTCTGTAATACTGCATAATGGAATTACAAACTCGTATTTGGAAGTCTTGTAAATACATGAAGGCTCATCTGTAATCCATTCATAGTGAGGAAATATATTCCCATTATACAGTATATGTGTTCTTCACTGCTTATTTATATTTTTTCGTTCATCACACACAATCCACCATAGCTCAAGGCTGTTAAATATGGACACATACACAACCAGTGTTGCCAATTTACCAATTTTGTTGCTAGATTTAGCAACTTTTCATATTTCCCTTGCAACTTTTATTCAAAAAGCACCTAGCAACAAATTTAGCTATTTTTAACATTCATTTGGCTACTTTTAGCAATTTTTAAACAGTGACTCAAAAGAGCAGTGGCTGCAGGCTTCACTCAGTAGAGAAAATCCCTAGCTCAGATTGTTTTTCATAACTGTTAATTTACTGATATTTGTTAACATGTATTATTGTTGGTAATTTAGGTTGCAATAAATACCAATAGTGCTATAATTGTCACTTTTGCAAATGTGTCAATTTCACAAGTTAAAAAAAAAAGAGTACATAAGCTGTGAATGTTTAAAATAATGTAAATGTTCATTATCAATTTTATATTTAAAAATAACAAATTCTTATCAAAGTGTTTGTATTACTTTTACAAATATTCAACTACATTTTTCATACAAATTTAAACTGACATTTTAAATGTTTTTGCTGAGATGGCCAGTCAGTTTGAGAAAACATTTATTTATTATATATATATATATATATATTACATAAAGTAACATGTTAATAGGAACCTATTTATTGTGCATCTGGATGTAATGTTTCAATAAAATATAATGCACAGTACCTCAGAGAGTAGAAACATGACGGGCTTAAGCTCGTCAGCAATATCCATTTAATAATGGTTAAAGGCAGGGGTGTCAAATTCTGTTCCTGGAGGGCCGCAAGCCCCGCACAGTTCCATCCCTGCTTCAACACACTCACCTGTAGGTTTTTACTCAATAAGTTTGATCAGGTGTTTAATCAAGGTTGGAACTAAACTGCGCAGAGCTGCAGCCCTCCAGAAAATGGATTTGACCTGTGGTTTAAGGCTTTAACATTATCACCTTCTAACATTCACAGGGTTGCTGCAGGTTCCAGCAAGTTAAATTTAGGACTTTAAGAGCATTATTAATTAAATTTTAAACTCATACAGGGATAAAACACTGAGTTTTTCAAATTGCCCTATTAAAAAAAGATTTTGCCCTATCAAACTTTAAATAATTTAATGCACTTAGAATATTTTAGTTCATTCTAAGCAAAATATTAAAATAAATAAATGGAGAACTGTTAAACAAGGGTTATTGTAGAACAAATAAATAAACCATTATGGTAAAAAGTTAAAATAGCATTCTTAAAAAGTTCAAAGTTTTATTTAGATGTTTTGTTGGTGATTGTATTGGCGTTTGCCTGATTGGATAGCTATAGATAACAAAGGAAAATTATGACCTGTTCAAAATAGATTTAAGACCTACAATATTTCAGTAAAATTAAGACTTTTTAAAGCCTAAAATTTTGTTTTTGAGATTTAAAACCCTGCAGATTCCCTGATACATGTGTACTTGGCCTTTCCCTATGAGTTCTGTAGAAATCCTGCCTATTAGGATAAGTCATGATCCTCAGAGAATTATCACCTTTACACAAAACTGGGGTGCCCAAGCCTGTTTTTCAGGAACTACATTCCCGCAAAGATCACTCCACCTTTGATCAAACAAACCTGAACCACATTAATGTTCAGAAATACTTGCTAATTACAGATCGGCATGTTTGAGCAGGGTTGGCACCTGATTCTGCACGAAAGGTAACTCTAGAAACAGGACAGAGCACTACTGTATTAAACACGAGAATAGCTACCATCACTGCTGTATAAAAAACCAGTTCGAGACTGCAGGATGTCTGAAATGCATGTGGCAGGCATATTTTGGTTAGTGTTTAAAATAATGATTTTGATTTGAAGGTATCTGACAACTCCAGTTTTATTCAAAGTATCTGATTACAAAGAATGTACAGGTGTTTTATGAGCTGCACAAACAAAACTCTTCAGGGACGTCATTTATCAGCACATGGAGCTCAACAAAAACTCTCAAAACTCTTCATCAAATGAAAGCTAGTCTTTGTACATCATTCAGCAGGGATCAGGTCGCATGATACGCGTCTTTTAACAGTCACTTTCAAAAAGCAGCTATTTAGACACTGATGTTTGAGCTACGACTACATGTGAAAAAAACACTATTCTAACCAAAGCTAAAAAATAATATTTTCACAAAATTATGGCAAAAAGTACATATATTTGTACAGGTTAAATTTAAATTACAAAAGAAAAAGCAACTAGTCTCTGTTTTTCCAAACTCTGATAAGACTAATGCACAAGTCGAGACGATTCAATTGACCTCTATAGCACGCCAACAAAACAAAAAACATTGCTACAGAAGAAACGAAAATACTTTGGTGATCTTTGTGGTTTTTACAGAGATTAGCTCAAACTATCATACAGCAAAAATGTCAGGTGAGGAAGATGGGCAGCTCTGGAGAGACGCTCAACTCTGGACACTCGCCTCACCTAATGAAATCTGCAAAAAAAAATATATATATGTATTATAATTATTAATAACGTTGAAAACACAAGTACACTAGCAGATTTGATGACTAGTTTGGATAATTTGGCAGTTAATAATGAAATTAATATAAAATTACTGATAAAGGAAAAAATATTTATATCGAAGTGTGTGATTTGGGACGAACCGTTCTGGATCACCACCGGCGATAGCTAGTGGCTTGACGCTGATGGGGCACTTTATGCCGCAGTGTCTGCAAGTTCTTGTATTTTGACATGATACTCTGACTCTTTTTGAAGACGGACTTCTGGTTGAAGGTTGGTCTTGGAATCAAAGTACTCTTAAATAACAAAAAATGTTTGATTTACTTGAAATGATTATCATCATTACTATCAGCATTTCAATTTGGGACTCAATGGAATTCACTTTAGTACCATCAAAGGTTTCCTGATAACTCCATCAGGTGCCGACGGCCTCTTCACTCCAACAGCTGGGCGGAAACCAGGCCTCTGTATACAAAAGTATTCATATAATCAAATAAAACAAGACATGCCATCAACTTATACAAGCACTCTCTAATTCCAAATCTCCTGAAATCTACAACTGAAGAATTCAGTCACCTGAAATGCAACCGGCTTCCGGGTTTTTGGTGGACTTCCAGAAGACCTATAAAAAATAAACAAGTAGATGGTTCAATCAAGTAAACTTTTTAGGTTCTGAGATCAGATCAAGCAGCAGGAAAGATTCTTATTTACCTTCTTTCTTTCTGTTCCTGTGAGGAGCTAGGAGGACTTTGCAGCTTGGTGAAACGTTCATTCAACGTCAAATTTCCACGAGATTCTGATTCCTCTGAAAGGAGAATATTTAGAACAAGAAAGGTTAGAAACTGAAACAATACCACTATTTACACCGGCCAGTGTCCTGGAGAGTTTAGCTCTAACCCTAATCAAACACACCTGAACCAGCTAATCAAGCTCTTACTACGTATACTAGAAACTTCCAGGCAGGTGTATTGAAGCAAGTAGGAGCTAAAGTCAGCAGGACACCGGCCCTCCAGGACCGACTTTGGACACCCCTGATTTACAGTTAAAATTATGACTCTTACCAGACTTGCTCCTGGATGCCTTATTCCTCCAAGGTGCACTGTTCCTGGGACTAGTACTGGGCTTGTGGCCTGCCTCCCAATGGGAAACCACAACAAGGTCACGTGAAAGTCGCCTGTCTATCGGTGAGGAGCTGAAAAGAAGTCAACAATGCGTGAACTATTGCTGCTTATGGTCTGGATGCAAAAGCATTGAATAAACAATCATCAAGCATTCAGAAAATGCAAAGGCATGCACAAATGTTATCTGATTTCAAAGTGGAATAGACTTGTGCCTTGTGTAACATTTTCTCTCCTCGGTTCACTTCAACTAAATTACTCAAACAGTCTTCATGAACCCAATTGTATTGCTGTAAATGCAGAAGGACCAATTTATGGATTAACTACATGGGTACTTACAGCAAAGCAAGCCCAACATCTCCATGGTTCAGTTTGAATTGGTAGAATAATTTTCCCTGATTCAACTTGGCCTTTAGCAGCCATCCTTTTGCTAATGTGAATAACAGACCTTGGCAGACTCAATGAGTGGACTGAAGGACGCCATGCAGGTTTTACGTTCCAAAAAGTGAATCAATTAGCAGGTGAGCGCTTCCTTTTTCTCCAGAGTTGACAAGCCAGATGCGTTCCTCTTGACCTATCCTCTCATATTGAAGACTGAAAATATTTTTTCCTGCTGGAACACTCATTTCTTGACTTAAATGGAGGTTTGCAGTTCTGTATTCGGCGTTGAGAGAATCTTCTGAACGTTGTTGATTTGTACCATTTTTGGCCAGTTCTCCTTGATGAAACTTCACACTGCTTGTGCATTGCTGGTGTTTCAATTATCTTCTCTGTATATGCATCTTCATGAATCTTCATATAAATCCTTAAGCAGATCTTCTGTTCCAAAACATCTATTGAGGGGACTACAAATGAATGGTTGGTATCTGGTAACCATATTTCACTAGACAAATCTGTATTGTGTCTTCAGCACAACCTCCATTTCAGTGAAGAGAGTTGTAGAGGTACAAGGGGTCTCTGCAAGTCATCAACATGGCAATTCAGAGCATATTTTGTGAAAGTTTAAAGATTTCATAAAAACCACCCATGTGATGACTGGTTCAGTGTGTTCCCATCTTTGTTGATCTGTCATGAATGCAAGTCTTCTTTCTCATCGTGGTTCTTACTTGAAGAGGTCTCTTGTTACAAAAAGTTACTATGATTATTGGGTATTCATTTTTGGAAAATGGTCATCTTATTAGATGCTGACAAAATCTTTCAACATCTATTAGGTAAATGTACATGCCTTTATAAAAGGAGTTATTTTTGTTCTTAATCTGATTTCCAGCCACAGAGTCAATCTGTTTCCTTCATCCAGCCAATCATGTCAATTCTTCAGAGGGTACAACTTGATAAGACACATCAGCAGTATTTCAATGTTGAAAATGCTCTGCTGTGTAAAATTCTTCTCCATTTAAGTCCATTGAAATATTTCCATTTTCCAAGAAATTCCTATGCACTGTCCATGCCCCACACTTGTGAGATTGATTTGTGCTTGCGTTACTGCAGTGAGCTGCATACTGCGGCAGAACATTGTAGGTATATCATGACAGACTTTCCTTCAGCAAAAACGTAAGAATAAGGATTAAAAACCATTTCCCTCACCGAAAGAAACTTTAATCATCCCTTTTGGATCAAAGTCGATGTGGAGGATGCATCATGGAACAAACTGCATGTGACTTTTGGTTAAAAAAAAAGACTTTTGAAAGAGCTTGCTTATCTCTTATCACATTCTCTTGTTGAGGACAGAAGTATTCTGGACAATGACAGGTTTAACATCATACTGTTGAAAATAATGAGGAAAACGGGCATGATTTTCTTTTTTTCTCTCATCCATTTCATCATTCAGGTGACACCCATTTGTTGAAAGTTGTGCCATTGTAAAACAGGAAGCTTGACCTTCTAAACATCACGCGCCCATTGCCACAATGTGAGGGGTGATACCATACCTGTGTGCGCTCTCAGAGCGACGGGATTCCACCTTTGATTCAGAGTCCCTCTCAGCAACTGCAGTCTTGGAGTCGGTGTTGGGGGATGACTCTCTAGAAGATGGCATCTTTTTGAGTGGCATCTTGCGTAGTGGCACTCCTGAAGAATCTTTGCCATTTTTTGGTGTTGTCTGAGGCTTGGGTTTCTGGACTCTGTCTGATAATCTTGGCCTTGGTGGTGGGAGTTTGAACTGCGTCACCGACTCTGCTCTGAACCTTCGTGCCTTAAGCAGTCGACTCTTATCAACAAGGGTCAAACCACGACCTCTGAAGCCCCGAAGAGGAAGAGGTCTCACAGACAGTTCCCTGCGGAAACGCTTTGGCGGCCCATGCTCCAAACTGCTAAGTGGAGGCGGCCGTCTGAAATCTTGATTCCTCCTCTTCATTGGTCGTCCAATCTGCCTGTCTTGTAGTCGCATAAGCGGATAAGGTCTGATCGACGAGCCAGGTGGGGGTGGGCCAGGTCTTCGTGCTGGTGATCTGTAAGGGGGCCGAGAGTGTGGACTGCCTCCTCCTCTGTGTGCAAATTCCATGCTGGGGCGCCGAACATCCCTTCTAAGGTCTCCATGCGGTGCACGTTGATCTCTCTCTGCAGACCACCTACATATCCATTACAAACAATACAAACATGTTGGTTATAATGCCAGTTTGTGCAGCTTGAGCTGTGTGGAAGCTCTTAACTTCTATTAATTTAGATCCAGCCCCAGGCTACTGAATGCCATATCACTTCTGTGGTGGTATTACTTTAAGTGGGAAATGCCTCAAATGGTTTTTACATTTTCTCCAGACAGACTGTTTGACTTTAGGGGCTTTATTATTAGATCCTGTGGTACTTTACAGTGACAAAAAGCTGAAGGCAGCTGGGATTTACTCTCACCACCCTGCAGTGTGTACTTGACTTCGCAAACTAACACATAATTGTATAATTAAATTACCCAGCTTGTACAGCTTCATTTGTGTACCTCTCTGGATATGAACTCCTTCCATGAAATTCTCTGGGCTTTCTGTGGGGTGGGCCAGGGAACCTCGAATCCCCACTGTGGGGATGAGGGTAACCTCCTGGGCCATTCCAGTGGTGCCCACCAAGTGCTGGTCGGCCAAAAGGCCTCTCCCGGGGAGTGGGACCCCAGCTCCTGTCATGATCCTGAGGGCTTGGGCGTCGCTGTGGACCCCTGAAGGAATTATGAGGTGAAGGAATCCGTCGATCTGATGGAGGGCCATGAAAAGATCCGTGTCTAGATGGAGATGTGTGTCTAGGGTGGTTTCCATGGAATACTGGTGCTCTGTGGCTAGGCGGTCCATGTATAGAGGTATGAGGGGATTGCCTGTGCTGTACTGGGGGAGGGCGACTTGAGCGGGGTGGTGATGGCCTCCTTCGGCCTCTCTGTGAATCCTGCGAGTTGGGATACGGATGGAAGTGATCCTGGTTCTGCATCCACTGTCCGTGTGGTCGCTCTCTGCGTTCACCCATGAGTGAGGAAGGCCTCTTGGGGTAGGGCTGGGATCCACTACTGTTGTGAACTCTCCAACTCGGAGGGGCTTTTCCAGGAGGCCCTCTGAAACCTCTTTGGCTTCTTGAAGGGGGGCCATATCGCCCTTCATGATTCATGCTATTGTAGTTGTCTGAGAAAGGCCTGTATGAGAATAAACAACATTTTAGTCTCACTTATAATGATAAACTTAGTTCAATCAGAATTAAATATTACATATCTAAATCAAACCTGTGTTTGGAACGAGGAGATCCTGATTGTGGTCTCACCATTTTTTCAGTTTTATCACCTATCTTCAAGTGAAATAAAAGACATTAAATATTAATCTTCCAGTTAAGGTAATGCAACATGCCTCACGTACAAAAAACAATAAAAATATAAATAATTGCGAAAAAATAAGAAATATTGACTTAAGGTTGTAGTATCTGAAAATAAAACAAAAAATTATAACACAAAGAAGTTCTTATAATTAATAACCAATAATACTTCACATAATTTTAAGTCCATACAAACAAATCCAAGCAATCAATCTTAACGTGTCAGTGCTTTGAAAATGTAACAAAAGTTAAAACGTTTCATGCTCCTCGGAGAGTGTGTGTGCTATTTAAAACGTTTGAGGACATGTAACGTTACCGTTTCTACAATGCATTTCAACCCCTTTTAAACAAACAATACAGTACGACACTGCAGGAAGTCGATACAAATAAAATCACTGAATGCGTTTGCCAGAGACGTGGTGGTTGGATGAAACAAACTAACATGCAAGTTTTAGTAGTTTTCCACGACCTTAATTAAATCATGTTAAAAGTCAAAAGTTGAACCGAGCTCGACGACACCACATTCCTGGCCTAATGTTACATGAACGCGTGTCTGGGCCGACAAGGCCGTGAGTCACATCCAAAATGCTAACTCGAAACAAATGTACCAGCACGACGTTTCACTAGTAACATTACACAGATAATGCAACAACACTTCTAAGACAATAGAAACAACATTAGCGGTACGTGTAAATGTAAAAACACATCGAACAAAACAACACTCCTTCGTTTATCGCGCTAATGCGAAACTACGACAAAGCGAAACCATTTTCACTACAGTGCTATGCAACAATATCAGTTATGCTAATAATTCGTTTAATCTTTTCACTGTTAAAGGTCTACGTTACTAAAATCCGACAAAGTTGACTGGCTGTGTTGTTTTGACATACCCGATGTAGCGCGATACTGAAAACAGATAGGCCGTGATAGCAAACAAACGTCTTCTGTTAAGCGTCGGTCCACATCTGACCAAAATAGAACCGTAAACGTTTCCAAAAAACAAACACTCCGTCGCTTTCGTCGTCACATCTAGGTTTCTCCGTCGAAAAAAACGAGTGGTCTCCGTGAAATTACATTCACACCGACTGAACAGCTGCAGCCGTGACGTCACCTGAATGGGGCGCGTTCACGACCAGACTGGGACAGGAACTGACTAGGATAGGATTATTATCGAATCCGCCCATATCGTTGCTTTGTTAGTATGTTATAATATTTTTAGCACGTATATTTAACAGTGTTAATCATTAATTCAGTATTAGATACTGGTTTGGGTAAAATGCATAAATCATATACAAAAATTATAAATTCTCAAAATAGACTGGGAATTAAAAATAGGCCTAACGTTACCAACATTTGCCCAGTGCTAAAACCTCAGCTGTTGTACCGTTTGTCTCTCTCTCTCTCTCCCTTTGTTACTCCAGACTATTACATAACTTGGTTTAAATAAGATAGCATGGACACTTTTAATTACGTTCACTTGTCCTATGCCTAGAAGTTGGTATTTGACTACACTGACTTCATTGCACTGAAGATATACTTTTCAAGTGATTGGAATAATGTGAATTGACAACATTAAAATACAAATTAGCATTCTTTTGTTCCTGCACAGCATTATATATAGGGGGTTTGTCAGGCACGTGCACACATAGGGCTCAACCTGTGAAGTGCACATGCCCTTTTTAGTCTTGGATAGAAAGTGCCCTTCCAAAGAGATCTGAAGTGCCCTAGCGCCCCCCAACCTTTACCCCCAATCTAATTTTCCCACCTTTAGCTGTTTCTGGGTCCTGCTGAACCCTATTTAAAAAAAAAAAAACATGATATGGAAGTCACTAGGGACCAGTCCAGCACAATTTCCAAAGTGTGTTTTTTATCTTATCTAATTTACACAGGTTTGTTGAGAGGCAGATCTATATCAGACCCTTATCATCAAACATGGTTTTATTAGGTAACTAATTTACTTTTTAGATTTTATTTTCTGTGGACCCATAACCAGATTACAGATGATCAAAGTTAATGTTAATCTACTGACCTCTGCTGGTTCACCACATAATCTCTTATACAGTACGTCCTCTTTCTTACAGCAATGGGAATGTTTTTCTTATGTTGGTAAAAATAGACATGTTATAATTCTTACTAAAGCTTCAAAGTATACCCACACATCATACTCATACAGTATTATACTATAATAAATGAGAAATCAGATAACATTGACACTTTTAACTCACACTTTCCATCGCCATATGTTCCATTGAGAGATAGATATGAATCATAATAATAACCCTGTGATCTTTAGTGCTGAACAGCTCACATGACATTTGTTTACCTAAATACTGGAGTCCTGCGATACAATAAAGCTTCAGCTCATCAGGCTGCATTTTCAGACATTGTTATTTTGACTTTTCACCACCTTGTCTTTTTCCCCTCACTTTTTCCGTAAATGACATGAGCATGTAGTTAAAAGGATGAGTTGCTTGTGTAGTCAAAAAGAGATGTGTTTGCATACAGTGTGTTTGCAGCAGATGTGAGATGCTGATGATTAGACTCCCCCTGCGGCTAAACATTTGGTTAATACACTTTTGTCCATCCAACCAAGAGCTTCACACAGTCAATGCCTCAATAACTGTTTGGCCTTTGTAAGTTACCGAGGGGTAAATAGCAGGAAGTTATGAGGCAAGTCAGTCAACTGTATATGCAGAAGAGGTGGTTGTTCAGGCAGCTGTTACATTTAAGAGCTGTCAGGAGCTGGACTGACATCAGCAAACACTGTTGCATTAAGGTAGGAAATTCATATTTCAGCATTTTGTGACTTTCTGTAAAAAAAAAATAATAATAAAAAAGAACTTTAAAATACATTCATACTAATATACATCATCGGTCAAAAGTTTGGGGTCAGTTTTATTTATTTGTTTTTTAAAGAAAATTTATTATTAAACGGTTAATATTTTTTACATTTTAAATAACTGCTTTCTTATTGTATATAGTTTCAAATGAATTTATTACTCTAGTCATTATTGCTTTTATTACTATTAATAATAATAATTAATATTAGAGTGACTTCTGAAAGATCATGTGACTCTGAAGACTGGAGTGATAAAGCTAAAAATTTGTCATTAAAAATCACTGGAATAAATGATAAATACTTTTGAACAGTTATTTTATAGTGCAATAACATTTCACAATTTTACAATTTGTGCTGTATTTTTGATTGAATAAACACAGCCTTGGTGAGCTGGAGAAACTTATTTTAAGACAGATTAAAATCCTACTGAGCCCAAACTTCTTACGGGTCGTGTATATTTATAAATATTATGACAGATCATATAGTATTATGACATGTGACACTTGACCACAAATTATGATGCAACGGTATTTTGCCAAAAACTATTAGAATATTATGAAAATATCTTGTACAATGATGATATTTCATAAATGTACAACTGTAAAATGTATCAAAACCTAATTTTTAATAGCAGCAAGCATTGATAAAAACTTCCTACAAATATTAAGTTTGTTTTTTTAACCATCAGATTCCAGATTTTGAGGTAGTTACATCTCAGGCAAATAAAGTCCTTTCTAATGTGTCATGGTTGGTTGCAAGAAAGCAAACCCAGCTGCAGCAATCAACAATATAAAAGGTGTTTGAGAGAATTAGGCACAAGTAGACAGACAAGGTACAAACAGTATAGGGGCAATAACACAGTGAAGCCAGTGGTAGAGACAAGATGGCACTAAATTGAACAGCCAGCCAGGGGAAGAGTGGTCAGAGCTAGATCCTGGAGCAAGCTATGTAAACTCACTGGCAGGCCAGGAAAGTCAGGACACAGGATAGGACTGGAGAAGTATAACACAGCAAATAGGCAGCAATAATATAGACAATTAAACTTCCTAAATATAAAAACTATGAAATTAAATATAAACTTTAGTAGAAAAAGAGAACTAGACTGACTCAGACAACTGGAAATAACAGAAACTGAAAAAGACTAGAATCTTAAAGAGAAATTTAATAATCAAAAAAAAAAAATCTAACAAAATTAATTAGAAATACAGGACTGGGATTGACAAAAAAAAGGATTAAACCCGAACAAAGATTAACACACAAAATTAGGTAAACACTAGGAACAAACAAAAGAAAGTTACAGCAACAAACAAACAGTAAGTAGACAAGACAACTAACAGGCAATACAAACCATTCAGTAAGGATATAAGACAAGCTCATACAGAACAAACCAGCAAAGAAATGAGAACACACAGCACAATATATATAGAACAAAGCACATGAGAGACAGGTGCAATCAGGATAACAAGGAAATAAGAGGGCGTCGGGGTAACTGAAACAAGGAGGAAAGACTTTTCAATCATCAGAGCACGCGTGCTGAGGATGATGTGACAATAAAAGTTATTTGATTTGATTTGACAAGAGCACATGGCCAACACAACTTAAGGCAAAGCAATGCAAGCAAGCACAGGGCAAACAAGGAATCATTAAACACAAGACTGTCAGGTAAGGACCATGACATGATTTCCAAAAATGGATTCTTATAACTGGTTGCCACATTAACATTAGTTTTTTTTTAACTTAAGTTTTTTCAGTAAACTTCTGATGACATTTTTTTTTTCAATTTAAATAATTAGAAAATAGGGTTAACAGTCCTGTTTTTAGAAGAGTTATAGAAGAAATAATTAACATGGTGGAATGACCCTGGTCATTTCTAAATCTTACCAATGTCACTTTCTAAAAAATGCTATGAATGACAATTTTTCAACAAACATTTTATTCAAACCCACGCCTAATAAATCCAATACGGAAACTAAAAATCTTCAAGTGTTCATTTTTTTTTGCATCCATTAGGTCACGGCTGCCCCTACAGTTTACAGTGGTGTACAGCACTTCTAAAACCCTGGCATTAGTGAATCTGAACGTGCAGCTGTTTTGATTCACTTTGATACTATATTTGAGGGAAGTGAAAGCAAGTGCTGTCAGCAGATATTTCTAAGCAAGTGTTAGACCGCTTCACTAATTCAAGAGAAAGCATAGATTGTCACCCCATACTCAAGATGGTTGATGTTGACTTGGGAACTGTTAAACATTCAGATATTAAAAATCATGTGAGACCAGTCAAAAGAATAAGAGTCACCCTTGTGTGGTTTATTTCTGTTTGTAACCTCACATCTGACCGCTTGATGCAATTAAGTAATCACTGTAAACGCAGTCACTGGGGGAGATCTCACTCTTTTGATCTGTCTATCTGCCTTTGGTGAACGTGGCTGGGTGTGTGTAAGCCCTGTGTCTTGTATGGCTGCGGAACAGTTGGCCTTATGAATTATTTGTGTGGTAAAATTGCATCTCATTTTACAGCTCTATTATATGTGATCTCTCTGCTCTCACCTCCCACCGTCCTTCCCATTGTGCATTTCTAATGAAGCATGCAATCCCATGCTCTGCTTCCATATCTGACCCCTAACCTTCAGGGTTCTCCGCCTCCACTGTCTGGATCAAGCGAACCTCATCATACCTGTCAGATCACACTGTCTGTTGCTGCTTCTCTCCCACCACTTCCCATATTTCCACTTTCTGTTCCTTTATTTTCCTTCCCCCCTTCCATATGCTATTTCTTTCTTTGCATTCTATGACTCTCATTATCATGTTAAATTATTCCATCATTTCTCTTCTCCAACTTTTTAATTTCTTTGCTTTATCAGAATCCATCTTATGAGGTCTGTACATACTTGATATTTTAGTTTCCCTCCTCTCTCCTTTTCCTTCTGCATCCATTCTCTTCTTTCTCTCATACACTCTCGCTTTCTCCTCGCTTCATTCCCCCTTTTCTTGTCCACCTCCTCCTCCTCTCCTTGCTTGTTTCCTTTCCCAGTGAAACCCCAAACCTCGTACACACTCTTTCTCCTCTTCCTCAGCAGGATGCTTAATCTGCGGGCAGCTCAGAGCCAGTTCACCCATGAAGTGCGAGAGCCTGGGCTATGGGTTTGGAGGGTGGAGAAGATGAAGGCTGTGCTCCTTGACCCTTCGCAGAGGGGGATCTTCTACAATGGAGATGCGTACATCGTGCTCAGCAACCGTGGAAAGGATGGAAGTGACCTGCACATGTGGATGGGTTTGTAGTAAAATTTAGTGTTCAATTAAATGAAACAGTACTGTAGTTTGGCATTTTTTTGTTTATTACTGCTGGATTTCTTATTTTGGTTAGGGGAAAAGTCTTCCCCGGATGAGCAGGGTGCTTGTGCCATGCTTGCCACTCAACTGGACAGCTTCTTGGGAGGAGAGCCAGTGCAACACAGACAGGTGCAGGGCTTCGAGTCACATGAATTCATGGGACTTTTTCCTAAAGGAGTCAGCTATAAGGTGAGTGTAAATGCACAACAGTGAAACAAGAAGCCCCTTTGTTTTCTCTTCCAAAATAATAAAAATAATAAGATCTTTCAAGCCATTTAAGGTTTGTTGTTGTAAAGAAGGAGCTGCGTTCCAACTCTCGTTCCAACTCTCGTTCCAACTCTCACCTATGGTCATGAGCTTTGGGTCATGACCGAAAGGACAACATCTTGGATACAAGCAGCTGAAATGAGTTTCTTTCACAGGGTGGCAGGGTGCAACCTTGTAGATAGAGTGAGGAGCTCTGTCACCTGGGAGGAGGAGCTCGGAGTAGAGAAGTCAGCTGAGGTGGCTCAGGCATCTATTTCGGATGCCTCCTGGATACCTACCTAGGGAGGTTTTCCAAACATATCCCACCGGGAGGAGGCCTCGGGGAAGACCCAGGACATGCTGGAGGGACTATGTCTCTCTGCTGGCCTGGGAATGCCTCAGGATCCCCCTGGAGCTAAAGGAAGTGTCTGGGAAGAGGGAAGTCTGGGGTTCTCTCCTAAGATTGCTAACCCTGCAACCCAGCCCTGTAAAAGCAGTTAAAAATTAATGAATTAATGAGTCGTTTAAGCTGTTTTTGCATCAATAAATCCTTAAATCACAGTTTTCAAAATAATCTATGTTGTATAAAATAAAAAAATGTTACGTAAAGGGTGACATAAAGGTTCACCAAAAAATTTTAATGGACCTTTGTGAGTTTCAGTAACCATTGATATCTATAATAGGAAAAACGAACACATTTGCTTTTAACTGCTTTAATGTTCAACAGAAAAAAAAAACTCAAACTTAAACGTTTATGATGAAAAAAAAATTATAACAGAATATTTAGTTTTGGTTTGATTATGGCATTTATGATTAAATTATGACTGATTAAGTGTCAAAACATTTTCATAGAATTATTGTTGGGGGACACATTCATGCACTCATTTTCCTTCGGCTTAATTTCTGATTTGTCAGCGGTCACCAAAGTGGAATTAACCACCAACTACTATGCCATATGTTTTACACAGTCAATGCCCATGAAAGGACACGTGCATTATAATATATAACTATGTAAAGATTGAATTTATGACAAAATTAGGAAAGAAATAACTAAATATGTAAAGTAATGTGTTTTGTATAGCGCATTTATCCTGTCATACACCTAAAGCACTTCACAATCATGAGCGGGGTCTCTCAACTCTACCACCAGTGTGCAGCATCCACTTGGATAATATTATGACAGCCACAGGACAATGGCACCAGTGTGCTCACCACACACTTGCTAGGGGGAGTGGAGAGACAGTGACAGCAGATTCGGTGGATGGGGATGATTGGGAGGCCATGATGGGTAAAGGCCGATGGAGGGAATTTGGCCATGACACTGGGGTTACACCCCTACTCTTCATGAGAAATGCCATGGGATTTTTTATTAACCACAGAGAGTCAAGACCTCAGTTTAAAGTCTCATCCGCAATAAATAAAATTAATATATATTTTTTTTACAATTTCCAAATATTTAGTTTCAACTATGTTTTTGAGTGTACTAAAGAATGTGCCTCTAAGAATCTATGGGTTCTCTGGTTTCTCCATCTTGTCTCAGGAGGGTGGGGTGGAGTCAGGCTTCAAGAGTGCCAGGTCTAGAATTGATCCTGTTAAATATCTGTACCAAGTCAAAGGAAAGAAAAACATCCGCGCAAGAGAGGTGGAGTTTAGCTGGGGGAGCTTCAACAAGGGGGACTGTTTCATACTGGACCTGGGAGAGGTTTGTAAATGTCTTTATATGCTATACATGCTTGTGTGTTGGTGAGCAACCTTTATGATCCTTTTATGATTGTGTGTTTATGCTCAGAATATAGTCGTATGGATTGGTTCCAAAGCCAACATGTTTGAGCGACAGAAGGTGCGTGAGATAGCAATGCTGATCAGAGACACCGAGAGGAATGGCAAAGCTCACATCATTGATGTTCGAGAGGGAGAGGAACCAGTAGAGATGGTCAAGGTGACAAACAACACGTCTATTCCTTTATTCCTTTAAAGATGCATAAAACAAATCATAAAACATGCCACATCACATGGCAATTAGGTTCAAATTAATTTGTTGTCCTTGGTGATTCATTAAAAACAAGGAATATGTATGTATGTGTGTGTTTATATATATATATATATATATATATATATATATATATATATATATATATATATATATATATATATATATATATATATATATATATATTTGCAGGCAAAATGAATGACTTCTGTTGAAACACTGATGTCTTGAGCATGTTCAAAACAACCTGAATATGATGATCAACTCTCAGAATCTGAAAACTTAATCTTCCCAATAAAACATAATCATACTTTTTATATGTAAGCTGCAGCACCCAACATAAGAACAAATAAGTACCATTTTGTTAACAAATACAGGTAAATTAAAGATAATAATGTTGTAAGTAATGTTTGTATTTTGTACTCTAGTTTAAAGTTAACCCCAAGGAGTCAGAGATAGGCCTACAATTAATTAAAGGCAATTATTTACTGAAAAAAATAGTTAGCAGAAGCCAGCTTCCACACTCACAAAGAGTCCATAGGGCGCTCTCTGTGTTGAGTCTCAAATCCAGAGCAATTATACTTTTACAGAAGGTCACCAACTACGTCATGCTCTTAGGTAGGAAGATTCTGGTTGGTTGAAACAGAGATAACCTTAGATAATCTCCACATATGGACGTAAAATTCAAAGCATAACTTTCAATGACTATTTAGGTGACAAGCAAACAAAGGTCAGACTTAACAGGTCCTCCAGAAGGCTATTTTGAGAGTCAGAATGATCACAGAGATGAGATTCAGTCCTTAAGGAAGAGTTTAAGCAAGTGTCTTATCAGTATAGTATATTGCTGACAGTGTAAGAGCAGCATCTTACTGAGCATTAACAAAATACAAACTACAACAGAATTAACTTTATTTCTAACATGTAATATCAGTGTTGTCACTATTGTGGTTACAAACTTGGCATACAAAAAGAGCAACAAACACATTCAATTACAGTTTTCCTCAAAAGAGGGATGACACTATGACATGAAATAATGTAGGCAGTTATTATCAACTTTACTTATAATCATATCAAAGGAAAGATATATCCAAATATATGTATATGTTTGCCAGTTTTTGATTTAGTTTTTAGACTACTGTTTTAAAAAATGAATGCCAGTAAACCACTGAGTAGCATTGTATAAATCCCCAAGGACCATGGTTTCAGCAGAAATCGTCTTTAATGCTCTACTGAGGAAAAAATTAACCTACATCTTCAATGGCCTGAGGGAGAATAAATTAACAGCACATTTAAATTTGTTAGGTAAACTATCCCTTTAGGGCAAAAAAGAAAGACTAATTAAGGTATGATTAGTAAAATACCATCTCTATCATCACTTGTAAGGCACTTGGTCCAGTTCCAGCTCTGAAGGACAGCTCAACAGAGGAAGACTCTGAAGCAGATATCACCAATTCTGCTTCCCTTTACAAGGTCAGCCCTCTTTCTTTTACACTAAACGTCATATATTATAAAAAAAAATCAAAGTACCTAATCTAATCTTGTGGTCAGTCAATCTCCTTCAATGTTATAATGACACAATATTACAATTACAACTACAAAAAGGACACAATTAATATGATATTGTCACAATACTTTTGTCATGGGAAAATAAGTCTGCATAAACCAGATATTGCTGAGACCTTTATATCATTATGTTGATTTACTTCCAAGTTCCAACTGAAATGAAATATTGAGTAGAGAGTGGGGCTTTTTTGTGCATCATACCCTTAGCAAACTAACGGTAAGGAGGTTGTGGTTAAGAATATTGTGGCTGAAGCCGTCAAACAACTGCCACTCCAAAAATTGACCAAAACAGACTTTTTTAGTGCACAGATTAATTTTTCACCTAAAGAATAACAGTATGTGCCAGCAAAATTAACATTGTACATTTTTATTTTACATGGACTTTTAAGGGCACCTATGATGAAAATCATCTTTTGCAAGCTGTTTGCACAGAGAGATATGTGTAGGTATAGTGTGTCCACAGTCATTGATGTAAACACAATAAGTCTTTTTTTTTTTTTTAATTACTGACATTAAAATAGCACTTAAATCCCAGTGATTTCGAGGCCCACCGCAATGTGATGCAGGAGTGTGGTTTTCCCACCCACCAAATTGATTGACAGGTGCCATATCTCGATAATAACACGTATACACATTTCCACAAAACATTTTTTTTGCAAAGAAACTGAGATTAAATTTGTTACAACGCTCTGTGTTCAGCTGCACCTTAATAATTAATTTTATAAGTTTAAAACGTTTCTAAAACATAAAATAAAATTACTATTTAATTCTTAACTGTTATAATTACCATGGCCACATGATGTCAGTAAATGCGCACAAATGTGTGTGTGTGCGCGTATGTGCAAACGGCATTTCTCATCATTTCAGAAAGGCTTGAATAATCTCCACCACAAATACATGAAATGAAATTACTTGGTAATTCTGACGATGAGCTGCATTTCAGCTTCATCACATTCTAAAAAACCTTAAGTTATTTATTTAACCCAATAGTTGAGTTAAACATTTAGTGCTTTTGTTGGGTTATTTTTAACCTTTTTAAATTTATTTATTAATAACTCAACCAGTTGAGTTAAACATTTGGTGCTTTGTTGGGTTATTTTTAACCATTATTGGGTTATTTATTTAATAACTCAACCAGTTGAGTTAAAAATTTCAACAGTCAACTGATTTAACTGACACAAAATAGCTTTATTAATATGCATGTGTGATGTTGTTTTTGTGTTATAAAGTTTATTTAAGCTATAATGCAATATTGTTGTAATATCAAATATTTTATCAAATTACTTAGCCGTGTCGTGTTTTTTATATCTGTTTCACCATTCAAGAGCATCTTTTAGAAGCGTTGGGTTGTGGTTCAATGTAATGTACATTGTCGACACTGAGTGAAGCCTGCTGCAGCTGCTGGACAGCCTCTACAGCACATTCCTTATTTCTGTTCAATCAACACAAGGTTTTCTGCTTATAACTGTCTGTACTTTTTTCTGTTCTTCATTGTTTGTGATTCTTGATTTATTTTAACAAAAGTGTCTGGAACTAAAATGTTATGGAAATAAAGCATTTTTAATATTTTTGAAAACTGTATGCTATTTATTTACACAGCAACAATTAAAAAAAAAATAGTAGCACTAGTAATAGTTGCAATATTAATACTAGAGTGAAAAAAACAATTTAATCAAAATAACCCAATGGATTGGGTTTAAATAACCCATAGTTGGGAAGGTGCTATAATAACCTATAGTTGGGTATTATGTTGGGGTAATTTTAATCCAAATATTTTAATAGAGAGAGTCTGCCTCTGTCACTGTGGATTTATCTGATGTAAGGCATGATGAGAATGTCAGATATTGTTGTAGATATGCATGTCAGAGTGGTGGGTGGGAAGAAGCAGCTCATTTGCGTTTAAAGCCACAGGCTACAAAAACAGCTACATAGCCCTCACGTTTTGAGTTTGTGTATCTCACTTTAGTTTTATTGCTGGAGAGCAAAATGGGATTATCATGCTGACAAAATGACCAACACTTTAAAGAAAACCTCTTGAAAATGTTGTATTTTGTTGATGCCGCCATCTTTATTTGACATTAATTCTTTGTTTTATGTTTAAGATTTAAAACTCAGTGTTATAAATGACCAGCTCTGTAAAGTAATATATTTTATTATTACACCAAATAGTGTAATAAAATCTTGACTATATATCATATGGGCATCTGTGTATTGAATGGGCATCAAAGTATTGCCATGGAAAATATTTCTATACTCTGCTAAATAGGCATGGGATGATAATCGTTTTAAAGGTATACTGCGGTTTGGAAAAGTCAAGGTTTTAAAACCGTCAATTTTCTGCTATATCATTCCTTTGGTATATGTACGATTTTTTATTTACTTTTTTTTTTCAGTATCTCCAGCAGAAAAGATGATGAATCGTAATAAAATCTGTGTTCTTGAAGTCATTGATTCATTTTCATTATTTAGCCTAATGTTTACTGCTCCATAATATTATAAATGTTTCTCAAAAGGAAATATATTTTGTTGAAAGGGGAAAAAAGTTTTTTTTTTTACCCAGACATTTAAAAATAATTGATCTTAGAGCAGTAATCACAATACTGTGAAACCGTGATATTTTTATCCAATGTTATCATACCGTCAGAATCTTATACTGGCCCATGCCTACTGCTGAATCAATATATCCTCACTAATAATTCTCTTTCTCAGGTGTCTAATGCAACAGGCCAAATGACTTTAACAAAACTGTGTGACAAAGGACCTTTCGGTCAAGAGCTGCTGGAGAAAGACGACTGCTTCATACTGGACAATGGATCCAATGGGAAGATCTATGTTTGGAAAGGTGCTTATTCAATCCATGTGTGTCACGTAAAATCATAACTTTTTAATCATTACCTTTCATTGCGGACAAGCAGGGAATGGAGCTAATGCAGAGGAGAAGAGAGTCGCCTTGAAGGTAGCAGATGAGTTTATTACCGAGATGAATTACCCCAGGATGAGAACGCAGGTACAATAACCAGCAGTTCAAGCTTTCATTTTCACATCTGTGCAAAACTATGACCTCCAGTCATCCACTTTTATTACACCCTCAGGTGGAAATTCTCCCTCAGGGTCGTGAATCGGTGCTCTTCAAACAGTTCTTCAAGAGCTGGAGTTAAACATCAACACCAGCAGGATGTATGATACTCTTTTTGTATTATCGCACAGCATACTAGCCTTGAGTGGTGTAGAAGACTACCTGTTGAAACTCTTTGCTGTTAGCCAAAGGATTGCTTGTTTATTATGAACGGGACTGTTGTCATTTTTATTTAAAAAAAAATGCCTATTTAAGAATAATGTTTTTAAAAAGGCCATTTAAATTGTTCAATAATTGTCTGTCAAATGCAAAATTAAAAGTATAAAACATAACTCAAAGTTCTGGTATTATGTGAATTTGAAATTTCCGGGTTTCTCAGTAGCAGATTTAATCACAGCTGGGTAAACTTCGAGAGTAGTGAATGGCAGCGAGTGGGAGAGCGGGGCACAAAGTAACACTTTTTGGTTGTGGCCAAATAATGAACAAAGTAACGGGAATAGACAGGCCCGGATTGGCTAATCGGGAGGACCGGGAGAATTCCCGGTGGGCCGGTCCGTTTTTTGGCCGTGAGGGCCGGTGTCACTAGTTCCAGAATCGGTTGCTCTCAGCAGTCACACTTTTTAAAAATAATTTAATTATTTACTTGACCACAGCCTTCTTATTAATTATTTTACCGCAGCTCTGCTCTTTTTATCTATTTTCTCTTAGCCTCGTGAGCAGGATGCAGGTTAATGATGATATACTGTAACTAGATAAGTCACCATTAAACGTACAGCAGTTGTGGTACAGTGGTTAGTACGTTAGATTTTGAGGCGGCCAACCTGGGTTCGGTCCTTCTCTGAGTAACAATTTTTTTTTTTTTTTCATTTTTATTGTTAAGACATAATACTGTAAGGGTTGTTGAACATTTGAAGTTCTAAAAGTGCTGTTTTCTCAAAAAAAAAGACGTGATAGTGTAATTAGAAACTGAATTGGAAATAACCTTATTTTAATATAGTCAGTGGTGAACTGAGATGGGCCGGTCTGAGGCTTGAAACTCCAGGGCTGAAAAAGAGTCCCACTCCGGCCCTGGGAATAGACAAACCATTTTACCAACAAATAAGCCTCTCCTACAAATGAGCACTGGTTGTATGATCACCAGACCTATGGTTTCTGTGCAGTATTGCCAAAAGTGCCAGGAGTAATAACTGTACTATTTACTCCACCTCCGGGGCTAGTTGTAACAGAGGGTTAGTTGTAACATGTGCTCAAAAAAGTAAAATTTCACACAGTTAATTTAAATGTATTAATTTATTCATTTCTTTTCGGATTAGTCCCTTTATTAATCTGGGGTCGCCACAGCGGAATGAACCACCAACTTATCCAGCATATGTTTTATGCAGTGGATACCTTTCCAGCTGCAACCCATCACTGGAAAATCATTTAAATTCAGTTTATTTTAAATAGTATATTACCTCAGTAGTTGTGTCACACCCTCGTTACTGCAGCTCCAGTCAGCACTCTCCCTCACCATCCACCACTCACCACACCCGTAAACAATCATCTGATTACTAATCACCTGCATCTACAATCACCCATGCACCATATATACTCACTTCCTTCATTCACTCACTGGCTGGAATCGAAGTCAGATGGTTCTGTCATCGACTCTCCCTCTTGTACTCTTCCGTGGATGTCCTTCTTCTCCTGTGGATGTAAACACAACCGCTTAAGGGAGGTGACTAAGCTTTGATAGAGTAATCCGGAAGATCTAAAACTTACCATATTAACTGTGTGTGAGATCGCTCTCCCTCTGCTACACCCCTTACCTGCTTCATCTCTTAGCATCTGTTGCATAGCACTAATAAATACTCTTAAAGATTTATCCATCTGTATTCCTTGTGTGACTGTGACAAACGTGACTAAAATTATACTAAAATACAGCATGTTTATTTATTTGTCTATTAGAAAAACACATTTGGATTCATTTGCATTATTACCCATTATTTTACAATGCATTAATTTGCAGTATTAGCATTAAATTCTAATTAAAAACACTTATATAAAAAGTTCCCAACATTACACCCAAATTATTTTGTTAGTTTAATTGTTGTCCAACAGTGTGGGGCTATTTGTAACACCCTGTTAAAACTGTGTCGTGTTTCCTCAATTGGCTAGCAGTAACTGTGTCTTTTTTTACTTTTAAATGGTTCCATCTTTTAGCGCAGAAGACTGTATTTACAGCAATATAAGATTTTAGGTGCATACTTTTTAAATATTTATTTTTAAATAAAAAATATATATATATTGAGTATATAAAAAATACCTTTATGCTGAAAAAAAATGGTTTCTCCATTGTTTCTCATCCAAATTTTGCTGAACTTTTTAAATAATTGGCAGGAAGACATCTGCCAACACTGTGGTAAAAAACTCAAAGCATGCCATGGTTAACCCTGAGCAAATAGCTTTAAACCCCTATTTTACCCAACGTTACTTTGTCCCCTGCGCTTCCCTACAACAAATCAACTTTTTTGCAATCCCATTTGCTGAAATAATATTAGAAAAACTCCACAATGGTGTTATCAAGACTTACAGAAAAAGTTATACTTTTATTTACTTTGCTGCTTTTTATTTACAAATGCCTCACACAAGCGGTAATTTGTTGCAAAGACGATATATGTAAACATAAACACAAAAATGCCCATAAGTTCATTCATTCATTTTCCTTCAGCTTAGTCCCTTTTTAACAAGGGTCACCACAGCAGAATGAACTGGCAACTATTCCAGCATATGTTTTATGCAGCGGATGTCTTTCCAGCCGCAACCTAGTACTGAGAAACACCCATACACTTGCGCATTCATACACACTAATACAGTAAGGCCAATTTAGTTAATCCAATTCAATGTTCATACATTTTTTACAAATCTAAATGTTAAAAACTTTCAAGGATTTAAGATGCTGATGACTATACATAACAGCGTTGTGAATAGGGTCATGATGTGTGGTGATGACTGTTCTTCATATATTGAGGCTCACATTAACTCAATATCATACATGCACAAACAGACACCAAATAAACTACTAACGCTTATGTAATACATACGTGACCTTTAGTGTGATCAGAATTTATCTTGGACATGCACGCAAAGATAAAGGATGAATCTGTAAATTAATCTTAGGGCTGATCCTCCACACAACCAAGCCAAATCAGTGGAAAGGACAAACGACTGGACTTTTGGCTATGAAAATAAACACTACATAAATAAGAACTTTGCCAATAGCAGTTTCTCAGTTGAAAGCACACCGATGTTCTTCCATCTTCTGCCTTAAAAACTGCTTTAAATGTTGAAAAACAGGCCTACAAAAAAACGCTGTTTCAGTTTTAGTGAGCAAGGCTTTAATGTCTGTAACTGCATCTTTCATTTGAGATGCAGTTCTTCGGAGGGTCAAATAGTGACCATCTTTGTCATTGCATTGTTTCGACAACCTTATGCAATGAAAGAAGTTATTTCCATTAATTAGTTGCATTAATTTCTATGCCCAAGATCTTGTATTGGTAATGGGAACCCATCCACTATCTAACTGTGAGGTATACACCATCTGCTCCAGCACATCCCAGAGACATTTAGCAGGCTTTTTTTTTGTTTGTTTTTTTTTTTTTTTAACAATTTGTGCCTGATGAATTATGACATTGTTATGTGGTAATACAGTTATGTGAGACTTCACATCAGAAGCTACACACACCACATCAATAAGGTTTAAAGAATTGTTTACAAATCCATAACAAGACTGTAATCTATTAATCATTGCATTAAACTTACATCCATAGACTTTGATGATTACTCACCCTCAAGTGGTTCCAAAGCTTTAAGAGGTTCTATTTTCTGTTGAACACAAAAGAAGATATTTTGAAGAATGTTGAAAACCAGTAACCATTGACATCCATAGTAGGAAAAACAAATATGCAAGTCAATGATTACATTTCTAACATTTAAACAGATTTAAAAAATTAAAAATTCTCAAACTGGATTTAAACAAATGATTTGAGTAAATGAAAATCATGTTCATTTTTGAACATTCTGAAATATCTATTTAAATTAATAAATTAATGTATTAAGTTACTACTATAACTGTAGTTGCTAAGATATTTTCTATTTCATGCATGTTTCAGATGATTTTCCAATTAATCCACATTTCAGACCATTGAACAGCGTAACAAACAGTTTACTGCCTAAATATGGAGGTTAATAATTGCCACTTGAGTCATTTGAGAACTTGTGTAATGAGAGTGCTTCATCTTGAAATGACAACCAGGGAGCAATACCAGTTTCATTATGCCTGTTGATTTGATATTTTATAATACAAAAACACATAATCAGCATGTACTTATATGTCTATAGCCTACCAAACCAATGAATCATCAGGAAACAGTTTCGAGCTTTGGAGCAGGAAAGACCAACTTGGCCAAACACAGTGATAAAGTTTTGATTAAAAAAAAACTTCCTGTAGTTATAAAGTCACCCTTAGAACTTGGCTAGCTTGTAAGCTTTTGTGGTATAACAAATCTAGAATAGATTTATTTATTTAAAAATGTTTAGCATTCTTACTTAAAAACAAAATTAAAACAGTTTTGCATGCATGTTGTTTTATTTAAGTGAAGCATATAAGCACATGAAGCATCTACATCTGTTTCAATTCCACATAAATAGCAATGCTCTTCCTTCTCACAGTTAACAGAAGTTTGAACGAGTTGATAGGTGAGATATCATGTCTATGATAGGGCGGATTTAAAAATCAAAGGTCACTGTCTAGTCTATAGAGATGACATGATAGGACAGAATTGGAGTGCGCTGGTTCTGCAGGTGTGCACAACAGAGATCTCTTTAGCTGGCCTGTTACCGCGGTGGAGAAGGTAAGGGCTGGAAAATATGTAATATATGTGTTTAATGTTTTAATGCTTAGACATTGGGAACAGTTTGATTGCTTTCATAAAGGATAAATATGTTTTGGTTTTTAATATGTTTTACTACATCAGAATTGTACAAACCATGTACATAATTAAAAAGCTTAATAGCGGTCAGAAATTACAGTATTGGAAAATCTTTGGAAATGTTTGATTCAGTGCCCAAACAAAATCTGACAAATATTTTGAACACAAACTGTTTAGACTTCTGTCTTTGATTGTTTTTAGGTAACCTTATACAACAACGTTTAATTAGTTAATGTTATTGTATTTACTGATGAACTAAGAATGAACAATACTTAGTTATTAAGTTATACAGTAAAACTTCACACAGAATCTGCACGTGCAAAAATCCACAGATTTCCGCAGATTTTTAGCCCATAATTGAGTCTGTTTATTTACTTGTGTAAATGTGTGTACATTTATATTTATCCAGTTGTTAAATTCATGTTAAAATAATATGATTTGTTTACAATAAAATAAAGTTTGTAAAGTTATATTTTCTGTCTTTTGGTCGATATATTATATGAGAGACTTGCTTTCCCAGATAAGTGAATATAATTGGATTTGCATTGTAAACACTAAATAAAAGTTAAAAATGCATTATTTTTTATTTTATATATGAAGTTTTTAGTTATGATACTCCTAAAATCATCACACAAAATCCGCAGCTTTTTTACAAAAATCTCCACAGAAATTGCAAAAAATGTCTGAAGATCCTGTCTGGCCCTAATTATGACTACTTAATTATTTTTTAATAACTTATTTAGTATTAAGTTAGTTATACAGTATTTATTAATCATAGTTCAACCTTTACTATTGCATTATTAAAACCCAAAGTTGTGCTTAAATAGTTCATGGACTGTGAGTTAACATGAACTAACAATGGACAACTTTATTTTCATCAACTAACGTAACAAAGATGATTAAATTCTGCATTAAATGTATTGTTCATTTTTTGTTTGCGTTAATGAACACATAAACATTAACTAATGTAACATTATAGTGAAATGTTACCATTTTTTGCAGTTTTTGTGAAAAACCTAATTTAGAAAACATAGATTTTATATAATATTAAAATAGTGTTTATGTGTAATTTTCATAATAAAAAACTATTTTAATTTATAAGGTTTAAAATTCTATTTTCAACCCTTTTGTTAAGACATGGATTAAAACATACATTTTATTTTACAATCTTTCAAATATACAATTACTTTTTAAAAACATTATTGAACTGAAATATACTATGTTACACTGAAACAAAAACAAATGATCATTTCTAAATGAATATGAAAAACAATTACTCAAAATCAATTTGTAGCTTAGTTGGTTTATGTAAGTACATTTGGAATATGACTGTGTTTTAATCACTTCAGCCTGCTAACAATTTGTTGAAGTAAATGGCGTTTTGAACAATAAATATTCATATGTATTTTGTATTTGAAATGTTTCAAACATTTGACGAGCTGACAGTTTATGCTTTTCTTAAGGCTGAGGTCCTCAAAAGTGCAGCCACTATGAAGAAGAGTATCTTGAAAGCTAACCGTAAGTTCAGAGATTATGATTTCAAAAACAATTTATACCATGTCTTTAAAATGCAGAGAGTAAATATGTTTGTGTATAACAGGATATGAGGCGCCTGAAGCCGGTTTGAGTAACTCTATTGGAGCTGTAACCTGGACTCTTCCTGATGAAGGTCTTCAGGCTCACAGCTCAGTTCCCAGCAAGAGCAGCCAAAGCCCCAGACAAAAGGTAAACAGAGATAGATGGACGGACAGATGGATGGATAGATGGATATAGATAAATAAATCAGACAGACGGACAGAAAGACGGACAGAAAGACAGACTTTTGCTAATCTGTTGTATTGCAGGATTTGAAGGATCTCCGCAGCCTGCAGGAATGTGTGAAGTTTATCACTCAGTGGAAACAGCAGGTCGACCAAGTCTGCAAGGTAATGTGTCATTTATATACATGAATCGATTTTAAAAGTTACACTGTAAAAACTTACAAGCTTGCTTTAAACATTTACATTGAATCAAATTAACTTTGTGTGTCACTGATTCAATAAAAAAGAAGTTAAGGGGTTAGTTAAGCAGTTATTCCACCAGTTTGACTGTTTCTTTTACTGTTGAACACAAAAGAATATGTTTTTGAGGAATGTTGGAAACTATTACCCATTGGCTTTCATAAAAAAAAAAAACAAAGACTATGGGAGTCAGTGGTGACAGGTTTCTAAAATTCTTCAATATATCTAAATATCTTTTGGGTGAAAAAGAAATGTAAAAACCTTTAGAACAAGTTTAGTAAATGACAGCAGAATTTTCTTTTTTGGGTGAACTATCCCTTTAAAGGTCTGATGAAGTGCTTATAAATGTGCAGTTTTTATGTGATGTTTGATGTCATCTCAAATGAAAAATTAAGAGAGGGTGGCACAGAGTAGCTCCTCCCCTTTTCAAAACAGCCAATAGTGTTTCGTTTATATCACAGCTCTGCCAATGAGACGAGAGTGTATGAGATCAAGCACGTCAAATGAAAAGCAAATAAGAAGCGTCTTTAATGGGGCTGGGCATGTCAGACACTAGAGAGCATTCGATTGATTTGTCATGATTTGATGAGAAGCTGAAATATGAAGTGACATGAAAAAAAACCCGTTGATCCATTAAAGTGACAAACTGCAAGCTTGATGTTTATATAAGATGTTTATATAAGTTTTATATTTTCTAATGTGAATTTTGTCACTGTTTTGGAGCAATCTAGCAATACTTAATTAAAACTAACATCTAAAGTCTTTTATTTTAATTTCACAGGTCATTTTAAACTGTATTGTGGTTTCATTCCTGAATGAATCAAGGTGATTGATCAAATCAGTTAAATGACTGAAGGAGTGACTTGTTGCCTTGTATAGATGTAAACACCCCAACAAAAATGTTTCAAATTGCGCACAGTATGAGGGCGAGTAAATGAATATATGATTTTTTTTGGTAAACTGTCTCTTTAAATGTTTAAAAAAGCCCATAAAGGTTGCTTGGCAACATCTTAAACACAGTAATGGTTTATTGCATATTAATGTATCATAAAGTTATAAGTGATAAGACAGTAACTCTGGGAATATGATTGAACTATGCACAATGGAACGGTAAGGAATGATTATTGTGTTTCAAAGATGTTTGTTTTAGACTTTTTTTTTTTAAGAGTTGCATCACCTTTTGGATGCCTAGAGAGTGATGTCGATGCAGAAAGTAAAACACTTGGGTTAGTTCACCTAAAAAATGAAAATTCTGTTATTAATTATTCTCCCAATCCTTTGTGGCCTTTGCTTATTTTCTGAACACAAATTAGGATATTTTACATAAAATCGGAGAGCTCTCTCATCCTCCATGGACAGAATAGTCCCAAGACGTTCAAAGTCCAGTCAGTGGTTCAAAACAGCTGTCTTCTTTTCCTGTTTACAGGCAATATGAAACTTACATGTTGCACCGCTGACTACACTGAATTTTCATTTTGTGATGTGTGAACTGACCCTTTAATGTCTAAAAATGTCACAATAAACACTGACCGCTTAAATGTGTCTTCTAGCCTGGTGCCAATGCTGATGAAGGCCCGGGTGCTAGTGTGCTTGCAGAGCCACGCAGTCTGGAGCAATGCCGCAAACTCATCCTTGAGTGGGCACAGGAGCTCAGGAAGGTGGACAGTGTGAGTGCATGACTTAGAGACATTTTGACATATGCTGCATCCCAAATCGCATACTTATACTGCACCTTAAAAGTATGTACATTTTTTTTTTTGTGAAGGAAAAATATGTACTTTTGAGTGTGTAACTGAGAAATTGAAGAGTATGCAAGCTTTGGGAAGCCTACAACTTCCATGTTAACAGATCGTTGTTGCTTAGTTATGAGCCCTGTCAATCATCCACACATCATCCACATTTCTGTCAGATTTAATCTCCTACCTTATTAGAGAAGCAGCAGCAGCAGGTTAATCTCCCATTCACGAGTCTTTCCTGCAAATAAATCTCCTCAGATCTTTGGGTAATGCATCTAGACGTTAATGTCCAAATACGTCTTTATAAACGTTTAGTATTGTTGTTGCAGATGAAATATAACACAGAAAACGCGATTTAAATATTTTCCAGTTGGCAACATATTAATTAACAGTCATACAAACATCTTTACCGAAGTCTACTTGACGGTTGGTCTCGTGCATCCATCATGTTTGTTGTTTATTTACACTTTTCACCCGCGTTTGTCGTTCTAATCAAATTCACGTCCAACGATGCACTGTGGGCAATATTAGTGGTTAGAGTATGAACGCTTCTTTTTTTTTCTTTTTTTTTTTTTTTTTTGCAAAAAAACAGTTGACAAGTTTGTAGCAATATGTTTACAATGCAGAATATGAATTACATTGTCAATGAAAAAGAGATACGAGAGAGAAAGACAGAAGAAAAAAAGAATAAAGAACATGATATAAACTTGAGGGTAAGACATTTAAGAATAAAGAACAGTACATAAATTAAAGTCATTACAAAATGAAATAGTTCTGTTTGCTTTCTTATTTTTAGATAATGAAATTAATTGTATATAATGACTAAATTCTTGCAAAAACACAGGAAAATATGGTTTAGTATTAGTAAATTTGCATTTGTGGATATGGAATTTACAAAGAAAATATATTAAATTTATAACAAAACAAGCATTTCTCTTAGTAGGGGCAGATTCATAATAACCAAAAATAATTTCTTTAAAAGTAAGAGAAACATCTTGTTGTATATTATCATTAATAAATAATCCAATATGTTTCCAAAATTGTACAGCATAATTAAACTCCCAAAATAAATGAAAAACAGTTCCAGAATGAAATTGACAAAATGAACATTTTAGAGTATGAACGCTTCCAGTTCTACACTTAAATTTCTTTACCGGAAATAGTCAACCATCTAACAATAACCTTTGGCATACTCTTCTAAACATACTATGCTTTGGGACATACAAATTATATTTTCAAATACTGTTTAAGACGGATAGTTTGTTATTTGGGACGCAGCATTTTTGGAATTAACAATAATTTTTGCATAAGTTGAAGTACCTTTAATTTAGGTACTTCAAATGTCTAACATACTCCTAATATATTTGAAAGTGTAGTCCCCTCCTGCTGAACGCAAAAGAAGATGTTTTGAAAAATACTGGTTGCCGGCATCCATCTACTTCTATAGTAAGAAAAAAAATACTATGGAAGTCTTTTTTTTTGGCTTTGCGTTCAACAGCTCAATTTTCTTTTTGAAGGGTGAGTAACTGATGTCAGAATTTTTATTTTTGTGTGAACAATCCCTTAAAAAAATACACCAGAAACCTAAAAGTTCAGTGATCTCACTTTGCGATCACTATAAATTACCCATACAGTTAAAAAGACACCAAACATCTGTAAGCAAACAGACATCATGGACTGTTCTCATGAAGGTTATTGCAAATAATGATAAGTTTCTTTTCTCCTACCTCTAGTTGTTTAGTGAGGGTACATGGAGAAAAGAAAGAGACACCTCCTGGGAGCAGAAAGAGAGCCAGGCTGACTCTGCCAAGCATATGGAGCAGAAGATCATGGAATGGGCTAAAGAGCTGCAGGCCGTGTCAGAGGTGTGGACACTGAGTTTGACCTCATAAACATAATTGATAATGTATGTGTATTAGGCATGGGCCGGTATACAATTCTGACAGTATGATAACCTTGGATAAAATGATCAAGTTTGACAGTATTGTGATTACTGCTCTAATATATTCTTTTTAAATGTATGGGCTAAAAAATAAAAATAAAAATTCTCCTTTAAACACAATATATTTTATTTTGAGAAACATTTATAATATTTTACAGCAGTAAACAAGTCAGGTTAAATAATTCAAATGAATCATTGACTTATGCTAGTTTCAAAAACACTTTCATGGAATTTAAAATGACATCTTTGGATATCCTTTCTGCTGGAGATACTGTTGTCCTAAAAAACCTTGACTTATCCTTGAAATTGGTTATCGTCCCATGCTTAATTTGTATAAAGTGTGTATATTTATACCTGTGTGCAGCGCTGTGGGGTGATGAGACAAGAATTGGCCCAATTTCTCAAGCAGCTGGAACTGAAGAAGAGGAAAATCTTGACTCTGTTGCCGTTTCTGGAGTTCATAACTTGGTCTTTGCTGAAGCAGGACAGCCAGGTATGAAACAACAACATCTAGCTGGAGTCCATAGTTTACGACCATAAACTGAATCAACTATTTTATCAGGAGATATTATTATCGCTGCTTATGTAAACAGTTTGGCATAGTTTATGAACAGCTACAACACAGCTCTTGCAGTGCAGTGGTTATTCTATAATAATTGGTGCTTTGGGAAGTGTGTGTTTTGGGATACTCTTTACCAGTTATCAGTTTTACTCTTTAGAAAAAAAGTTGCTGAGACAGTTATTGATGAATTAGATAATCATTGACTTCATGTCATGATAAAAAAAACATTTAAAAGTTTTAAATATAGATTTAAATATTTAATAATAATAAAATTATAATATTCCAGTACAGGGTTGCAGCTGAATAGTGCATCAGCTGTGTAAAACATGTCAATACTTACCCCTTCAATACTATAATAATATTGGTATATAAAAAATGTAAGCAGTAAATATCACTCACTCACTTTTCTTTTCGGCTTACTCATCTTTTTCAGTGGTCGCCACAGTGAAATGAACCACTAATTACTCGAGCACATTTTATAACTGCATAGCAGTAGATTTACTTTTGAAATAATGTGTGTATTTTTATGTGTGTTTAAGGGTGTCGTTCCACAGCTATGGCTCCTCAGTAAACATCGTACTTGGAAAACAGGTGAATCTTTTATTTTCAACCTTCAATAGATTGAAATACAAATTAATTTACATTAAGTTCAAAAGTGATCATTTACACTTATGACTGGTCACAGTGTTCTTGATAATGAATAAGGCTACACATAAAGGTCTGGGTACAGATAAGGCGGTCATCAATCTTGCTCTCGTAATTATTCTGTATAACCGCAGCAGAAATAAAGATTTATTGACTCTGACAAAGACCAAATTGATTTGGAAAGGAGACTAGCATATGGTTTTTCTGAAATGGCAAGGCTTGTAAATTATTCCCAGTAAGCATGGGTGAGAATTTTCCTTCTTTGATCAAAGGAGCTGAATGTTGGGGGCCCAAGACTCATCATGGGCAACAATGGCTGTCTCGACACATCCAACCCAACAAATCTGCTGTGGCACAAGTCGCACTGATTTTACTGAATGTTATGGGAAGGACATAGCATAACTCCTTTCACAGCAAAACCGCCAAACATGGCCACAAACAAAAGTGTCTATAATGACCATGTGAGAGTCAAATTTGGGGTGCTTTCACATTCTGTGGTTCGGTTCATTTGGTCCAGACCAAAAGCAACAAATGATACACTGTCGTTTTTGGGTCCTTTTCACACTACACTGATTGCTTTAGTCCGAACCAGTTGAAAAGAACCAAAATGCAGTCATGTGACGTGATGTTATTGAACATATTTCCTAAACTGCTTTTCAATTTGTCAGAAATAACGTGCTTGAAAATGCCAATGGAACTCCCGCAAGTAAACAAACCGGCAGACACAAAATATACTATATAGTTTACATGCATCAATTAAAAAACATATACATTTCGAAAAATGAAGCGCAGCTGGAAAACAGTGTTTTAATGCATTGCAAATGGCGAAGGCGCATCACAAGTCACTTCAGGAGAAGGCGTGAATTAATTTAGCTAAACTGCGACAAGGTCATCTTCTGGACATATTACCAATGATCTATCAGGTAATGTTTTCCCCTCTCTCTCTCTGATTAAAATAGTTGGTTTAGCACTGCAAACAAATATTTTTCCTCCTCATCCCATCAGACTATGGCAACCTGATTAGTCCAAAAAGGCGCAGTACTTTTTGCGGTTGGGTCTGTTCTAGTTTGGATCATGCTCTCACCACAAATGAACCGCTCCACGTTTCGTTTGAAAGTGTACCGAGATCACCTCTTAAGGTGGTCTTGTTTTCCTTTTTTTGGTCCGGTTGCTACATTCACACCTGCCCAAGGAACCGCAAGAGGGAACACAAACTTTAGTGCGATTCAAACTAAATAAGGCAGGTGTGAAAACACCCTTAAACCTTGGAGCAATGGTAGGTGATCACCAGTCCAATGAGTCTGTCCTTGTGCACACTTTACATAGGTAAGCGATTAGGGCCTGGATGAACTGCAGTGTTCTTTTGAGAAATCCTGGGTCAGGTGGACGTAAATTTGACAAATTGTTGCATATCAGGAACATGCATTAATGATTTGTTTCACTGGTGAAAGTGTCAAGATAACAGACTTTCAGCAGGATAATGAACTTGGCCATACAGCACACATTATTCAAGAATGGTTTGAAGAATTTGGACTCCAAATTTCCCAGATCTCAATTTAATTGAGCATATGTGGGTTGTTTTGGATAAACTCCTTCAACCTACAGCACCTCCACCTCCCTACATACAGCACTTGAATGATCTCAGTGGCAGGTACCATGGGACATCTTCAAGGGTGGTTCATGCCTTTGAGAATCAGCACTGATTTGGCAAACACTAACACCTAACTACACTAGTGGTCATAAAAATGTACTATTAATGTAAATTATGATGTAATTTTTACAGTATTTACACTTTTTAATTCAGTACGCCTGATTTGTTTTGACAGAGACACCAAAGTACATTCCAAACTCAGGTACTGATTATCTTCATTGCATAACTTGACATGGTAACATCTAAAAATATAATTATGTTAATCATATCACTGCGGTAATAATGTTTATTACTGTTTTCCATAGTGTGGAGATGGATCCGCAGTGCTTCAGGTATCATTGACTCAGCTATTTACTGTGATTCACCTACCAGTTAGTTTTGGATGAAGCCTAACCTTCGCACTTGTTTCATTTTAACACATGCTCTGTTCAGTGGACATCTCACTGGACCCAATGACTAACCACCCATGGTTACAGCTCTCAGATGATAAGAAGAAGGTACAGGAAGCTCTGAGTGAAACTGAAGTGTCGTTCAGCAAGCAGCGCTTCGACAGCTGGCCGTGTGTCCTGGGTTGGGAAGGGCTCACCTCCGGTCGCTACTATTGGGAAGTAGATATTGCCAACAAGGGCTACTGGCGTATCGGAGTGACCACTGCCTCCTCTAAAAGGCACGGCAGGAGCCCTATGAACCCCTCTGAGGGCTTTTGGACAATATGGAAAAGCACAAGGCAGTTTTATGCATGCACCAAGCCGGAGACCGAGCTGCCTCTGACACTTGTTCCTAAGAAGCTGGGAGTCTACCTTGACTACGAGGAAGGACAGGTGTCTTTCTACAATGTAGAGACACGCACTCATATCTTCACATTTACTGCAAATTTCCGTGAAACATTGTTTCCACTTTTTGCACCGTTGGATGGACGCACACTTATCACACTGTCCACCGCTGAGGTCAATCCAGAAACGGCTTCTCTCTAAATATGCCATCTTTTAAGCTTGACTCCTGTCCTCTTAAGGTGTCAAGCGCAAATTTGAAAAGCACATGTGCACTACCTTTTGAGGTTTACATTCAATTAAAAACACAGGATCTAATCAGATAAGACATTCAGGAGAAAATAGCGTTTTCAATTCATTAACTTAAATTCGCCAGTGATTCCCACATAGACCTTACATGGGCAGGCCACCCAGGTATATTAACGGCTGCTCAAGAACATTTGGTGACACTTATTCTTTTATCCTTTTACACTTTTTTTTTATATCCGCCCAATATAATCGAACATCTGCGATAGATTACGTAGTGAAAAATCTTCTCTTGCTTACATGTTTTGTACTGCGCAAGATCTGTCAACACTCCCACAGAAGTCTCACGTGCTCTGCAGACCCACAGAGGCTTCCCTTTTTGAGATTTTGATGTTAAAGACCTTCTCAGAATATTTTTAGACCTCATCGCCACTTCAAGTTCTAATCAGTATTAAACCTTTACTTAATAAACAGCTGTGGTTAAATGAATCAATGGAGCACAACCATGAAACAGAACTCAAATAAGCTCGGAAGAAACAAAGCTCAAAATAATAAATTACGCAGTTGTTTTCAGCGACAGGATTCAGCCACTGTGTAAACTCGTCTTTCTCCAACCGGGAGTATACAAGCTTTCATTTTCCCATTTTGCCGTCTGTTTCGCTCTATGGTTTCGCTACATGTAGAGAGCGTCACATCATCTTTCTGCGTTTGTTGCAAATTACGTGACATCACCTGAACGAAGGAGGTTGGCCTTACACACCCTAGCCCAAACCAATGGGGTGGATCTAGCATGCCGTTAATATTAGAAGCCTAGGAGGAAAATAAATGTAATGCTTTTTTGGAGTCAAACACTTCGGACAACAGTTGAAAAAAAAACATGATTAGGACCTTTTAAACGCGTTACATTTTCTCATAATTGATTTATCAACTTTTAATACTTTTTAAGATCCCGCAAACACCCTGTAATACTCAGAGGATGAAATCTAAATTGGCTGCAAAATATTTGTACAGCATTAGAAATGATTCATCAACTCATTTTTAAATAATCTACACATTTTATTCTTGTAATTATTATACATTTTAAAGATATAGTCTGTTTTTATTCTTTTTTTCACTAATTTATTTCTCATTTGTTGTATATTTTATTAATTTGATGATGTCAATATATAGCATATCTTATACATCTAAATTGCTTGGCAATACTGTCAAAAATGTCATGCCAAAAAAGCAACCTGAATCTGAATGCAAAAGAGAGAGAAGCAGATTTTACCTGTCTGGGTGCATATGCGGTTCTGGAATACCATAAAAGAATTGGAGAAATAATGGATGTCTTTTTTAATTTATTTAATAGTATTCTTACTTTTACCCACTAAAAAGATACATTTTATAATTGTTTATTAATAAACAAAAATATTGTTAAAAATGTAATTATGTTATGTTTGTTGCATATAATTAACCGTTTATGTGATGTGGGTAAAAGGTGTTTTATCCGGCTACCACAGCAAGTATATTTCAAACCTGTGTGAAGCACTGTGTGCATTTTGGAATATCGCATGTTTGGATTAATTGTTCAAAACTTTAAAAAAGTGCATGAACTGAGTAGGATTTTTTTCTACAAGACAAAAATGCACAAGCTACAATATAAACATTTAACAAACCATGTGTGTCAAAAAATCTTTCAAAATTTTGTTTTAACAGATTACAAGATAACAAAAATGAACATGATGAGACAGCATTAATGGACAAACTAGATCACCGACCACATTAACATCTAAAATGCCTCAGCCAAAGTCTGGTCATCACATGGTTGAGCATTATTACTTACCAGAATTACCTTTTCAAAAGCTTTTCACCTTCATCTTAAGGCAGATGTCATTTAATGAAGAAAAAGACCTACAGTTACTCCTACCATGGCTAATTCCATTTTTATATATATATTTGTCAGTAAGCAACCACTTTGTTTTCTTTGACACATTGGAAACATAAATGGTCTACAAATGTTTTACGCAATACAGCTTTTCTGCATATAAATTTAATCTGCATCTTTGTAACAAACTAATCACAACTAATATTTTACCAGAACAATATGATCAAATTTACCAGCAGGGAGATCCTGTTTTGATCCTGTTTGTTCTTAACTCTCATTTGTCACACATTGTCTAATGATCCTGATTTCTATGTACAATAATTGTTGATTTTGGGCATTGTGCTTACAATGTACAGGTCAATTGGTTATTATGTAGCATGCTTGACAATAATTTGATTATTCAAAGATTGTTGACTTTGCTTCTGCTTTATGGTTTGCATCAATATGTAACATTTTAAAGTCAATTTATAAAAACAAATGTAGCTCACCTGATAAAGAAATTAAAATACATATTTGCTTCGCTTCTCTGAGCATTAACCAGTTATCACTTCCATAAACAGCAGATTTAAGGACTTTCTAAAGCACCATTTACTTTAAATCAAGCACCTTTGTACTTAATACCCCAGCATATGTAGCGCCATGAAAGTCCTTACTGTACTGAACATTTCTCTTTATGATTAAAATGTCATAGTAATGATAAACAGTCATGTTCGTTGAACCTTAATACAAATAGTTGAATAAAATACTTGTAATATTCAAATACTGTCTCTGAAATATTGATCAAATGTGCAACCTGTCCAGGTTTTTGTGCAAGATTAAAATTTAAGATTTTTAAATTAAGAATTTTTCTTTTTTTGTTCAGTTTTTCAAAGCAGAACAGAACAATTGTTAAAATAACACCCTACACTCTACATTTGTTTTAAAGTACTTTATAGGCCTGAAATTTCATGTCTGTGATTCAAGCATTTTCGAGAAATGTGGAGAACAGTTCCTTTGTATAATTAGCAGTTCTTGTGTGTGTTCCCTTTTGTTGAATCCCTGAATGCCTCAATAGTTAGTCACTTTGGACAAAAGCATCTGCTAAATGTAAATGTAAGAACCACCTAGTGTGGAAACTACACCTATAACAAGGGTGTCCAAACTCCGTCCTGGAGGGCCGGTGTTCAGCAGAGTTTAGCTCTAATCCTAATCAAACCGACCTGAACCAGCTAATCAAGCTCTTACTAAATATACTAGGATCGTCCTGGCAGGTGTGTTTAAGCAAGTTAGAGATAAACTCTCCAGGACATCAGGATTTAATTTGGACACCCCTGACCTATATAATTGGGTAATGTGAGAGACTTGAAGCCATTGTATTGTTTTATGAAATATTATTGATATTAAATTTGCTGCTTGCAGTACCAGCAATGTATACTTTGAAAAGTATCTATGAATTATACCTTTCCAGACAATGTGATTATCTACAAGCTCCAGAGAGCTGTAATAACTTTTGCTTTCATAAATCTTACATGCATCTTCAATATTTTAACAAGCCCCTATTATGGGTTTTTGAAAACGACCTTCCATGCAGTGTGCACCATGTTCAAAACTATTGATTCTTTAATAAAATAGTCAACTCTAGGGTCGAATAAATAAACAGTGTTGGGTTCGAATCTTTTGCTTGATCACGCCAACGTCGATATGGTACATCACCAAATATGAAGTGGCGGATCCAGTAAAACGTGAACGCGCCTTTTCCTTCAGACAATAGAGGAGCACGGAGGATTACGGGACTGATCATGACAAAGAGGACAATAACTAACAGATGGAGATTCGGCTGTGGAGAATAAACGGTTAAAGTTTATTGTCAGAATACCACAGTATAGCTGACCTAATGCTGTGTTTGTTCCTGTAATTTTTCTGATTTTTGATACAAGAACCTACACTGCAACGAGGGATTCGCCAGCCGTTTGTTACTAAAGGAAGAATCAGCAGAGATTATGTATGTGACTTTGTCAGTAACTTTTACAGTTCAAATAGCCCCTTTTCTTCTTCCTCCAGATCATAACATGCAAGTGTAATTAAAATTGTTGCCTTGTTCTCTGCAGTTTGCAAAAAAATTTTATTTCTGTGTTGTAATCACTCCACGCAGCTTGTAATCAGGTGTCTATTATAGATCAGTGCTTGTATTGTATCAGTTTAAATTTGTATGGAACGGTTCACATACTGTGTCCAAAACCACGTTGAAAACACGACGCATGTTTCTTCCTTTACCGATTTAAATGCGTTTCTGAACTCGCGATCCTCTGCCTTTTGCCTTTGCTATGGCCACCATCAGCTGTTCTTGCAGACATGCGTAGCCCAGTCAATTTTCAAAATAGTTCAACTTTTGCTCGTGTGGAGAAATTACTGAATGTGTGTGTCGTTGTTTTTACTTGTGGTTAGGGTTAAGAGTAGAGTAATATGCTGGTGTTTAACTGCATTGGGACTGGGTCATTGGATCAATCAGCATAGATTAGCTTCACGCAAAGGAGGGGTTTGGGAACCGCTGAACAAATAATATGGGAGTCGTTGGGATAATTAGGAAATAAATGCATATTATAAATGAACAATAATAATAAAAAAGCATATTATAAAGACAATAAAAGTGTTTTTTGACCTTGCATGCATATCAGCCTGTTATTGAGGACGCCCAAAACATGACCTTTCATAACGCATAATAGGGGTTCTTTAAGCTGTAAAAATATCACTGCTCTGTAAACACGACCCGACCCCCCCAAAAAAGAATTCAAGAAACAGTAAATGTTTTTTTTAAAGAGTGTATTTTAAAACATTTCTCTTAAAAAGAAAAATTATAAATGATTCAGCTAGCTACAAATAAATGCACGCTTATATATTTATAAAAGGCAAATGCGTGTAAACAGTAATAAGAAACAAAACCAGCATAAAATCTATAGCAGGTAAAACAGTAGAAGAGTTTTATCAAGATTTCCAGGAGGGACTTGTACATGCCCTGAGTATTTGACATTTCATTTGCTCATATTTAGACATCCAATCCATAACCATTTGCACAAGCACATGTCAAAACAGACTGGCCACTTATGAGCTTATCTGTGCCACATTACTCAACAACAATCACAAGAGTAAATCAACAACTACTTCAATTGAAAAAGAACAATGGTTGTACTAAATCTAAAAGCGTGTTATAAAGGGCAGCTTCTCTTATTAGCTAAAATACAAAAATAGGAACAGCAGTAATTAACATAAAAAAATATAAGATACAAAACGGTTTTGCTTTGGTATTTTTATTACATAATCGGCTTGCAACCAATTCCGATGGTTTGTTCCAATTAGTCTAATACTCATTTCTTTATAAAAATAAAAAAAAATGCTGCTTACAAAACAACCGAATACTGGCATTATTACAATTTACAAAAGTCACAGGTAAACTTCGTTCCTGAACGTTCATTTAACGGGTCTGTAAAACGTCAGGCTAGTCTTAGCCCTCGCCAGTGCTGGTAAAACACTGCAAAATCAGTGTCCAGCAACAAAGGTCCCAGTGGAGTGAACAAGAAGAAACATGACAAACAGGACTAATGGATCACATGTATCGCAGTTCCCCAAATGACCCCTGTGACAAGCTTTTTTTTTTGGTGTAATAAAAGCAAAAAAGGCAGTCCAAAAAGAGCAAAACTCCCAGTTTCTTTCTCTCTTAGCATCCCATCACCTTAATCAGAGTCGCTTCTTCCTTCGTCCTTCACCATCAGCTTCTTTCCCTGTTTGGGCTCAGATGATTCACGATTCTCTTTTTTGTTTTTTGTCATGCTGAAAGAAAAAGAATGAAAGAATTGTGAAGTTTGTAAATGTCAAATTAGCTCTGCTGACAGGTGTTGTATTAAATAAATTGGATAAATGGTTTGATTACACACACACAAATTGTACAGTGGAATTGAGAACTTACAATTTCTGACGATACTTTTCAGCATCTGAGGCAGGCACCACATCACTTAACTCCAGACTGTCGTTCAATTTCTTTAAAATTTCATAACGCTCCCTGCCCCTCACCTGAATGGAGAAACAAATGTTATGGTGATGCGTACACAAACCACTAGGGATTTATTAAAAGTCCAACAATATTTGCAGTCCACAATGTCAAGTTTAAAGTAAGAGCAGGGATGAGCAATAACACAAACGAAAACTTAAATTTGGCTTAGAAATAAAGTTAGAACTGCTAAATTTACTTCTTAGGTCATCTCAAATACTGAAGGTAATAAATAAATACATTTGCATTTTTAATTAACAGCAAAGGTTTTGTGAAGCCTCAAAATCTTTATTAATGCAAAAACAGTATTGCATAATGTGGAATTATGTCCTGCAGAACAAGCCTTCATAGAGTGTGCCATGCAAAAACAATCAGATGCACTTCTTATAATACGTCCAATAATACCACCTCCTGACCTTACCACTGGTGTATTGTGCACGTCTAAACTAGAGCTGCACGATTCTGGCTAAAATGAGAATAGCGATTTTTTTGCCTAAAATAAAGAGATCAGGATTTTCTCATGATTCAATAGATGTAAAATAAAGGTTAATTCGAGTAGGCTTTTATTATTGTTATTTCTCAAAGATATGGTAAAACAGCAATAGGCTTTGTGTAGGTCTACTGTTGGTTAAAATGCTACATGTTGTATAGACTTGGAATGGTGGACTTGAACGGACTTTAAATATGTCCTGGGGCCTCATGTACGAAGACTTGCGTGGAAATCTTACTAAAACATTGCGTACGCACAAAGCTGTAAATGTGCGTACGCAGAAAAAATTTCAGATGTATGAAACACTGCGTACGCCGAATCTCACGCATATTCTTTTGTACATCTGAATGAACGTGAAACTGAGCGCAACATGCACGAGCACAAAACCCCTCCCTGCCTCCTCCCCCGTATGAATATGCTAATGACTATGCTAATGGAAAACCCAACGGCAAAATCAAGCAAAAAGAGAAACTTTGAACAGAATGTGAATTGGAGGTGCAGCTTTCGGAGGTAGACCGGAGAAAAGCGGTGTTATTTGCAAGTTTGTTCTCCGGAATTAACAACAAAAGAAAAAAATAGAGTGGGAGAGTTTAGCTGATAGGGTTAACACAGTTGGGTCTGAACATCGCACTGAGTGCATTTAAAAAAGAAATAGTGTGGTTTATATCTGTAAAATGTTGCAGAACCTTTAGAAGTCTCAGTGGCGCACCTTATAAGAAGCATGTGATCATGTACTGTCACGTTCGAGCATAAACTCGGCTCGAATCCAGCGTCTGATGAATTCTTTTTTCTTTTTTTCCCCGCTACATATCAGATTTTGCCCACTATTTATCACGAGAAAGACAAGTAGGAATCATCAATAAGTTTGTGCATCATATTTTATTTGCACATTTATTGAATGTAAATGTTTCTGATTCACGCATGCAAATTCATCTTCAGATAGTGTCTTTATAGAAATGTGCGTGCAGTAGATAGCTCAGATTACATTGGGAAAACAGGCGACCGCTGCAAATTGTGCTTTAATGTTTAGCTGGTCAACTGTATGGTATGGAAATCTTACATACCTACCATATGAACCCGTCTCATACAGCTGCCATTGCAAGGCTCAGACACTTTGTAGAGAAGAATTTAACACAACTGCCTCTAGGAGTCGCCAATGGAAATAAAACAGACACGCACAAAAAATGTGCGTACGCCAGCCAGAAAGCTGCCGTGAACCTGCGCACATTCCCACGTTCAGTTCATTGTTAGTAAATCCAAACGTGAGCGATTCTGAGCGTGAAACCTGGCGTACGCAAAGTTTTTGTGCATACGCAGCGTTGATACATGAGGCCCCTGGTCATTATTGTACAGTAAAGTGATGACATCAGGATACAACTATTCATAATTCTGAGGTTGAATTACTGTTTAAGAAGTATGCTTGCAATCTGTCATTGACATTATTAGACCAATTATTGTACTGGTAAAATCAGACATGTATCATTATCAGATTCCCTCTTGCATTGTATTCAACATTATAGCCTATAGTAGTCATACTGAAACTGTTAAATATTTTTTTTCATACTTTACACTTTGTGTTCACTATGAACAAAAAAAACATCAAATGCTTGTCATAATCATAACTCTAAAATGCGAAATATGATTATTTAAATGTGTGCGTGCTTTCGGTTTCATTTTCAAGTGCGGTTATTTTACAACTGTATTACCTGTTATTCACAGCCTATGGAGGTTTTGTCCACTAAAATAGACTTCGTTCACAGGCGTGCACCCACCCTGTGGTGACAGCTGACGGTCAGCTCGCATCACATGTGATTTTGCGGCCGTGAATACATCATTACATATAGACAGAAACTACATATTTGAGGTTATTGAGGTGATTATATCTTATAAATACAGCATGTGACTCTTTCAAACCCATTTGGGGGTGTCCACGTTGCTGAACAACGTACGTAAAACAATGAAGACTTGTGCGGCCTTTGCTTTTCTCCTGAACTTGAAAATATTATTGACAGAATCGTAGAAATGCTGGATCAAGATCGCCTAGGGGGCTGAATCGAGATTGTGATCTTTTTTTCGATTAATTGTGCAGCTCTAGTCTAAACTGCAAATAAATTTTATTCAAAACAAATTTAAAAGCATTTAAATAATGTGTGGCTAAACACATATTTGTTGCTAAACCGTTTTAAAAAATAGTATTAATAAGACAATCACCTGCAGGGTAAAGATCTCCTCATCGCTGCTGGAGCCCTTGGCCTTTTTGCTCCCCTCAGGTCGTAATGTAGCTGAAGAAGATTCTTTCACCAAACCTGCCAGGTTAGATTCACATTACCCTCCTATTATAAGGCAAAATATTTTTCAGCAGTGTAGCAGCAAACTTACTACGTTTGGTCCCAGTGGTGGTTTTGGCCATGGTTTTGGTCTCTTGGTCTTTCTTGAAGTTGCTCTCCTCAGTTTTCCTGTCTCTGCCTGGACATGCACACACACGCACCTCAAAAGACCTCCGGCCCAGCAACTGACCTCTGTGGGACAAAAAAGCAGGATGTAACAATTGAGCATGAGCCAGATGAAAATGGATTCAAATGCGAGATGAGTCCAATTGATTGGTATGTTAAATCACGAGAGATGTTTTGAACTCCAGGAACCGTTTTGTTTACAGCAAAATCACTTAACATGAGTAACAGTGCCAAAAAAGTTGTAGCAGATGCTGATATAGAGGAAGATCTATCTTCATTCAGTCCAGAAGAGTGCCAGCCTGCAGAAGGCAAATGTCTGGCCTGCGACATCACACAGGAAATACAACATATGACTGTGTTTTTTGTCAACTGTCATCAATTACACATGATTCATCTCCGCTGGTTTTTACAAGCGAGTTAAAAGTGCACAGAACAGGAGAACCCTTCAAAGATAAGGTATGTCTATGTCTAATCATCTAAGAGCTCTCTCCCATCATGTTAATCTATGCTTTAAACAATCAACTCAGCCAGTTTATATTAGCTCAAAAACAATAAATGACAGAAAAAAGGCACAAATAAAGTGATCACGAAAAGCGATTTGAACATCTCTCCATTGATTTCTCAATTTGAATATTTCTTAATTTTTTGCAAACTTTCCTCTCTCTGACTTTAAGTGAGCATTTCCAGAGTTTTAATTGGAACTTTAAATAAATAATTATCTTTGTATATGATGCAAAGCAGCATCTAATATACATATATTGTGGGGTAAGAGTTGTCGTCTCGTCATTAAAGAAGAAAAGGTTTGCACATTTAATAAAATATGACTTACGTGAAAAGAAAGAATAAAATTAATCAACTAAAAGAAAGAACAATTAGTCCCTTAAAGGTGATGTCGGGTCTTCAGTTTTATGCTCAGGCACGTTTTGCACTCACACTAAAAGCATACCTCGCCAAAGCCCAATGGCATGCCTCTTCCAACAGGGCCATGGCAAGGCAACTGAACTGTTTCGGATAGCCTAGTGCGAGCACACTCTTATTTTGTTAAGAAAAATTATCGACAAATTTGTAGTGATTTAATATGAGAGCAGCATCATGAAGCATCAAAAAAATAAAAAATAAATTTAAAAAAGCAGTTCACAAGAGGAGGAATCAAATATGCAGTACTTACTCCTGAGTCTCCAGAGTGATGATTGTGAGGATGGGCCTGCGGTTCATCCCCCCCATGCAGCTGCTATTGCACATGTAGTTTAGTAGCACAGTTGTCCATTCAGCACCAAGCTGCAAAAACAGGAAAATGTGACTGTTAAACAGATGGACAGACACATACTCTGGCAATTTCATGTAAATAATAATAATAATAATAATAATAAAATAAAAATAAAAAAAGAGTTTGTAAATCACACTTTCCCTTAAAAAAAAAAAAAAGAATTACAACAGTAAAAAACAAACAAATAAGCAACAATAAACAATACATAAAAGATAAAAGTTAAAATCTAATGCTGGCCTTTGATATAATTCTACTACTTTTAAAAGATTAAAGACTTCAGACATTATTACAACTGAAATTAACATGCAACTATACTTCACTCATTGTACAAAACCAAACAGAATCCAAAAACATAAACAATTAGATCGATAACAGGACACTTGTGAATTTGGCAAAATTTGAACGAGTACATCAAAAATAGAGCTGTTCACATAGTGAAACCGATATGGGCTGGTGGTCTGTGAATATGAACAGCATGTAAATGAATGGCAGGGTTTACTACAGTCAAAATTGAGTTACACTATCCGTAGTCTCACTAAATGTAGAACTGCTTTGAGTCATTCACAACCATTTTATTATTATATGTGGAAAAAAAATGGTCATATCAAAAACAAAATATGCCATGAAAATTTGTTTCCTGTGAAGAAACTGATAAAAATATCACAGCAGAACAGACTTCTCAATGTAATAATGCATTCAAGTAATTTATACTCAACTGTTCTGAAATGTTAATTTTGACTGCAATAAAGGAAAAAGTTATGTTAAAGGTTACATTTTATACACTTACTACATTACTATGCACACTTACATTACTAAAATGTAGTTTGCATAAACATACATTTGGGAAAAACAACATTTTGGTAGGGTCCTACAAAAAGGCTGTGACATACCAAAGCAACTTCAATATCAACTTTAAACTTCCATGAAAATAAAATCAAAAGCATTAATGAGGTTCAACTAGTGGCTACAATACTGGTAGACTTTTTAACAGATCAAAATAGAGAGACTAACCTGTGGTGCTTCATATGGGACAAAAACACTATGCCTTAAAGTGATGTTATCTTCCCTGTAATTTGCTCGCTGATTGCCCTCCACTCTTATCAAATGACCAGCAGGCGCCAAGTCTGAGCAGGGAGAAAACAGACAAGATATTAACTTTCAGTGCAAAAAGTAAACACCTTATAATTGTTTAGCTTGTGTATTCCAGTGTAGGGCTGCACGATTTGAAAAAAAAAATCTAATTGCGATTTATCTGATCAAAATTGCAATTTAAAAATGCAATTTACTAATTTTTTAAGAGCTGCAGGTTTGATGTGGTGGCTTTAACAGCACCAAAAAAGACCAATCATAATCACAAAGTACACTATGCTACTGTTTATTTGAAACCACTTTTTATATAATACAATACAATAAAGTTGTCAGCCGTCATGACAAATTAAGAAAATAACTAAAGTATTTTAAATTTAACTAAAACTATATATAAAATTGTGCTCGTGTGCGTGTGTGGATCCACAAGAATCACTGTAACAGCCAAAACAAGAGAGTGAACGAGAGAAGCAGAGCAGAAATGAAGTTAGCAGCTTTCATTTCATCTCCACATATTGGTTTGGGGGTCTGCTGTAACGGTTGTTTGCTTTTTAACTAACATTAGTTGGATCGTTTTAATTACACACACTTGCCTCCCTCGCCATAGTAATAAACAAAATAATCACAGTTTCTGGCAAAAAACAACAAAAAAAAAACACACCTTTTCAAATCGTCATTTTGGTTTAAAATCAATTAATAGTGCAGGCCTAGAATGATGCAAGAATGGATATGGAAAAAAAAATGTCTGTACTATCTCCATCCGGGGTTCGCTCATGATGGGGGCATCTGCGGACCACTTCAGCCACATGCTCGGACTTCTTATAGATGGCAGTGGCTCGAACCACGGAGCCCTGTGGAGGGGCAACGTCCACCACCATTTGAACGGGGCAAGTTTTTGCCAGCTGACAGAAGAGTTTATTCAGGTCCGGTGAATACTGCAATTACAAAAAAATAAGTTTCACCCAGTTGTTATAGTTTAGCACTTAAAAAAAAAAGTTCAATAATCCATCCAAGCAGTTTTTATTAGTATCGGTAGAAACTAAACAAGTTAATGTAAGAATCATGACTAAAATTAATGAGAAAGCAGATTAAATATGAGATATTATTGACTGGGGTATTCCTTAGTACTGGTGCTTTAAAGAGATAGTTCACCCCAAAATTAAAATTTACTCAACCTCAAGTGGCTCCAACGTTGCTGTTTTTTGTTAACATAATAGATATTTTGAAGAAAGTTTAAAATTGGTGGCCACTGATATCCATAGTAAAAGAATACGAAAAATGACAATGGCCAGTATTTATTCATTTATTTATTTTAATTTTTGTGGTCTACAGAAGATATTCAAATAAGTTTAAACTGTAAGTGACGGTTGGGTAAAACCATTTTTAGGTTTTTGTCAACTTTCCCTTTAAAGTGAATAAAAATTTGTCTCATCAATAATGTATCATCAAAACATCAACACTGAAGCACTATCGGTCTCAAAGAATGTCGTGTCCAGAAGGCTGATTTTAATATGCATTTGCAAATCTTATTAACTCAATTAAAATGCAAGTATGTTAAAAAACACCCTAATGCGTCTTCACTAGCACAGAACAATAAACTAATAACACAAATATAATATTAAATAAAATAACAAAAGATTAGCAGGCATAAATCACTTGACAATATCATCACAAAGATTTACAAAATTACCAATTAATTTAATGAACTACAAAATAATTAACACATTTTAATCACACTTACATTCAAGCCTTTTAAATGTCTTTTCAAATGTCTTACCCTCCTGGTCTTGTAATGTCACACAGAATGTGAAGCACCAGCTTGACTGTCCAGCACTATTAACAATCCTAAAATGTATTACACTCCATCCTAAAAAATGCATAAAAAGACCAACATCTCCCTCCAAATGTTCGCCAGGATATTTTAAAAATGCGAAACACATCTCTGTTCTGAGTGTTTTAGTCTGCAGTTTGTGCTGTGGCAAAAGCAGACACTCCCCTCCCCCACTGCTCAATCAGGACAAGTTCAGACATGTTCAACCTCCACTGATTCTGCCTTAAACAATAAAACTCCACCTCAAATTAAAGGAAATCAAAAACTCTAATCAAAAACAAAGCACAAAAACTAAAATCAATAAGAAAGACAGATTATTGGACTTGATAAAATATAACATGTCAGATTAAATAAGACACACATAAGCTAGACTGCCTGAATGAGGTATATGACTAACTTCTAATATAACCGAATATGAAAGGGAAAGAGCTTTCTTGACCAATAACAAATGCTGCCATTTTATTTTTTTTTGTCATGCAGCCATCTTAGAGCAACACCTCTTTTCATAAAAGGTAGTCAAGAGAGCAGTTATTAAACTGTACAATTTAAAATAATAATCCTGGAATTGACTGTATGAATTTCACCATAATAAACAGCTTGTCCCTTTACTGCAAGTCGCTTTGACAAAATAAACAAAGTTTCTTGCTACATTAAAAAGTCAATAGTACAACTTTTCTCAACCTCTTTAAACAAACATATGACGTTTACTTTATCCATTCACCAATTCACCCATGTCGGTTGACAGAATGAACATCAGATCAGCTTGTCTTGGTAAGAACTTAATTTTTCCACATATCGTTGTAAAAAAACTCACTTGCCATAACATCTCCTGATAATTATCTATTAAACATCCAAAATAAATTAACAACATTTTTTGACTTAATTATCAAATCATTGATCCTAACCACAAATGAATGATCTCTCTTTAATTTCACTATTAAAGCAAATAAAATAGCCTCGGTTTTCAAAATTCAATTTAAACATCTAAAGTTTATTCCGCACCAATTCACTCATGTAGGGTGACAGGAGCTATTAGATTACAGAGTAAATATTTAGGCTAAAAAGTGAGCATTTAAAAAGTTCTAAACCAATAGTTCAACTGAAGAAAGAAAAAAAAAAAGGTTTGGTTGTGGGTGGTACGCTGTGCGACGTCACTTTTTTTTTTAACCCCACCACTACCGGATAACTTTTTGGCGCTGCACATGAGAACATGCCCATTCATGTCTTCAGACAATGCTGTAAGAAATAATCTTCTTATTTGCCCACACCTGATGTCAGACCAACGAGCTAAATGACTACAACAACCATCTCTGAAGTCAAGTGGTGAATATACAAAAGATAGGAGGCCTGAGATATCATTCAGCACAGGAGAGGAGGAGGGGAAGAATGAATGAATGAAGCCGTGTGGTATCCTCAGCATTCAGATTCAACGCTCACCAGTAAGAACAACCTGCATCTCTGCATGACTTCAGCTACATGTCCACATTTAGACTACTATATGCTACATACTGAAGTTAGCCATCTTACTACCATCATATAACCACTTTGCACATACACTTATACAGTATATTATCAGTCATATTTGTCACTAACCCTAATTTTATTTCTGAATAATTTACACAGATTATGAGCAAACCATGGCACATATGCAAACAGATTTCTACATACAGTTTTGTGATATTTTCATTATGGATTATGAATGTTTAATTTAAGATTACTAGATTGATCAACTATACTGAAATGTCTCTTTCCATTAAATTTGTGAAAGTATGTGTGTGTATGCGCTTTTGACTCACAGTGCAAGTTACAGATTTTGCTGTGCCAGACTGCGGGAACCTGAGCCTAAATCCATGATCGCCGGGATAGTCGCTTGTCTCCGGAACAGTGGATGTTGGTGGGAGAGTGGATGGCTGAGGCTGTTCTTCAAGCACATTTTCAAAAAAATTGGGGTCAAACGATCCCGGCAAGTACTCCTGGCAAACACAGAACAAACAAAAGTTCAACACTGAAAACCAAAAGAGGAAAATAGAGATTTCTGGGTGTTTGAGATTATTTTTTTAAATACCTCATCATTAATGATGTCCCAGCAAGAGCCACCACCTGGGGGCTGAATACTTCTGAGACAATTGAAAAGGAAGAGAGAGAAATTAGTATTAATCTGTTGAAGCTCATACAAAGAACTCCAGATAAACAATACGTTCGACAGATGCATCTTAAACAAGCAAACACCAAAAATATTAAGACAGGTACATTATAGCAACCTGACATGGCTGCTAACAAAAATACGGGGAAATTTAGAGAGGCAGGAAAAAGAGGAGCGTTGTGTATCAGGAGTGCGACCCTTGCGAACTTACATCAAATTCTTCTCCCAGAGCTCCGCGAACTCTTGGCTGTCGTTTTGCGCCATTGCTGTGAAATTATAAACACGAAAGTCATAAAAACCTGGGGGGAAATAATATATCACGACAACTAAAATTACTATAACGTTAAAATAAAAGTCGGGATGTTGTTTCTTATGCAAAGTGTGATATTTATATAACATGTACATTCACTTTAAATTTAAAAAACAGGCGATCGCTCAGAGTCGCAAAGATGCCGCTTAACGTTAGCTTATTAGCTTCACAGTTCTGTCGCGCAAGTAGATATAGCTAAAAATGAATAAAAATGCGCATACCTGTACATAAGATTTCTAAAAGTCACCTAAAGCTATTATACTGAAACTCTAAGTTTGCATTTTCGACAGCTAATGTTAGCTAGCTAACAGGCTTAGCGGCTAACGTTAACATCAACGTTTTAGTAACGTTTAAAGCGATGTCGGGCCTAAAGTTCGAAATACGAGTTTCACTCTTAATTCATTACCAGTTTTTATCGAATCGACGTCAGTTTGTTACAATAATACAACACACAAGCGGTCCAATGATGTTGCACACCAAATCCCGACTTTTACTTAATATACAAACAGCTGAATCTACAAACACTAGTTAACGTTAATAAATATGATCGATCAAACCACTAACGCTAGTCAATAAAAGTTTCGCTTTGTTACCTTTGCAAGAATTGATTTTGCCGACCTCCTCTCCACTAAACTACGATTATCGACTTTCGGATTGCCCGGATATGTAGTCGATCGACTTAAAGAATGACCAAAACAAGGAGGTTATTGGACATCCACAAAGCAAATCCGCGTGGAGTTTTGGGGATTCCCCTAGTTACAGGAGGAGCATGTGACGTCAGCGTCACCTGACGGACAGAGAATGAATTAATTGAAAGAAAAAAGAAAACGCTGCAGAAAAATATCGATTTTAATGCACGAATCGATGCTTCATTCCACTTTATATTTATAACTAACGTTGTCTGTTTTATGCCAATTAATTCGAGTGTTGCAAAAGGGCGGGATCTATTAAACGAGGAAGTTGTTTGTCCAGTGAACTTTCTGCATCCAGGTCGCGTAGACGATTTAAATCTGCAGCGTTTTTATATATTATATTGAACAATAGCACTTGTTGACCTTGCGTTTCGCAGAAATAGTAATATTGAAACAAAGAAAGGATCTGTAATGGTAGATAAACAGAGGGATGCGAGGCAGATGTGTCCTTGCTGTGATTTAAGAAATCACATGGAAGGCGTCAAATTGCAATCTACAGAACAAACTGAAAGTCGGTTATTAGTGGTTTACTGGATATTATAAAATAATGAGCTCCAAAGGCTTATTAAAATTACTGTGCTTTACATAGATTACAGCCACACAATGTCTGTGATTGGTCCGTCCGTAAAATCATTAGTGAAACCACTGACTGACTAGTTGTGTCCCCACATCATGGGAGAGGAAGACTGTCATGAGCACTTCATCACTCAGACTGAAAGTTTATGAAGTAAGTATCGCATTTCAGAAATTTCATTTCATTTTCTTGTCGGCTTAGTCCCTTTATTAATCCGGGGTCGCCACAGCGGAATAAACGCCAACTTATCCAGCAAGTTTTTACGCAGCGGATGCCCTTCCAGCCACAACCCATCTCTGGGAAACACCCACACACACATTCACACACACTAGGGACAATTTTAGCTTACCCAAGTCACCTGTACTGCATGTCTTTGGACTGTGGGGGAAACCGGAGCACCCGGAGGAAACCCACGGTCCCACGCGAAGGCAGGAAGAACATGCAAACTCCACACAGAAACGCCAACTGAGGCCGAGGTTCGAACCAGCGACCCAGCAACCTTCTTGCTGTGAGGCGACAGCACTAGCTTCTGCGCCACTGCCTCACCCCATTTCAGAAATGTAACTGTTATTGTCACCCACGTTTAGGATAATAAGCAGTTTATCTTACATACAATAGGCCTAAGGAAACTGCTTATAATATGAAACAGGTAGGCTTTGGTTTGATTTCAGTCAAGTATGTATAAAGAATAGGTGTCAGCAGTCATTTATGTTGTATAACATACACAAGAAATACAGCCTTCTGAAAAAACATTTCCTGGCATAAAAAGGATAAATCAGACATGAAACAATTACTTTAAGTAAGACTGTATGATCTTGAAAAAGCACCTTTTTAGGACAGAAGCAATTAATTTAATCTGATAAGTCACCCAGTTTGCGTTATTTTGAAATATTTGTGTGATTGACAACAATATGAGAAGAGAGTAAAAAGAGAGCGAATCAGAAGCAAAACCCCAAACATATATTTTATATTGTATTGTAAACATTCGCATGCATGGTGGAATAAGTCATATTTTTCGAGGGCATTATTAATTGACTGAGAAATATGCCTAGACCTATTATGTTTTGAAGACATGAAATATAATATTTTTTTACCTTCAAAGAATTATTGTGATGCCAAAGCCACTTTGTTTTAATACCTCTCAAATTTTTGTGTATTTAAAAAAAAAAAAAGATTCTCTAAAGACAATAGATGATCAGTGTTACATTTATATGATGACAATTCATAAACCAAAACTTTATTGCAATTTAAAAAACATTTCCTAGATGTAATCCTAGTGGCTATTAATCTTAAATAAAACTTATAATCAATTAATTATGATGTAAAAAAGCTTTAATCAACTTGAGTCTATCTGAACATCATCGTGCATGCGTGAGTTTGACTGAACATTCTGGAAAAGTTCTACAAGCTACAGCTAGAAATGGGCAGATTTAGATCTCTCCAAATCGTTGTTAAAAGAACAAATATACAAATTTCACAAAACACGTCTTGTTATGCTAGCTCTATTTTGACTTTTATTCAAGCAAACGTAAAACCACAAAGGTTTTGATGTCACAACAGACCTTTTCATCCCATTTTAAATCTGTTTTACAGATAAAATGCAACCAGAAACATACATTTACAGGAAACTTTTGTGTGAATTTGTGGTGATGTTATCATGTTTTCATAACAGCATTGACTATATGTTTTTTTACAGTTTATTTAGAATATCAAAAATTTATTATAGCCTCTATTATTTTTACAGTGATGCATTCAATTCATCCTAACATCAGTATTAGACATATAAATGCAAATTGTATTTCAAGTATGGTTACAACAAATTATAAACATTTACACCACATTAACATGAATGAATTTGTCCTCTAAAGTGCATTTCTTATATGTAGTCAACTAAATAGCACAAAATTACAAATTAAAGTCTGAATGACTTTAATAAATAAGAAAATAACCGATTCATAACATGCTTAAATCAAAATGAAATAGGAGGAAGTACCTGTTATATGACCACACGCATCCATGAACAACACACGTTTTACACATGCACATATAATGACCAATTTTTAAAAAGCTGATTTAAAAAACTGCTAAAAAATAATAATTCGGGGGTAAATCTGAGGATTTACTTGGTGTTTTTAGCGTTATCACAGCTCTAATCATGGCCACATGTTACTTAGCATTTAGCAAACAGGCATCTCTTGCCCAAACTGAGAACTATTTAAACTATTTTAAAAACACAACAAAACATCCCTAGAAATACATGTTCAATTTAAATAAATGCGAAATTTAAATATATTACACTGGATTTTTTCAAACAAAAACATTTCTGCAAAGCTTCTGCAGATCAGCTACCTTGTCACCCACCTGTTGTAAAAGGTTGTATTTTCAGTCCCATTACTAGAACTAAAACTCTTAAATCCCGAATTCGACGTCGAAGGATATGAAGGTTCCATCTTCAAATTAACGTACGATTTACGAAACGTGCATATTCTCAATTTTGCTCGGTTTGGGAAAGAAAGGCGGCTACATTAGTTTTTGCAGTAAAGTTGGCAAATAGGAGCCAAAAACGTCATAAAGGGGGGTAGAAGGACAACCAATAGTTTTTAGACGCCTTTTTGAACATACAGATGGACAGCATTCCTTCGAAACTATTCGAAAATAATAAAGGATTATATTTTTACCATTTTTTTAAACAATTGACTAACAACCTGTAACATTTTTACAACTCAATCCAAGACTGTCACAAAGCAATATTGAGTATTATGTTAAAATCGTCACTGATATTGTCACTTACTTGATTTACAGAAAGCAAGAACTCAAAAATAGCACTAGCATTGTATTTTTCTTCCAAGAGCCAAACCCATTCATTCGCTGCCACTGCACTTTCATGTTGACTCATTCAGTTTCAAAACAGGCACAAAAATAAATTTAAAAAAGGTTATAATAAGAAACGTCCCAAGAATTTGGATTATTTCACTTTCTATAAAGAAGCTTCATCTTCATGAGTCCATTAGAGGTTTTATCTGTCTCTGTCTCTGACTGTCTCTCTCTGCTGCTCTCCACCCTTGTCATACTGGCTTAAACTGCATCATCAAACTTCCGCCCTGCTGTCTCACCAGTGGCTGACCTGCATACAAAATCTCCAATCCATTTCACTGCCATTTCAAATTTCCATTCGAATATGACAGAGACCAAATGTGTTTTTATTGTAATGTCTTGTTTATACTTGATTTTCTTATTTTGCACCAAGCTTGCACTTCTGGGTTTTTTTTTTTTTTTTTTTTTGTCTTCCCGCTTGTTGTCACATGTTGCCTCCTACGTCACTGTCCAAATTTAAATAACTGACACAGCATCACACTTCACTTATTAAAAACATACACACACAATGCTGTGGTGATTTCACTTAATCTTTTGCTGAGTGTCATGGCTGATGAGTCAGCCGTTTCATTTTTGATTTAGTTTTGAAATGAGCATTGGGGAGATGAGTGAATGAGGAGTAAATGAGACCTTGATGTGTTTTTTTTAGCTTTTGATTATTAATATTACTTTTAAAGAAGAAGACACTTGGTTAATGTCTTCTACAGCTGTAAGTGCTGGCAGTTATATTTAACTGTTTAAAAATACAGAGGTTTAAGAAGGAAAACAGTTAGGAGACCACAGAACAAAGAAAACTGCCTTTAGGTGAATCATCGGCTAAATTTATCCTGCTCACTCACACACACACACACTCACACACACACACACACACACGTACTTTCCCGCTTTTTTTTTCTACTAAGCTCTTTTTCAACTCCCTTGTATTATAGTATAATTCAGTCTTTATTTAATCACTCATATCATTCTAAACCTGGCTTCTTTTGTGGGACAACATGAGAATGAGTGAATAATGATGCAAATTTTAAATTTTTATTTTTGGTTCAAGGTGCCGTAGAATGCACGATATGTAAAATATTTTACTATGTGTTGCAATATGTTGTTCTTGGAAATCCACATTGAATATCTGTGGCTTGGGTAAGAGCAAAAGATCTTCATAAGCAGTTATCCATGTTCATTTACAACTCAATAGGAATTGGTTTTGGAAATAAGATATCTGTTTGTTCCTTATTTAAATATTAATGAGCTCTGCTCTCATGCTCCTTGCTCTATTCAGTGGCTGCCTCTCACACCATGACGTACTCTAAAACAGACGTATGCAGATTTTTAATTAAATATATGTTTATAACAAAGATGAAAACTATTAAATGAGTGAATTCAAAATGTTTAGAGTATTTTCAGAATATCAACATTATATTTGCAGTGGTGTTCATAATAGCATTAAATGCCTGGAAACCTAATTGGTTAAAGGCCCTGGTATACTTAAAGTTCTTTGTTTAAGGGCAAAAAGATGATCGAAATGGATTATTGACTGTACACTGCTTTTTTTAGACACTCCCATGTTGCAGTATGTGTGGTTGTAGCTGTGTCACGCTGCTCACATGTAACCCTAAACACCACAATGA